TGTTCGAACAAAGTATCACCGGGTGGAAAATTTGCATTTTTTAAGGCATTGAATGCATATACACAAAAGCAAAAGTACAAGAGCATTTTTGCACTCCGACAAATATCACATATCTTAGTCAACACTCAGAATACATTCACTTCCCTATCAGAATCTAAAAAAAAAAATTTATACAATTATACAAATTTAAGTACCTACGATTGTTTTTCTATTTATTAAAATGTAAGTATTATTGTTAAAAGTCTTTAATTAGTTTATGTGGCACAATATATAATCATTGCTTTCTAATGTTTATAAACACCAACACCGAAGGTTGACAACTTACTAAAATAGCATAGTCACAAATAAAACACAACTTTAATAACAATATAAATAAAATCCGAACCTAATTCGCGCCAAAGGTAAAATCACAAGTCAAAAAGTAAAATACGACTGAATATGAAAAAAAATAAATTAATTGGTCGTTTTACATAAAATTTGTTTAATTTGTTCGTTTTATTTATTCATTTATTTATTTATTTATTTATTTATATACAATACAACCGTCAGAGATATTATCATAATTTATTTCAAACATAATAATATTATCATTCAAATGGTCGCAAAGGCGCTGTTGAAAAGAGACTGTATCGGTGATGTACTCGTATTATATTCGCAATAAATTTAAATAATCGTTTAAAGTAAACATTTTTCGTCAGTGTTTCGGCAGTAGAGTGGAAAGTTCACGAACTTTTATCGCTTGGAAACCCAAAATAAATATTATAATAATATTATTATTCGGTTACCTATAAACGTGCATTTCGGAACTGCAATATCTCGACTTGTGATTAATGATTATTTAAGTGATTTATAACGCGCGCAAAATGCCGTAAAAAAACTATATTATAATACTGAAGAACGTCATATCGTGGCCGACAAAAAAAGATATATATATATATATTTTAAAGAAAGGAAAAAAATATTTCAACGTGTATTATTATATTCAAACGGTTTGAAACGTATAATACGATATCCTTTTTCCAAAAAAATATAAAACATGTTTTAAACATAATAGGACATATTATGATAAAGTCTCTCGTAGATATTGGTATTTGTGGTGACCTACACCTAACCTATTAAATTCTAAATAATTAGTTGTTGATTTAACATTTTTACTACAAGTCATTAGTTTATACTTGTTGGTAACATTATTTATATTAATAAATATATGCTATTTTATTTTTAATAAAGTAAATGTATTATATTTTTTTTTTTTGCATAAATAAAGGATGTTCATAAATTACACATATCGTATTTACTTCGCAAGCACAATCTCCACTTAGAATCTACAATTTTTTTTTTGTTTTTTATTATAAAACGGTTTGAATGATGTAAATAAAATGGTTCAATTCTATGGAAAATACCATAATATATTATTTTTCAGTTATTAAAATTAAATAGCATAAAATGGTCAATAATTGAATTAATTAATAATTATAGAATAATATAGCTAGGACAAGCTAGGGGAAGGAGTCTTTTGATCCAGCCAAAAAAATTTTGTGGGTGGCAAAATTGTGGACACACTTTAAAATTAATCTTACTTCAGGCCTATTATATATAAAAAAAAAGTCAATTTTTGCAAACACTTTTGCTGTCCTTCAGTAGCTGATGCAAGCTGCACAAACAAATAACTTACTACTTGGCAGTGTCTAATAAAAACCCTGTGCAATTGCTATCGATTATTCGTATTTAGTCATATAAAGCCATATTATATCGCAACTACCATGTCGTCTCTATAGAGAGCCGACTGTGCTCGGTTGACGATAGAACAAAAGTATTAAATTTAGAGTTCACCAAGTTTTTATTTAGTAATCAGATATTATTATAATGCGCGTCGTAATACTTATAGAGTTAACCCGTTACTCTAGCACCCGGGAAATCATTTATCGTCCGTTTTTAAACATATTTTTCATGAACTATTTCGTTTTAATTTCCAAATACGACTAAAACTTACATATTTCAGTGGATTTCGCTTAATGTATCCACCGGTTAATATGGGCAACTGCCTAATATGGGCATAATGGGTTCGTCTCGATTCAATGTATAACGATAATCATTTCGATTCAAATGGCCAACCGCTTAATGTGGGCAAATGTAATTGATCCCAACATGCCAAAATCAACCGAAATCCACTGTATATTATATTGTAGTTCGACCATAATAGAGCATTCAAAATATCACCTGTACAAAATGTCACAATTTCTCACAAGCTGATATAGATTCAAATTAAAATTATTTGCCGGAGTAGTGGAAGGGGGCAGTTTAATTAGGGCTTTCGCCCCTGTAAAAACGAGTAGAGTTTCTGCGCTGACCAATGCTAACGCTGAATATTATTAAAAACTCATGCTAAGTTAGTGGGATTTGGAGCGATTTCCAGATGAACGAGTGTTATACTAGCCATTCAACTTGGTACCCCCGCTATTATTTTGAATGTGTGCCGCTGTTTATAACCTAGGTATAATAATATAAATATACCTTTATATATTTTACAAGCCTTTAAAAGGCTTATAGTACTTGTAAAGCCTTTACAAGCCTTTTAGTAGAAGCTGCCTTAAAATGCAGCTTCTATTTAACTCCATGTCTTAGAAGTCTTTCTGACTCATCATTATTAATCCTTTTTTGTTCCTTTTCCGTTTTCCGTTCTGTGTTCTAAATATAATGGTTTCGAGACGTAGTTAAAAGATTCACAACATATAAATTGTTTTACGTGAACGTGCGGCTAATTAGTCCATCTCTCAACCCCCCAACTTGAAAGCCCGGATCTTCTCAACCAGTTAAGATTAGGTTGTAGCTATATTGCAGTACAAAACGGTAATGGGTGATGGGAGCGTATCACTTTGTCTAAAACCAAGATCCGCGGGATCGTCACACCCGTTACCAATTAAGATACCTCATGCGGTATGATTATATATTTATATAGTAGGTTTTGGTAATTATATTCAAATATATTATATTAATTAAGTGTATCGTTTCCGCATGCAGTAAACAAAGATAACGTGTATGATATGATGTAAAAACGCCCCATGGCTTATACATATAGTATACACAATATTATAATTTGTTTTGTATAAATTAAAAGTTTACCAAATTAGAAAAGTTTTTTAAAAATATTTCTAGAGTTATATGGTGCTTTTAAATATTACATTAGACAAAGTTTGTTTTGTCGGCAATATCTTCCTCGCCGACGCGTCGATATAAAAACATAATTTCGCTCCTCGTTTAACACAGTCAGTCGACTATATATCAGTTAACGAATAGAAGATGTCGACTTAACTACAGTGGCGAGAGGGGAATAAGGGGTGAGAAGATGGAAATTTTTATGCGATTTCACTGTTTATAATTATTATTACCGGTTTGGGTTTGGCGTTCGGCTGCAGTATAGAAACTATATTACAATAATAATTGACTGCAATACGCGCGATATTATAATTATTACTGCTGTCGCAAAGTCACACGATATACACACGATGATACGGATTTCGTGTGCATTGGAATGTCGTCCGGATATGGTATGAACTACGCAATTATTATACGAGATACGCAATTATATCTTTCGGGAGAATGTTCTCCAGATCACGGATGCAACGTGATTTTGTTTTCTCACCGGTGAAATATTACTATGTCATATAAACTCTAATCGTTATTGTTAAACTTTTTTTTTACTATGTATATATAGATATACTAATACAGTTATCAGAACCTTAAATCGACGATAACCATTATCATAAGGAGTGTATAGTATCTCGTATATTAGAAATTCGAGTGTTCCGGCGAATTTCGTGCAGAAGTATTTGGGGATTTATATAAAAATATATATATTTACTAAAAGTGTACGTATTTGCTTGATGAGGACTTGATTTGGCTGTGTTTTAAGGGAATAAGCCCTCCCATTTGGGTGAATGAGGAACAGTATTTGAAATCTGCCAAGGGAGCCACGGAGCGTAGATATAGCACTAACCACTGCAGGTAGGCAGTGTAGGAAGCGTTTTTCATCATATTTCTTAATTTATTTGTGACGAATGTAATCTGGTTTATCCATTTCATTTCGATGTGTAAGTACTTATAATTTTTGGTAACGCTAACCGAATTACAATCATAACATTCCATTGTATTATAGTTAGATTTATGGCTTTTTATATCATGCATGGATGGTGAAGTTTGTTCAGACAGCGAGTGGCATAAAATGGTCTACTTATTAAAATTTAGAAATAGATTACCTATTATTGCTTATCCAATAATAAATAGATTTTAGATCGACCTTAATGTTTTTAAATACTCAATTCCAAGAACTACCAATACAGATAAATACAGTGTCGTCAGCATAACATACTATTTTGCTATTTAACTTAAGTAATTTTATATCGTTTTAACGAATGTTAAAAAGAACCAGAGATAGTATAGTGTAGGATCTCACTCGATTGCTGGCACTATGATGATCACGCGGTCTTGGAAGATTAGATCGGGAAACCACGAAATTAGGCTAAAAAAAGATCATGACAACAGATTATATCGTAAGATGCAAATTTTATTTTAAAGGGGGGAGGGGGGAGTGGAGCATTCGTGTCGAATTTTCGAGCACGTCAAAAATATCGTAGTTATTCGCGTGAAATCGAAAGAGAAAAAATACCCGGGGAAATTTCAAATATAGCTACGAATAACGCGAAAAGTCCCGTAATATTTCGAAAATTGTAGACGAGGGCCCGCCCGGTATCCCGTGACGGTAGCTACACATACGGGATACGATACGGGAAGACTATCGGCCGAGTGTTGACGAATGAATTTATTACAAACAACGTTAAACAATATGTTGATACGGGGTCGGCGGCGGCGGAGTAGGGCTACGGCTGCTGCTCGGCCGTCGGCGAAACGTTTCCGTTCGAACGCTCGACGACAACGACGACGGCCGCGCCTGACGGCTGACGGAATACGAACCAGTTTCGATACGGCCGGTCCGCGGTCCGGTGTACTGCAACTGGTGTGTGTGCGCGCAGTTTCGGAACGCGCGTGTTCGTGTGCGCAGTGTTGTGGTCGACGGCCGCGTCAAATAATAATTTAACGTAGATTTCGTTTTTTTTTTCCACCAGTTTTCCGGTTGAAAATTCGCGACCATTACCGATATCGTAATTATTGTACGACCGTAATATTATAATACACGGGCGTTCGCCGTCCGCTCCCGTGCCCTTTAGATTTCTGTCAGGGGGCGCCCCGAGGTGCCATGCGAACCGGCGGACTCCTGTATTATTGTAACATATTATAGGTATACGTATATTGGACGAAACGTGCGGTTTTCTTATAAATGTTTCTCAGAGAACATGGTGAGTTTTTCTGCTTCGCATTTTACACTTATTGATTATAGTTTATACGATATAATATTTCAAATCCCGTATATATTTTATGTGTACGTACGGCCGGCGCGCGCGACGACGAACCCCCTCCCCCCCGCGAGGGAAGAACGCTTGGAACTTTGCCATTGCACAGCGGTTGAATTACTACTGGATATCCGAGCGGAACAGAAAAACTAAATAGAAAATTGTCGCGGAGAAAATATGATTCGATTATTGCGCGTACTAAGACAAAACTATCGTAAAACGGAGTAGTGATGTAATATTATAGTTTTCGGTTGGTGAACACTCGGACACGTTGAAATTAAAAATAAACGGTATAATGGTGGGGGAGGGCATTTAAAGACTTCCGACGGTGGAATTATAGTCTACGTTTTGCTCCGTTCGGTTCAGAGCGTAGGGAGAATAATATATTTGTTTTTTGTTAGTCTTGTCATATATATAAAAGTGTTTATCTCGCCTAATCCGAAAGCTTCACGTGGTCCCTACACCGAACGTGTTTATTGAAATTCAATCACGGGTGTTTGTAGTCGAAACGTGCAGTTGTTATAGATAATGCGAGTGAATAGTGCACGAAGCTTTCCGACGGCAATGGCGAAAGAATTAGATAAATATTGATTTTTTTACTACATCCCCCTCCCCTTTGCCGAGAAAACATTAGATTGCGAATAGAATTTAGAAAACTTTAAAGAACCCGAGACAAACTTTCTACTATCCATCCAAACTATTACTAAAGTTTGGATGGATTTACAACTTTGGTAATAGTTGTAAATATTGTACACCAGCCGTCGGTATAGGATTGTAGACTAACATGCGTATTATACCTACCGCGGTTAAGTATTAAAATAGGCACAAGACAAGGCCATACCTGAGAGGGAGTTTTGGAAGTTAACTCCCCACCCCGGAAATGTTTGGTGTCGTAGTATATTTTAGGGAAATAATTTTTTCATTCAATAAAATTAGAACAATTTAAACGAATTTTAAGCTTATAATCCCCCTTCCCCCCACTATCGTCAAAATTATTAAACAGTTGTGGCCTTGGTGTTAGAAGCGCTATTTCAATATATCTCGAGTTTTTCAATCGGAGTAAACTTTTTCGTACGTTTTACGGACATTTTACAGTTCTGGAGGTTTAAAAAATATAACCAATTTATTTTGATTACAAATTTTGAAAAGGTATATTCGAGTTTGCATTAGTTAAGCTATAGGGAGGTACTGTTATTTATTAGCCATATACTAAAGTCTCATTTTTTAGCGATATACTTATACTCAGAAACGTGCACTAAAAAGTACACTTTTAATACATGATATTTAATTTATTACGAAAACGGACATTTTATTGTAATTTTCGTCGTGCGGTTTAAATAATATATATTAAAAAATGTACCAAAGTAAGGAAAAAAAATTATTTTGATTTAACGATTTTATTGCATGTAAATCCAGAACGTATAATTGGGTATGCTATATTATTACTATCGATAATTTCAATCACGACAAACAAGTTTTTTTTTTACTTGGAAATTGTTTCAATTTAAATATATAATTACTGAATTTATTTGAGAATTGCTTTACTATATATATTATATATATTATAAATATACATTATACTATTATAAATATATAATGGATATGAAAAACTAAAAAACGATTTCATTCACATAAAAAAAAGACGAAAATCCTGAACGGAGCGTGAGGAAGCAGCACAGTAGGTACTTTATAGAATAAAACAAAACGTTTAAATGGTTTTATTCGATAATATTATTTCGATTATCTCGATAAGACCAAAAAAAACAGCAAAAGTCAAAAAACTAATGTAACCTATAATAACGAAATACTAGTATTTATTCCAAACTAAAAATAAAGAAAATATTCTAAATTACGCGCGATTTTGAATATCGATTGATGATTAAAATTGATCGTCTAACTACATGAAATGTATCAAAATAATGACTTTGTTATTATTTAACGCAAAATCGTACCGCGTTTAATTTATTTACTATAATAATATCATTAATTTTCAATGTTAAAATATTTATGACGACGCGACCTTCAATTATGTATAAAAAAATTACGCCTATTTCGTATTTTAAATGATTATTGGCCTATTAAGACAAAGTATACGATTTATTTATTTTAAAAAAAGGACAAATTTTCATAAAGGAATTTTTTTTTTAATTTAAACAATTTTAAGATATATACGTTTTTTTCATCAGTGGTCGTTGTATAACAATATGGAAAATACTGTATTACCGGGAAAACTCTTTTCATATTATATAATATTTCATTTATTATTACGACAATATAAAGTCGTTGGAAATGCATTTTTTTTTTTTTCGTAACTAAACAGTTAAGCTGTAGAATTATAAAGTATTGAAATTCGAAAAAAAAAACCATGGATTTATAAAGAGAGCTTATAATGTATACAATACTTTTATTACACAATTCATATAACGGGTAAATATAATATTAAATTTGTTTTGTTTGTTTGTTTTTTTTTTTTTTTTTTTTTTTTTTTGGAAAAGATGAACCCAATTAAACCACGTCCGTTGTATTTTGTTATTATTTTATTATTCCAACATTTGTCACCTGCAGCTCTAACTTAAGTACAACTTTTACTATCCAAACGACAGTGACGTAGCTACACATTCAAGCACCCTGAGGCTAAACATTTTGTTTGCCCCCTATATAATAGAACATATATATTATACTCTTTATCACTGAAACAATGCTGTGATTATATTTTTGACTGAGCAATCATGTTTTTTCTTTTTTTTTTTGGAAAAGATGAACCCAATTAAACCTTATCACATTAACAATTTCATTTTAATTTTAAATTGAGTAAAATCGGTTTATCACTACAGGTGATACATGAATCGCAGTCAGTTAAATTGACACGAACTATAAAAGTTATACTAGGCCTGTTTCACGTACACGTTTATATATTGATTCAATTTTAACCATAATTTGTCTATACCTACTACTTGATAATCACTAGCGCCCCTATCACGCATATAAGTGCCCCAAAAAAACTGTAAGTCCGTACACTGTAACTCTTTTAAATATTTATCGAATTAAAATTGGGCCTTCAAATTATCGTTCCAATAACAGGTTATTTGTCGAATCGATAAAAGCAGTTTCAGCAATAGTCAATCACTGTATCGAATCGATTTCGATGCTATCTGTTCAATAACTAGTAATTGATCGTTTATGTGACCCGGCATAAGTATATTTTACAGCTACGCTTCAGTATTAATAATAATAATTAGGGTAAAAATTATAATACAAATCGCATTTTTTTTCTGTATCACCTAAAGCAATGTTTTCCAAGCACAAAATTCATTTCATATATTAAAGAATTAAAATATGAAATTTTTATTTAACATTTTTAGGTTTTTAAGGAATTTTTTCAAATATTTTGATTTCCTTCTAAAATAAAAAAAAAACATATTTTTATTTTTAAAATGTATTATGGATTTACCGGCCGTACCGGATAAATATGATGCGTGCTAATAAAGGCTGCAATAAAGAAAACGATAAGCTATTACGAAAAAAGTTTTTTTTTTCAAAGTTTAAAATAATTTTTAGAGCATTTAAATTCACACCCTAATAATAATAAAATTAATTTGAACAATTTAAAAATATACAGAATGTATGTCATTGCATAGGAAATTGTTTAATCCTACATTCTGCAGATACCCTACATGTATATAATATAATCAAAAACCTTGTATACAACGTAGGCTACTATCGCGATCGTAAGTGATGGGAATTTCAGAATATGTATAGGTTTTATAAGGGGATAATTTATTCTATATATTAAAAGCAACAATAAAGCATCGCAATCAAAAAATTATTCCGAGTGGAATTCGGTAAACTGGAATGGTTATACGTCATCAGGTTTTCTTCACTTGCAAAAATATAACCGATGTATCGTCATCAATGATTGTCAGGTATTCTCTTAGGATTTTTTAATGAAACTGCACTTAGGGATCTAGAAAAATTATTTAAATTAAGTACCGCAAGAAACTCCGTATCTTTTAAGGTGTGGACGTGTAAAAATCGGAGCATTTTTACTAATCGAAAAATTGTTTTTTTTTTCCGAGCATCTATATAAAACTTTAATAACTTCTTCGTCAATACACTCAAAAGTCGAATAATTCAAGGAGAATATATTTTAACGGCAGCCGCTATCGCGATATATTTTAAACAATTTAATTAATTTTCGAAATGTATTTTTAACAATGCAAGCGAACGCAACGTATATTATATTTTAAAAGACCGCCGCGGCACTTTGATAAGCATCATATAGTAGTCTAGACACGCTAAATCCCTACAAAAGTCGTCCGTTTCTCTCTCCGTGTAGTCCATATTATATAGCTGATACGCCAAATGCGTTATTGTCCCTGTTTTAACGAAAACAATATAATTATACATACATCTCCGAAACGTTATTATATACGAGTTCCATCTGGCCAAACGGTTCGTATACATATAGACTTGTTATAAAGATACAATGGATGCGGTATGTAGCTTATACACTATTTATATATATATATATAATATTATTATACCCACGTTCAAATTTTCAGGTAATGCGTACATAATATAGTCGATGAATGACAAGTTGAATGACCTATTCGCGAGTATAATATTGTAGTGTGTATACCCACATCGAGATTATCAATAAAAGTTTGCCAGCGGGCTTTCATTGGTCCGAAATTCGTTTACACAAACACTGAAGTGTTCGTAATGCGGCTAAAAAGGACACCGGCCAAGTGTCTTATTATTTCGCGATATACATAAAACTCATCTCGTCTATTATTTATCGCGATATATTACAGAATAGAATATCCCGCGAAAACGATTGCCTTAGTGTTTCATATACAGTCGTATTTCGAATGTCAAACGATTGTTTAAACCCCGCACGAAAAGCGCATTGTGCGGCTGCCGATTCGGCCATATTTCATTACCTACCGAAAATAAACGTAACACTCATTGTGTCAATTATTATTAATTGAATTTGATGGACAAATATGTTCTAGAACTTTTACCAATGGTTAATAAAAATAAAATGTATACTTTGTTGATGAACAACCGAAATCAAACGAGCGAGATTTATTAACAGTAATGTGTAAACGTTTCCGGAATTTATTTGTCTTTAAAAACTTTTTAGAAAACCATGGCGTGTACCCGATTGCCTAATGTGGGGTTCGTTTACGAGAGTTTCCCATTGATACCGCGCGGTGACTACGTGACGATACGTAATGGGAAACAAAACGCCAAAAGGAAACGTTAATATTTTTAAGCCCATCAAATTTAATTTAGTGTCAGGGCCCATCGACATTTTTTTAGTTTCGTCATGCCCACTGCTTTTAAAACCAATTGACAGAAAGTTAACAATGATGCAAATACAAATACCTAACTGTTGGATACAATGACAATTTATTATGATGATTTATTTTTATTAATATAATAACTATTATTACTCCGAAAACCATCATGATATTTATGTATGTATATATATATATATTATATATTATTATAATATAATTATATTAATGGAACTCCAAATTAACCAATCATATCGATGCGACCAAAATTGTTGGTAAAGAAGAATGTTGAAATAACACAACGTCGTTGTCAAAACTATACATTGTCCCGTATCTCGAAAAAATTGTTTTCTCTAGAAGACGCAAAAAACTAAATAAAAAAAAGTTTAATACAGTTAGACAATAATTACTCAAAGAATTATGTATTTTATAATTTTTGATTACACAAAATGATAACCTGGAGGTACGAGGTATTTTGACAATAATATCGATATTATAGACATACCGTAATGTTAAAATGTTTATATTCTGCTTGGATTTTGTGAATTTTACGTGATATTTACACTAAAATTTAATTTTTTTAATTCGGTGTATACCTACAACTAATTTTTAATATTCATAGTGATACGATTTACTATTTAACAACGATGATAATAATTGTATACGATTTATATTTCATTAAGTGTTTCTTACCGATATTTTGACGTATGGAAAATTCAAAATAAGACATTTCGATCAAATATTCGACAAGTTTATGTTAAAGTAAATATTATAGAGTATAGGTAAACAAAATACTCGGAAACCACTCGATAATATTATATATATATATTTAAAGGGAAGAATAAATATTTGAATAAAGTGCCTATGTATCGATGTTCAAATAGTTTTACTTAATAAATCAAATACTTTGCAACGCCGTGTTACCATTCGCGTATACGTGTATAATATAGAGTTTACCTACACTTAAAGTTTAAACCGAATAAAGTAATATGCAGTTTATGCATACTTAGGTACAGTGTATAAATATAGTAGTATTGCGGAAAATGCAGAAAACGCCCAGCTAAAAAATAATAATAATAAAACGCTATAATGACGATCGCGCCTTAATCATAAGTTGCGTGAGTATAAAAGAGTATGCACTTTTTTTATTTTTGTAACAGATTCCTATCTCAAATATAATATAATAATATAGTACACCGACTGCGCCCGACTCGTTATGAATATTTACCGCGTCTTATTACACTGTACGTAGGTTCGCAGTTAAATTTCATCAGTGCGCCTAAACATTATTGTTGTGTTTAATATAATAATTATTGACGCATTAACGGCTTTTAATTTAGTTTTCCGGGTGTACCGATTACATTGTCATTGATAATTTAGCCGAAAACCGTATATAATAGTACATTATAGATATACGGGTTAGGTTAGGTTAGTCATCTTTATTGACGAAAACGAGCTCGTTTTTGTCGGACCACGACGTGACAGTTGGGCCAGATTATGTACATTTTCGAGGCACTGAAACCGTCATCGAAATCTTTTTTCAGCTGTTAATCACATCATGTAGGTTATCAAGTCGACCGACGATACCTATGATACATATATTTTATATATTTTACTACGCCAATAAAAAGCAAACACATCGTCAACAGACAGGCAGCATAATAATGAATACAAACTGTGTATTGAAAAAATATAATATCATCAGCCAAATTTTTAACTATCTGAACTCCAAAATGGCAATTTTACGGGAGAAACAAACAAAAAAAGTTTTCGTCGTAAAAGTCTCAACTACAAAATGACAATATTTTATACGCGTAGATAAGATTTTTCTTCAACTTATTTCGTTGTATTTGTATCGGCACTTTCACGGAATAATAAATTATTTTATTTTATGAGTCAGCGTGTTTTTAAACGATCAGGAATCAGACCGACAGTATAATGTAGGCTCAATATTTTTTTTTTTTTTTTTAATTATAAAATCAGATTAAACGGTAAATCTTTTTCGAAATATGCGCATTGATTCAAACGTAGTTACTATAGTTTTCAAAACACATATAAGCTTCAGTTGAAGAGGACGAAATTCGTACTACATTTCTTGTAAGTCTATTGTATATAGGACATAGGTACTTATCGCATGTGCAGTATTTAAAACTGCATGCGGAGCGTAGGAGCTCTCCGTGAATCCGTTTCTCGTTCGGTTTTTTTGTTATTCGACGCCTCTGCGCCACTCTCTATACAAATTTACACCGAACACACACGCACACACACAAACACTGACGTACACGCGCGCCCATGTCGTACCCAATAATGGCAAATCAATTTCGTCAAAACGTAAAAATCGATCTAGTCCGGACATTGCGAAAGGTCACCGTGTCTTTATTACCACTTTGTCTTACGCTAAAATTAGATTGTGAGCAAATATCACATCTCCACGAATGATAAGAAACGTAACCTCAAGAGAAAAAAAGTCATACTATTAAAATTTGACACTTAGTTCATTAACTCAAAGACATATTAATAAATAGACTGTGTTTCCTACCTCCAGACTATGGTTTCCACTGAAAATGTTGTGTGAGAGAGAACAATATATCGTAGGGAAATATTGGAAGAAGGAATGCTTAAACATTTTTTTGACCATGTATATAAATTATATAAATATGATAAATATTTAAATATGCAAGTTTAAATAACGGAAGAAATGAGTTGTAATCTTCTTCTTCGTAACTACCCCTCTGATATTACTATCTTTTTCATTAAATGTCGGCTTTGGTTTACTATCTTTAAGTGTAGTTCATTTATTAAACTGTCTATGTATTAACGATATTATTGGAGTAATATTAAGTTTGGAGTTAGATTGAGATTTGTATGTTTGGAAGTCGGTATATTTGATTTTTCGGCTGTTCGTATTTTTTTCCTATAACCCGAGTGAGTTTGTCCCTCAGACTACCTAACGTTGTCTGTAATTCCGGTATATAGCTCAAGGAGTAAATACTTGTACGCATCTCGGCCCGTTGAAAATCTCGCAGTAATATTCGAATGCAAAACCAACGTGCGACGATAATTAGAATTTGTTTCCAAATCACCTCTCAGGGATTCGAAGTGGTTTTCGCCTTCTAGATATTATAAAAACAATATTGTTCGATAGTTTGTAGTTTTTTACAGTACTCTCTAGCTGCAATTTTTAATTATCGTGAGTCGACTGTATAAAAGCGTCGAAAAGCGTCAGCGCCGGAAAAGCTTTTTCTAAAAATACGATTTTCACATTATCACTAAAGACGCCACAAACTTTATGCAGAGAACAAAGACTGTGAAAAAAATGTGAAACCGATGAAAAGTTTCATACCGATACTTATAAAAAATATAAAACTATTGATACTACTTTTTTCAATAAAATGTAATAATAATAAAGTTAATATTATAATATGCTTTTTCGAATTACTCAGTTCGACGTGAAACCGAAAAAATTATTTTCAAAATATACCCACAACCGACGGAATATGCAGAAGGAAGTAGATTAGGAATTATATGCCCCTCTATCGGGCTTAAAAATATAAAGAAAAATATGAGTATTTATTTAATAATTTTTTTTCGAATGCATATATATTTCTGCCAAATTGTGAGGAAAATCTTGATGTATTTTAAAAATTGCCTTTTTTGAATGGCTTTTAAATTACCAATTATCATAATCGTGTCGGGTGCAGAAAATGACCTTTACATATACGATTATGCAATTTATTTACGATTCTAATTATTTGCTACACATCTCCTCCCATTGAAAATTCCTGGATGCGACAGTGACATCATTGTCTACAACGCGTTATTATTGCATTCGATTTTCTAAAACAAAATAAATAAATAAATCGTATACCTACTAATGAAATACTGACCTACCCAAGAAGCCAAGTAGGTATTACTTTTATATTACACTCCTTATAATAATATATATATTTGTAGTCCTTGAAAATAAAAATCGTCAACGACACCGCGTTATAATGGTTGATATTGTATACCTACACATTTATCACTACAAATAATTTGAACAAAAAGTTTTTCCGGTTTCACAAGAATCCGGGTTCGCGTAACGACGTGCATATAATGTCATGTTGTATTTTAATCAAAATTAACGACACGGCCGTTTCGTTAAGTCTAATAATATGATAAATTGCATTTGTCGAGGTTTTATTTTTTAACATCGTAATATTACGGCGTACAGGTGTCACGTAAAATTTCGACTTCTTTAAAAGTGCGTTTATTTGACAATTTACTATTGATGCAAAATAATTTTTTACCTTTGTGCAATACGAAATAAACCAATAAAAGGGCTAAACACCTTTTCTAAACTTTTTAAAATTTTTTTTTTTTGATAAATTGAAATTAGTTGCGTTCGCTCTTAAGTATAAACCTATCGGTTAGGTCATCATGAATATATTGTTGTAAAATATACGATGTAAATATTTTATTCTATAATAGCACGAATCGATCGACTGTTTTTCTAGTTAGGAAAAACAAAAAAAAAACAAAATGAATACATATTTTTCGCAACTTTTTGTCATGAATGATTAAAAATTGAAAAATACACTATAGGCACAGCTGCAGATTACATTATCTGCACTATTTCAGTTGTCATTTTACGATATTTATAGATTTTAGTAGATAAATCGAGATAACGAAATTAATTATGATTTTCTTTTAAGGAACATACTTTTTGTCAATATTTCTGATCCGTAATTTATTTAAAATATATCGCGTAATGATTTTATATCAAAATTTTTTTAATACACTTAATAATAAACTCATTATTCAATACAAATTTATAGACATAAATTGACCGTTTGAATGATAAAATATAAGTTAAAAATATTTGGACAGAATAAATTCAACAAATTAAATTCCTTTTTAAAAGAATGCATTCATAGATGTCACTACTTTTATTTTTAAGGAATTTTAAATTCGAATTCATCATTTTATGTTAGAATGTGAATGCAAACGATGGAATGTTTGTATTCATTATAAAAATAATAAGAAATGATAAATAGGAATGCATTACTTTTTTCAGCTCAGGATTGTGAATGGGGGTGAACTTTAGAGTATTTTAATCGAACATTTCAATATTACAAACAGAATTTCGATACTTCAATTAATCTGTATATACCTGTATTAATTTAATATACCTATTATAACATTTAAAATAAAATAATATTTTACCTAACATCATTTCGAAATATAATTTTTAACTTATATACGGATATAACAAAGAATAAGAATATAATATTCTACAGTTAAAATTGTGTAAAATAATAATTTGAAGTGTTAATTTATACCTGCTCACTGCAGTATACTTGTATTATGTTTTGTTGTACATTACAATTATATTATGTGAAACTTACATTTGTGTCACAAACATGTTTACTTAAATCTTATGACGCTATGATTATTTCATAACGACAGTTTCGGTTTAGTTTGAAGTAGATACCCTATGGCTTATATAGTTATAAATAATGCAAATAAAACTAAATTCTTGAGAAAGGCATTTAACATGGTTCTACTACAAATATTCAATTAAAATGACTTTTTATACTATAATATACTCGAGCGACGTATTACGTATAAAGGCAACCATTCAATTCACGATACCTGTTCTATTTTATTTTTTTTTTTACACTTACATTAATATCAGTAAGTTTAATTCAAATTCCGAAATCTTTTTTTAAATTCTACAAACTATATAAGTGATATTAACCGTTAACTTATTATTTATTTTGTAAAAATTAATTTAATCGAATATAAAGTTTAAGACGTGAGATTATAGTATTCATAAATTAATTATATTATTACACAATTAGTACACTTCTTAATATTATAAAATAAAATTTTGGTTTTTTTTTAAGTGATATCAATACCATAAGAAAAAAGCTATATCAGAGCTAGTAGATCAACTTTTGGCTGATCTACTGATGGGTATGCCACTGTTTTAGAAGCGAGGATACGTACAGTAATTTAATTTATATCTGTACGGAGGTAATAAATAATTAGTAATGGAAAAATATTCCAAGTAGAGCATTATTAGTCTTATATTTCCATTATTGCTGAGGTGAAACCAGAAACAAACAAAAATTAAATCAAATACTGCAGGTTTTTCCAATTTATTACGAAAACTACGTGGCAAATCAAAATGAACCTTTGCAATGCTCTAACTAGATCTAACTAAATTCCCTACGAGAAAGTTGTTATAAAATGTTTGATTGGTGTACGATTTCTGGCAGGAAAGTTGTTCACAAACACACAAAAAAATACATTACAGTTATAGTAAAACCGATATATTCATCGCTTTTCTCAGAATCTAAAATTAATTAAATGTATACAAAACGGCTACTTATATTATAATATATGATATACATATATATTTGTTATATTTTGTATAATTCAATTTATATTGTCGTAACAAATATGTAATACTCGTATTATAATTAGGGATAGGTGATTCAATATCTTTGATACTTAAAACAGTATTGAATATCGAAATCTATAGGTGATTTTTGGTATCGATTTCTATATTTTATTATATTATAAAATAATAAGCTATGCCATGACAATCACACCGTGGATGAATAGATTAGCTATAATTAAATAAACTAGTATTTTTTTAAATTTAAATGTGTTATTTCTTTCAAATTCTAAATAACGAAATTTTATAATAATAAATGATATTAAAATTTAGTAATTGTGTTTTAAAAATTATTCTAAAGTATATATTTGTCATTTAAGTAGGTATTTAAATACCTACCTTAAAATACAAAACGTTTAAAAACCTATTTGAAATATACCACGCCGTCTGCGGTAATCTAAAACTATAGTATTTTGTAATTATAACATAATGTATTGAGAATATTAACCCCGTGTATACCGGTTTATTATCTAATCGATTATTATTTGAAATTCGTCTACATTTTATTATTAAACACGCCAATGATCTTGACATTATCTCAATAATATAATTCGTATAACCGACGAGAAACGATTAATAATATTGTCCGTCTTAGTATTTTCCCAGAAAATACACGTCACTTTGGTTACACTGTTCGGCGTTCGTATATTATATCTGCTGAAAAGATCGAATATCCGCGATCCAAGTTTGTACACGTATATAAGCTGAGCCCCTAAATCCCCTCGAGGGTACAGGAATAATTTTAAATTGCCAATTAGCGCTGTATAATATTATACATACCGGTCTTGTTAATAATTATAAATGTGGAAAAATACAATAATATAACTCCCCAAGGTCTATGCGGAATTCTTGCAAGTTTTACAGTGTTTAACAATATGCTAGTTGTATTACTATTATTATTGCGCACGGATAAATTTCCCCTTCCTTAAAAGACTTTTTTTAAAAATATTTTATGATATACCTTGGTAGACCTATCTGTAATAGTTCTGTAACTATTTTTTTCAAATAAAATACTACCGGGTAAAAAATTGGTGAGATACAATACGATTAATTTTGAACATTTTTACTAGCCGAAAAATTATTTTCCATGAAAAAAAAAAAAAACTAAACAAAGGATCCAGTAAACTGTGAAAATTTTCAAATAAAGTACCTGATATCAGGCCAACTTTTTAAAGTAGATACTACCTACGTCAATTTTGCCTAACCGAAAAGTGTAAACTAAAAAAAAAAAACATATTTCAGTAAAACTAATAGCTTATTCACTTCACTCAGAATCTACAACATAAATCTAGGAGAGGTGAGATACCCCATACGATATTTATCTAACAAATTATCCATCCCCTCCTCACACCAAAATAATAACTCCGTCATAGCACGGCGTGCATCGGTCTTTGATCTTTAATCGATTTAGTAACAATTGATAGAAATCAAATATGATTAAGTATAAAAATGGTTTTAAATTGGTCAACTGGTATAAGTATATAAATATTTTTTGGGCTATAAAAAAATTAAAATATGAATAAAAGGTATGAGTATTTATATGAAACAGTTTTTTTAATATTTTTTTTTCTAAAACACAAAATAAGTCATAGATTAACCAAAATACCGACTCAAAACAAGACTAAAAGCGTTAAACTACAGGGCAAACGCCTAAGTTCTCCCCTCTCAATGAAGCTACTAGATTATCTCTATTTATCACAGTTCAATTATATATAATTTATGTAGAAGACGAATATAAAAATGAAAAAAAAGGAAGTGAGTACAATAGATCGTTCATTTCATATTGTTTGCTAATGTCCTTCAAATAGCAACATTAGGAAAGACACTAAATAATGTGTAAAAGTCCGATTAATCAGATATCGTCTAGTAGAAAATCGTAAAGAAGAATAAGAAAAATATTCATGATATGCGATGACTTGAAATATTCAAAATGAAAAAAAGATGACGTACAAAATATTGTTTTTATAGCACTAAACGGTTATATAGTAATATTATTGAAGTATACCTATAGAATATAGATATAGGGAAATTAAAAAATAATTTTGATTTAGTTTATAACTTCCATATATATTTACCTACACGTAAATAATTGCCTATTGTGATTATGAAAAAAATTGCATTATTCACATAACAATGCAAAACGATTCTGTTATTTCTTTTATTATGTACAAATAAAAATTGCCAACTTAAAAAACAAATTTTCACGATACGAATAAATTAATTAAACTGCAATTCACCGCAAGAAGAATAAATTATTACAATATAATAGGTAACCTACCTATTATATATACATATAATATATTATACTCTTTGTTTGCTATAAAATAAATTAAAAACTAAAGAAAAATTTTTACATTTAAATATGGACCTAGATAAATTCGTTTTTACGAGTTTCCTTGTTTTTTCATTGTCTTTAATTTTGAATTGTTTATAGTTTTTTATCGGATAACGAAGATAAATTCATATAGTATTAAACTGTATAGGTGTGCGGTCTATTTAGAAAATAGTAACGATCCATTTGAATTTATATACTTATAATATTTTTAACGGATTTTGTTTGAAAATAACATTTTTTCCCGGTGGTTTTGCTTATTAAATAATTAAATATTTTTTTTTTTAGAAATTATATACATTTATTCTATTCTACCTATTCTAGTTATATACAAAACTGCAAACTTTATAGCAGTAAAAATCGACCACCTTAAGTATTACTTTACAGCGTAAGATTTTAAAAATAATTGTTTGTTTATATTTTGTATTGATGTTACTTGCAAACTCTTTCAATGAACTATGAATATTGACTGAGACTTTAAATCGAGCTTATTATACGGAATTCATTTTAATTTAATATTATTTCAAAATATATATGATATTAACTTAATCTTCTAAGCCCGTCAAGAATGAAGTGTTATGAGTTTTTTATTACTTTTAAAATAGATCGGTACTGAACTCGATTGAAATTCTAATATTATTTTTACTAAAAAAAAAAATCGGTCAAATTTAACTGGCATAACTGGCAGGTATATCCCGAGACACCGGATTTACATATATTTATTAATCGATATAATATTGATGGGAAAATCTCTAAATCATAAAATCGACAAAACGTATTTTACGTAGGTATACCTACGTTTGCGAATATAATCCTTGTTTACTAAAAAAAATAAAAAATAAATTACAATCTAAAATATAAAAACTTATACGCGGCTTTAGTTGCTTTTATTACACTTACCTATGACATCACTATTATACCTGCAGCCTATATGTGTAGCGCTGCACTACTGCGAAAACACATTAATTAACAGAGTGGGCGTAGGTACGTTTCGTAGGATCGGGTTTTATCTCTTAGCGTTTATGTAAATCAATATATATGGGTCTCCGGTATACCTACACAATGTTAATAACGGTACAACAAAATAATATAATATATGTATAATACACACACACACACACGCGCGCGCAAATTTTAAACGTATTAAAGAATCTAGCACGTGTTTCGTGTAACGATAATATTATTACATCCTAGAATCACTACGGGTTTGACGTCAACCGGAGTATTTGGTTTGTACATAAAACACGGTGCGTCGTCTAAAAACATACTGTCTGGGCTTTTGATTTCGGATTTTCGAGTTCTGTACACCTTTTTAGAAGGATTTTGATTTCGAGTATCAAATCGATAACTCTTTTCGGGAAGAACGATTTTCTTGAATGCTATACGGTCTCAGAAAAAATAATAATTACGTCTATATTATAAACTTCTGAATGAGGAAAGGGCCGTGTTTTCAAGAGAAATACAATAAAATCCTTAAGCGCCTAAAGTTTTATAACATTTCATAAAATGATTATGGAAACTTATAGACGATAATCATTTCTAACACTACACATACCATTAAAATATTTAATATCAAGATGAGATTTGTTTCTTATTCATTTTCAGTGATATCAAATATATGTGTCTTTCTTGGAAACTTTTAAAATGTAAACAAATATGATCTTTCTGAAATACAATAATATGTCTGCCGCCAATTTACAGGTTGGACAAATTTCATCTGATAATTTCATCTGAAAATAAATATAATTTCTAATTGGAAATTTGTTAATTTTGCGAATCGTGAATTTACGTTTTGAAAGTCGATTTACTTGAAATCATACCCAGGTGGTTTACATGAAAAAAAAACCCGCTGATTTATTGGGTCACATATAGGATTTTACAGTAGTCATCGTCAATAAATGTGTCCGGTCGAAAAACTTAAAAGTACCTAGGTATACGAAGCCGAAAACGTACTACGCGTATTTGCCAAAACGTCGTTGTAAATAATTGACACGAGTTTGCTAATTAACGTTTTAACGGTGACACTCGTTTTGCATTTAAAATATCCACTGTCGACGTCATTGTACCGTGCTTACCACACACACGCGCACACGCTCGCGGAATTTTGTGATCAAATTATAAGGAAACGAAACGGAAATCATCCTGCCTTGCGGGTCACGATGTCGCTGAACTCCAAAAATATGCGTTGGCAAATATAAAAGTCAATATATGTAGGCATAAATAGCTTAGGTTCTTACAAGATTCATTGAAATTTCTGACTATTCTCCCAATGGTCGTTGAACATATTGGTTTTTAGCGAATACTTTTAAAATTTTTTCCAATTTTCCTAATATTGGTTGTTAAAATTGATAATAATATAGTTGACGTGTGTGAATAATTCGCATTCAAACATTAATTTTTAACTTTATTTCTGTATAGTTCTAATTGTACAATTCGTCTAAAATACTGTCCTCTTAATCCCCACATAAGAGTCACTTTTAGGAATAATATTGATATCATAATAATACAGTTTTTTATAGATATGAAAATAGTATACATATAGGTAAAATATAATAAAATTATTTCATACCCATTAAATATTTGAAAAATTAAAAAAATTAAAGCTAAAAATGATCACATTAAGAAGTTTTAATTGGGCTACATAAGAATTCTGATTTCAGTATTTGCGTGTATAGATAGAATAAAAAATCTAACCTGAAGAGTAAATCATACAACAACAAATGGCAAAAACTCGAAGAGAAATTTTTTTATTAAACCAAGAGCAATTATTCCGATCAAACACACGTACACCTTATGATTGTGTGTAATATTTCTCAGAATAATTGTATACTGTAAAGTTTATAGATGATAACCAATAGCACTTACCAAGTAGGAACCTATATTAACCAAGTAATATTATTTCGAAAGACAGGTATTTACAAAATCATAATAGAAGTACTTTTCCGATAGAATATAAAATGTTTTATTGCTAAATAAACGCAATAAAACTAAATAAGTATTTATTTTTTTATTGTCAAGCAAAATATGTCATTTATTATATTTCAACGATGACGAAAATTCACGATTCTTTACCATTCAATAGTTTAGTCACGTGTTTAAAATAAAAACCTGTGCAATTTAAATTCTACACTTGTGTTATATAATACTGTACTGAAAAATATTGTGGAATATATATTTTTTAAAGTTTATAATCAATTAAAAATAACCGGAGTAAGCTTTATTTAGTAATTAAAAAACTAAAATTTCAAAAATTTGATACAGCTCACAGATGTACAAAGTAATTTGATTTTTATATTGTATGCAATGATAAATCATTGCAATCCAAAAAACAATTCTGAGCGGATTAATATTAGTAAAATTAGACGTGTTTTTTTGCCCCGTAAACCAGTTTGTAAACCAGAAATCAACAAAAACAAAATCGATGTATTAACATCGGACATTTTTTATTGGTATTTTTTTTAATTTAATAAAAAAAAAACAGTTGGGAATCTAGACATTTTTTTCCAAATAAAGTACTATCGGACGAAAAATCCACATCTTTCTAAGAACGATGAGAACTATCCTTCTTACTAAATGAAAGTGTTTTCCGATAGGTAAAAAAAACCCCAACAAATGTTTCAATTTAAGTATTACTGGGCTACTGGTACTACTAAAAATTTCAAATTCCATAATTTTACAACTTTATATAAATACTGTTTTATTTATTTGTTATTACATATAGTTGTATTATTTGTTACTTTATCAATATTGTTTATTACCTAATATTTATGGACTTACAGTTACAACAAGTATTATGAATGATTACACAAGTCCGATTACTCGAATATAAAATGAGAAAAACAAAAACCATTGAGATATTACGAGTACCTATCTATAATTATATTATGGTATGATACCCATATTCAAATCAAATTGTTTTTTTATCTTGAGAAAAATTTCGATACGCTAATAATTATGAATCCTTGAGAATTATGTCTACTATATTGTATTAAAATGCTTATGAAAAGATTAATTAAAACGTTTCCATTTATATATATTGCGACTCGCGTAAATTTTATACGTAGGGAAATAATTTTTCATAAGTATGAACTCGCATCGCGAGAACGTATCAGTAAGACCGTGTAATAAACAGTGGCGACATAATAATAATAATAATAACAACAATAATCTTTGATATCGTATATGTCCTTGTCACGGTCAACGGAACGCGCGGAGGCGTAGAACACAACCTATACAACAGTCGATAATAATATTTCATAGTAGGTAATAATAATGCGCCTTGTGTCGAATATTTCGTAGCGACCCACTACCGAGGTTTCCAAAAACCGTCTTATCAGAATCAGTGGTGGATTTTCAACATTTTTTTGCGACAAGTGCTAAAAAATAAAATTTACCTATTTCAAAGGTATCTATATATTAGATACCTCTTTTTCAGATGAAATTTTATTGAAATTATATCGGTGTCTGGGGGTGTCCAGACCCCCTGAACCCACCCCCATCCTTAAATCCATTACTATAAAAAATTAAATTTTGAAACGGGGCTATTTTTCATACTCCTAGTGTAGAGAAGTACATATTAGTTTTCAAATTAAATTAAGGCTTTTTTCCCGGAAAACACATTTTGTCACGCAGTCCCTTAAAAACTGTGGAAATTCCACTGGGTATTTTACTTAAATATACGCTGATATATTACTTGAAACGTTTTTCTAAATTTCCGACAGTTTTTCTTGAGAATTTAAAAAACCGACAATACATTGATTTTATTTTTACTTTTTATTGATTTCTGGGTTACCCAAATATTGAAAGTTATAAGGGGAAACACATGACAAAAACCAATATTATACCAGTTTACCGATTAGAATCGTTTTTTGGTTGCAATATGTGTCGTTGATTTCAATACATATAAACTAAATTATCCTACTGTCTTACACTCCTATATACGTTTTCAACATCTAACACAAGTTAGAAATAAATGTTATTAGTGAGCTAATCTATGGTACAAAGTATACATTCGGTTTTTTTTTTAAAAATATATATTTTTATACAATAAATCGCAATCTAGCGCAAAACATCAAATATCATCATTTGAAAACGAACTTAATACATTATTTTGATCAGTATTTCGATCGTATTGCTATTGTAACTTTGCATTGAAACTTGTAACGATAAATATTGACTCGTCGCAGGTCTAATCCTAATCTGGTTATCTGTTCACAACCACAGGCTGTTCTACAGTGTATATTATAATATATAAGTACATAAGATAGTACTCAATTGTAATATCATAATAATAATAATAATTGTTATTATTATTATTATTATTATTATTATTATTATTATTATTATACCTCACTGGTTTGTCTACCTACACGCCCGTCACACCCACCACCGTGCGTCAAATTGTGCGCACATACACTACAATATTGAGTATATACCGCGTGTATCTGTTATGCCAACAGTTTTCGTTTGAATTTTGGGTATAGTCGCATAGACCAACGTTTCTTAAATTTAAGGTCACGAATAATTTTAATTTGGTTGGCCTAACATTTTAAAATTCCAATAAGAAAAAGGATGTTTTAAACATGTTAAAATAAGACAAATACAAATTATACCATAGAGACCTCCTCATTCCATATATTAAAAACGTTGCCAAAACATTTTACAAATGTTTCCGTCTAAAATTAATAAATCATCGTAACCCGCTAATCCAAAATCTCTCTTCCCAAACGATCCCAGGGGATCCTGGCCGGCGTTTAAAGCGTAACTGGTGCCGTGACCTTCTAGCTGACTGACCATTGCCATACACGTCATGGAGTCCTGTTACTGAATAGGTTCTCCAATCAAGCCCACTTGAATTTCTCTCCATTTATTATCCTTATTGTAAAATTATTATACAGATTGTACAAATAAATAAATATGATAAAAAGTTTTAGTATATTTTAAGATGATGTCAGTAGCACTTGAACGAAAATCGTAACACTATTTATAAATGTGCATAATTATAATAAAGAAATATACAAAATAATATTTGTATTATTTCGTTGTTAATGACTAAAGAAGAATCTTTTGTAGATGAATCCGATTAATCAATTTATGAACATTGCATTGTGGCATCAAATATATATTTTTTAAACTTTTTAACTATCATTTTTCCGTGGAACTGCATGCAAAATAAACGTAACCACGCGTTTTATTAACACGACACGGTATACTGAGAAACTTCCTTTAAAAGTAGATACAGATACTAAATAGGATTCGTTCAAAACATCGCTGAGGCAAATTTACTCCTTTCTTAGAAAAAATATGGAAGATTGAAATTAGAATTATTTATTTGAGTTTACGCCAAAGGTTCAAATACCGTTATTATGTAAACAAAAATGAATGAGTTAAAAATAATATTAAATAATATGAATGAAGAGAAAAGTAAACATTGTTACAACTTAAAAATAAACAAGCAATATTATTTTAACAGGTGAGAAATTTGAATAAAACATATTTTATTACAAATTAATATTCTAACAGTAACAACATGAGTTGCGTTGTAAAACTGAAGGACTACCGGGTTTAAAAAATCAAAATTATAGACAATTTGTTACACTCAACTGACATTCTATTCAGAAGAGTATTAAAGTCGTAAGAAGTTCTACGAGAAGATAAAAGTGAAGAAAAAGTGGGACAGGAGTGAGAAAAGTATTAGGGTTACAAGAATTGGAACGAGATTGGAATTGAAACAGTTCAGGACTAGAGATGTGACCATTTAATAGCTTATACATAAAATAAACATCAAAATAACGACGTCTACTAGATTAGAAATCTAAGTTAAAACTATAATGATGTAAGTTAGACTCAATATCGCTGTGGTTATTATACAACAGAAAAGTGAATATATGAAAGAATAGTGCTGGATAATACTTTGGTTAAAAATTTGTATACCACCCCAAAAGGTTAAGAGACAATAATGGGCGCTCGCAGGAAATTTATCAGGGAGGGGCATAATAAAATTAAACATCAAAAAGTACTTAAAATAAAATTATTAAAATTATATTTGAAATTTTGAAGTCTAGAGAGGGGGCAAATGCCCCGTCTTTCCCCTTCCGGGCGCCCATGGAAACTATTATAGCACACATGCTGTGAAACATAAACATATTATATGTGCATTGCTCAGAATCGTCTACATTAAAAAAGCGAAAATTTACAATGTACAATATAATATTGTAGACAATTTTTTCTGAATAGGAAAATAAATGATAATAATATTGAAAAGGTACATTTAAAACTTTTTGACTAACCTGCCCAGTACTTTTTTAAACATATTACTGTCAGTATTTTAATACGGTATAACACATAAATATATACGTAACTAGCATTACATGTTCAACGGCTTCATATCGATTTTCGATTTCTAATCAACCAGATCTCAATACGAAACAATCGTGAACGTAATAAATTTCTTGTGAAGCTGAATATGGAAAATAATTAGTAGATTAGGTAAGCTTGCACGTTCAGATGTTCTACAATAAGAATAGTTTAGCCATAACTACATAAAATATTTATGTGTTTCCGTAGACATTTTTCAGCAGAAAAAACTATTTACATGAAACTGATAGACGAATTTCTACAATATCATAAATTAATATTTTTCATAATATTATTATAACAGTTTTTCCAGGAGTAAAATATCAAGAAAAATCGCTACTCAAAGTTGAATATTTTAAAATTTCAAAACAAAAAATGATCATAAATAATACGAGTACATTTATGAATATCCCATACAATTTGGAATACCTATTCAAAACCGGAGTTATTATAATTATAGATAAAAATAATTATTAATAATAACTTCAATTTTATATTATCGACATCACACAATTAGTTAATAAATCAAATACTTGCCACTCTTGTTATATTTTTGTAAACCAACGCAGTTATTGTTTTGTATGGTTGACAATTGCAAAGTGTTACGTCTTACGTATATAATTCTGACCAGTGAAATGGCATTGGATTAAGATAGTTTTATTCGCTTAACATATAACTTAACCAAATATAGTTTGTCTAACGAAACGAGAAATAACTGACCATATGTAAAAATTAGAAATCAATTAATAATTATAGCTGTATGTATGGTGTTATAATCACCAGATTGATATACGTACTAAAATATTATACTACTTCCATAAAAAAAAAATTGAAATTTTGTGTCATAAAAATGGTAATGGTAGGGGTTAAAAGTCGAAACTCCCAAAAGGCATATCCTTGATCAAACGCCATTCATACACAAAATGTCATCAGTCTGGCTACATTTCGGGGGTCTGTAGGGGTATCCAGGACAGGCGTTACGCTTTCCAAGGCCCTGGATAAATTAATTTATGTCATGTTTTTTTTTCGACGTACCACTCTTTTCACTTAATAATTATAATAATACCCTACATTTGGCCGCGGCCGGAAATACTGTTTAATGAAACAACGCGCGTGTACGTACTTTTCCCAAAAACATAGTTACATTTCTAAAAAAATTATTTTCCCAGTTTTACGCACATTATAATTATGCTACCCTTTTTTATAGGTCTCTAAGCTTCGGGCCTCGGAACGCGCGAAGCCCTGGACGTAAGCCCCACTTGTCCTACCCAACCGCCGACCCTGGGAGTATCCAAAGCTAAAAAACCACACACCCCCCCCCCACACCAACATAATATGATTGAAATTAGACTCGACTATTATCCGCCTAAAAACCCAATTTAATTTCTGGATTTAAGCTCGTTTGGTCCAGAAGGCACCACTCTAATCGTGTCCAAAAGTAGCGGGAATCAGATACAATATACAGTGCATTAGTTTCAAATTTTCTGAGGAAATTCGACCGAACCCATAAAACATCATAGCGTACATACATTATTATATCGGAATAAATTACTATAAAAAGATTCATCGAAATAAACTCCAATAGTCTGGGTCTAGGTGTACAGTATAATATATTATGATTGTTTTGCGCGACGTGTGAAGATAATGATCTCAGTTGACGTTATAGGTTTGTACCGCAGAGCATAACAACAACTGTAAGTACATAACGGACAATAATTATTGCGTGATTTCCGCGTAATTTGTGGGTACAGCTGTAACAACAACGCGTATCAGCAGTACTCGGTCATCGTGATAATAGTATTACCGGTGGATACACGTACCGGAGAACCGAAGACTTTGCCCACGCGAATCGATCGTTATTGCGTGTACACGCGAAACGCAATAATTCTGCACCGGCGGTGTTCAGGGACGCGTTGCATATTCGTATTACAATGTACGCGCCGGTGCATCTGCGCGCGCGAAATAGGCTCCTCGCACGTTTAACGTACAAACTGTACGGGACAGGCGGGCAGGTTCATACGCACATAACGTTACAGTAATGTTACGTTCATAAAACGCCCATCCGACGAACGATCGTCAGCGGTTTCCGTTGGGTAGGACGCACTAGAGGCGGGAAAAAAAAACATCTAATAGTTTTTTATCGGCGTTATTATTATAATATTTTGTTCTACAATATAAATAAATCGCGTCGCGTATATAACATTAATAATAATAGTATCATAAAATAACGCGGTTTTTTTTTTTTTTCCATTTGTCCGACACGTCTTAATACGGGACCAAGGCCGATTTAGGACGTAGGTATGTAATGCGCCTATAATATTGCATTCATATCCGCTGGAGATCATCGACGCGCAATTTAAACCCGCACAAAAAGATAACAGTAAATCATACGGGTGGCTGCCGCGCATACGCGCGCGTCCGATACGAAACCTTATAATTATACGATTTATCTCGCGATAATAAAATAAAATGTGGCAAACGATTTGGAGAGATTTCGCGCGATCTAATATTGCAAAGTCGGTACGGTATTTAAGATCAAAGATTCGTATTATAGATATCAACACCGAATCGAAACCTGTAATCATCGTCTCGCGTGGTTTTTTTTTTTTTTTTGTTTTATCTTGAGCGAAAATCGACCATCGGCGTAACGTTATTATTTCAGTGGAAGAAAAAAACAAATGGTAAATTACGCAACGAATTAACGATCGAGAGTGCTACGTTCGATACAGAAAAGTAATCTGAGGTCTCGTAACGAAACATTTTCATTTCGCACGACCGATGATGTACACGAAATCCGCGACGGTTCCATACGCACGTGACAACTAATCCGCGACATATTAGCCGACGTGCGTTAATACAATATGATGCACGTCTGTATGTAACCGAATTAATATGCGACAAGGAACACCGCCACACGGATTGTTTCCTGACACGTATATGTATGACATGTATAATAGAGAAAAAAAAGTGTCCCCTAATTTGGTACGAAACCTTGAGCGTTTAGGTATAGTCGTTCCTTTGTGACCGTTCTAGTGAACAGGTAGAAAATGTTATATTTTTTTTTCTATAAAGTTCACGAAAACCATAAAAACATTCATCATTATTGCGATTATCATTATTATTATTATGAATTTCACTTACTCGAACATCGTTGTTTTATCGGTTTGAATGATAATTTGTATTTCCAAGAGTTCTTCTTTTGCTTAACGTATTCCTCCGCCAGCCGATTAATGTTCACTATAATAAAAAAAAGAAGAAAAAAAATAATAACATTAGTACCTATGTTTATTAAACACGTCTGCTGATAATGAAAAAAAAAAAAATTACAGGCTGTGTTTAAATAACGTGCGTTTATACAATACACGCATATCAAAATGTAAAATCTGTTCAAACTGTGAAAAACGGATTAAAAAAATAATATTATGATAATCTATCATATTGTCATGCGGTTTAAAACACACTTTGTGGTTATGTGGCTTGTAAATGTAAACACGTATTATGGCAAATATTTTTTTATAAATTAACTATGATATTAATTATATTTAGGAATTTTGAGTTAAAGTCGCAAAAACCGCATGACTAGCATATTTTATTTTATTTTATTTAAACATTTTTATAAACATTGAAATGAACTTTTCACAGGATTTTTCGGATTTTTCGACAAAGCTATAATACCATTAATTATTATACGAATACAAAAACTAATCCTATAACCCGATATATTTTATATTCAACTTATTGGCTATGCCATTACAGGCAACATAAACGTTAAAGCAATTATTGTTGTTAATGCCCGCCTGTAAGCCAACGATCAAATTAAACCGCGTATAAATCCAAATTACGCGTGCATAATTTAAAACCATCTATATTCTATATATAGGCAAAATGAATAATTTTCAATATTACGAACTCTATGTAAATAACGAACGCACACGTGTATTTGAAGCTTTGGACGCGAATACACGTGGCTTTTAATTGTACACAGTTCTAAAACAATCACTGACTATTGCAGTATACATAATATTACAATAATAATAATTGTCTTATTATTGTTCATTACGCTATGTTGATAAACACGAGATTAACGAATAAATTGACAATGCTGTACAATAATGTTTTCGAACACACCGACGAGTGACAAGAATCGTCGCTTCCGCAAACGTTTGCAATATATCACGGACCGCGTATAATACGTCATAATAATATGTCGTCGGTCCGATCCAAAACGAATATTACGTCAAACGAATGGACTACCTGTGCGATTGTCGATTTATCTATCAATTTTACAACCGTATGCCTATAGTGACCGGCAAACCGATCACCATTCGGTGGGGTAAATCCGAGACATTACGATAATATAATTCAGATATCAATTTTGTTACGGTCGCGGGAGAAAATAAAAAAAACCGTTTAGATAGGGGTCGCGGTTTTCTTATCGGGCGGACGATATTCCACGCGGTTTTTCTCGCCGCCGTATTTCGACCTGTATGTAACGAGTAAACGAAAAAACAAAAATAGTTTGACTACTTTTTAATTTTTCGCCTGCAGCGATAATTTAGGTTTATAACAATATGTGACTATATATAAGCCCCAATTTCAAAATTAATCTTTTAAATAGATAAAATAGATAAAAGATTTTATCTTTTATATATATATATATATTAGCTACTAATAAAAACTATATAGCCCGACAGTTGAATTACAATAAAAAGAAAAGGAAAACAATTAACAAATAATAATACAATGTGACATAAATATTAAACAACGAAACCAGCTTCCAAAATGATACCGATAAGAGTTGAGGATAGAAAAATGATTGAGATAAATATTAAGAGGTTCTATGGAGTTGTACAAAATTAAACGTTTGCCGTGTGAACAGTGACAATCGAAAAGTTTATGGGAGAAAGATCGAAAATACTTTGGGCGAGATACAGTGCGCCGAAAGAGAGGAGGAAATCGGTTTATAAAACTAGTAAAACGCGTCGGATATGTCTTATCCGTGAAACGAGTAAAAATTATTGTAGCGAATCTGCGTACACGAGCGCCACGGCACATAAAATCCGTTAAAAATTCAAGAAAGATAAATATTTTTCAATGACCGAAATGAGCTTATTCGCGTCAAAGTACACGCCCACCGCTGTCGGTAACGTAAAATGTTTGTATACTATTATCGAGTTTCTCCTATGTCTGTCACATACGCTGCATAACCGTTTAAGCCGTAGCATAATGGTGATGAAAAAATTTTGAAGACTGATATGAGTTCAGCGTGAAATGTGCACGAGATTAACCCGGTCAATTTTCCGAATTTCCTGACTCGATTTACGAAAATTTGATTTGAAAATCCGTAAAAAAACTAAAATCAAATCGAATACCGAAGTGACCTGGCCGATCTCGCGTACGCCACGCGCCGGATTCAAATCGATTTTCGGAACTCTCGTCGCATTGTCGCACGTCGATCGACTGACGGACAAACAATTCGGTTACATTTCCACGCCGCCAACCATTAAATATATGTAATAATAATTGAACATCGGTATAACAATACAATATTGTACCTACTTGTTTATAACACGTGTATATTTCGGCTCGCAAGTCCAGTATCACCGAAATATTCGCGTGCGAAATCCCCTTGACGGTCGAATTCTTTATAAAAAGTGTATAATATACAAACCCCGTATATTATAATTTTATGTTGAACCCGACACGTGGCGGATTTTCTTTCGTGCAGTTGCGGACCTCCTTCAAAACAATATTATTAGGAATAATAATACAGGAAGTAGGTGATGTACGTCTTATAATATTCTAGGACAGTGTACGCTGCGCGAAACGGAAAATCAGTGTTCGCCGGGGGCCAAAATGAGCCGGTGCGCGTCGTTGTCGTTACGGTCGTTTTACGTTACTCGGCGCCCGACGACGAGCCTAATTGGCGAATAATAATAATAATAATACTAATAATAATAATAGGCGATTCGGTCGTTTAAAACGTATCGCGTGTGCCAAAAAAAAAAAAAAAAATAATAGTTAAAAACTCAAATCGTTTCTATGCACACAGTCCGCCCCCTCGAAATTCGCATACTCGCGCCACAACAACACGCGTCTCTTCGGTGTAATCAATCATTCTTTTTATTATTATTATTATTATTTTTTTTTTTTTCTGAGGCCGTGTTATTACTTGTGCGCCAGTCACCGGGCCACACCATTGTCCGTCGTGGCACGTATACCTGTATAGGCAGTGGACGTATATTATAATAGTATAACAGTAATAATAATATGGTATCCGATAACAACGATAGTCGTCCGTTATCCGCGAGTGACGGCGGAATGAACGATGGATATTTTTAACACCCTCGAAAGAAAAAAAAAATGTGACCTATATATAAGTGACTGAAAAGATAATAAATACACGTACCTGTTTAATATTATTATAATTTCGGGTATATAGGCCGGTTTTTCGGGTGGGCGGCGTGAGGCCGCGAGAGGAACCGATATCTTACATTTGTAACCGATTCGTTGTGCAAAACCCGACACACAGGATGATAAGTTGACGATTTGTTTTCGCGCACGGACTATTCGGGAGGTTTATTTTTATTTTTTTTTTAAGCCGCGTAAACCGTTTCCCGAAAGTCGATCATTCGTGTTTTTTGAATTTACTATACTCGTTTCAGATCCAATCAGCACGCTGTGGCGTGCTTCGCGCGGCTTTTACTAGACACCGAATCGATGTACCGTACAAAACTACGAGCGCGTACGGTGCGTTAGAAAATCGATATGAAAACCGTTACGAAACACAAATCTGCCGTTCACAAGCCTCGCGGAAATAAAACACGCGACATAATAATAATTATTGTCTCGACTAATAAACGTATTATTTATTTTTTCTCGAAACACAATTAATAGAATATTATGGATGTGGGCTAGAGTGCCGAGTGGGCGAATCGTACGTACACGCGCGTTCGTTTTCTGCGGATATTACAATATATTATATTAGGTAGGTACGACGGCGGCCTTGACGGCCTATAGCCGAAACGAGCGCGGCACGTCACGTCGCGGAAACGACGGTGTCTATTTCGTTCGGCCTACCTCGTCCGGGGGGAAATGATGTAGGGGAGATAATGGCACAATAACGACGAGTGCATGTTGCGATTTGAGCGGGCGAAGTACGACGCGTAACGATGATGGACAGGACGGTTTTGGCGGCGAAAATAATTGTACATACAGCTCGGATAAAGGACGACGTCGGAAATTAAAGAAAATAATAGAAAAGCCCGGATTTGATCGCGGAAAACGTGTGTAAGACGATATTAAGGACAATAATGCGAACCTGAAGACCCTTAAACTACTATTACGACGGTGTATGTTTCGGAAACGATCAACACCCGCGGGGATATCGCTGTCTTTTTTCGACCCGACAATATTAATGACCGCACGTACGTATTTTAGTGTACGCGTGTACCGATGTATACTGTTAAAATTCTTCGCCCTAGATGTCACGTGAAAACAAACGTGTTGTGTTTTTCCGGTTTTGTTTCGCGTAATCCATTTACTTCGTATAGGTACATTTTTATTTTTGTATTTTCGCGTTCATTGCAGATACCTGTCGATTTTCGTGTAAAGACCATTTCAATCGTAACGGTAAATACTAATAACAATTTCGAAAACGCGAAAACGAAACGAATTTAAAAATAAATATTTTCTGTCGATGAAATGGAATAGAGTGTACGTTTTCAAAACGTCGAATTTTTACTCGATCCAGAACGGATTTGGACAAAAAAAACCCGAAAAATGACCGCGGTATAAATCCCCCAAGAGAAATGTTACGATTGCGCGTCCGGATCGAGGCAGTTTTGGGGCCTGGCGGCCATACAGTAAAAAAACGAAAATTAGGCAATCGAAACATTAGGCAATCGCCGCCGTGGTGTGTCCGCACGTGGCGGCTGCGGTACACCCGAATATTATGATTGGCGGTTACCGGTCATCATCAGGGGCACCGCGGCGATATAGAGACATAAAAAAAACAAAAATAAAAAATATCGCGGTTTTCGTCAATAATATGGCATAAGCCTCGCCATATGGGACGTATGCACGTTGTACAATATTTATATATTATTATTATTATTGTACTGGCGTACTGCCACTCTGACGAAATACATAAATTATGTATTATTAATTCAATGTAGGCAAAAAAAAAAAAAACCGTTTCATATTTTTTTACGTCGCGAGGATCCGATCCCGCCAAACAATATAAATTATAATAGGCCCACATATAATCGTTCGTAAATCTGTGGGACTATACGACCGTGGCCCCGACTATAGCCCACCCCCTTCCGTCAATGACGGCTTAGATTTTGTACCTTAAGCTATGCGTATTTGAGTTAGGACGCAACGACGCGGAATTTTTATACGATTTAATCAAAACTTGTTATTGGAACAACGAAAAAAAACGTCGAGTGTAATTATTATTTTTAGATTTTGGACGCGACGAAAAACGTATTGGTTTTACTATGCCTTGTCGATAACTATTTTATTGTTTTTTACGAAAAATATTGATCCGATTTTCGAGTGTATAGTGCGCCTTTTCTGAAAGCTAACTGTATTTAGTTAGGTGCATGAAGGTTTTTTTTATTTTATTTTTAGTATTCTTAACAATTGAACGAAACTGGGAAAAAACGTACGGAAAACGAAAAAGTTTACGGCAATAGCGCATTCCCTACAGTTTCAACAATATGTATATGCGTATAGCTATCGTATTTGATATTTTCGTGTTTTTTGTTTTTATTTGGTTTTATGTGGATAAAATTGCCGTACGTAAACGCTCGACAATATTATACACGGAGTTTGTCGTCATGATCAGTTGTACTTAGTAGCGAAAAAGAAAAAAAAAGTTCACCGTAATGTAGTGTTATATTTTTACGATCGCATTTTTTGAGTCAAATTTTTTGGGAATCACAACAAATCACGGCATTTCAAAATGCGTTTATCCGGAAATCGCTCGGAATCGTCCGCCAGTGATTTATCGTCGGGCGCAGATAAATCGAATAATATACTCAGCAATCCGCACGTCCCACCTTCACGACTTTTCGCCAGCGGTGCGCCCGTCAAACAATATCGGCTCGTTTTTTCTGTTTATTCAGTAAGGGTTTCGTTCATATATATTGGGTATGCCGGTAGATCGCAGACGACTTCAATGTCGATCTCACTTTGTTCGAATTTACCTTTATACGATAAATCACGATCGCCGATAACTTCTATCATAGTATTGTTTCGTCGTCGCGCTTCGGTTTAATCGAGTTATACGGTTTTTCGGCGTTTTTACTGGTAATTTTATTTCCGGTACTAAATGTACAGATTAAATATCTGTAAATATTATTATTAGAGTCTTAAATAAAAGTGTGACGAAAAACATTATTCAAACATGCATTTCAGTTTTATTGTTCGTGCGTTGTTAGGTTATTGAAAGTTACAAGTTTTTTAAATTTAAAAATGTTTTTTTTTTTTTTTTTTTTTATGAAAGTCGATCATCAAAGGAAAAATATATTCTTAGTGGATTTCTACAGAAAAAAAAAAAAAAGTCTAGTCGCCCCAGCTGTATAGTACGCGTATATTATTATAATATGTTATAATGTTATTATTGCGGGCGTATACCGACGATGACGAGGCGCGGGCGCGCACGCGCGGCCTTTTGTGAAAAAAAACCGAACACGTCGCCGCCGCCGCTATATTCGAGGGGGGGAGAGGGGCAGGGGAAATCCGGCGGACGAAAAAAAAAAAACCGCGCACACTAAAATCCGTCGGAAACGTTATGATAACCTAGGCGACGGCTGCACGGGCGCCCGCGTGCCATATACATATTTGGCGGTGTGGGCGCCGGAGTTTTGTGTGGGTCACACGGTCCTCGGGCTCCGGTACCCAGGTTACCCTACATGGTTACACGGCCGGTGACGCAACACGCCGGCCGCTGAGCGGAGCGCACTCCTACCTCAACGCGGCCCGTGTCGAAAACGGCGAGAGAGAGACGATATTACAACGAACAAAAACCGAAAAAAAAGTAACAATAACGAGTGAAATAAAACCCGAACTTAGCACGCTCGTGTATGAATATAAAATATTGTATTCTTTATGCGCGAATTCCGCTCGGGAGAAATAGGAATTTTTTTTTTTTTTTTTCGTTTCGTCTTTTAGTGGCATATAATATTATTATAGAGGTTGATTATTATTATATTCGACAACCTACGCGCGTCACGCGACCGACCGATACGAAAATCCGATATTACGACGCGGCGTTTACCTATACAGTCGTGTGTACTACGACATTATACAGGATGATCGACATTTGTATTCCAAATAAATTAATTAATTTAAGAAAAATAATTACGGTTGTCTCGGAAACCGATTGCTCTTTTTCTCGAAATCCGTTTGTCATGTTACGTTACCCTATCAGTTACTCATATCTCGAAGAGCGAGGCCTATTAAATTATTAAAAATTATGTAATTAGAAAAATTAATAAATAACAGTTTTATTTGGAATACGATTCGGTGTTATAATTTTCAATTTCTTTCGACCCATCGAAAAGATATTCCACTTAAAAGTTCAGGTATAGGTAGAAAGTAGATGCGGAACATTGACTGGAACGACGTGAAGCTCGACGTTTGAATAATGTTCTCCTATACTCTCTTCTGCACACCAAACGACTAAATCAAATGTGAAATTGCTCCTCAACCGGTCGATAGAAATAAAAAATTTCAGCGCCGAAAAGTATTTAAACTAAAATGTCGTCTGTTTATGATGGGCCAATCGATATAAGTAAAAATTCTATCTCCATATTGATTATCAGAGGCTTTCTTTACTTCATTAAAATATCAGGTATGATGAAGATGAGATATCATCGCTGTGCGTTTATCAGTAAATAGGTTAGATAAACAAAAAAAATCGCATTTATGAAAACAAAACTATCACGAATTATTCGGACGATATGTTACAGTTTAAAAAATCAAAAGTGGGTAGGGATTTCACTCCCAAAAATAACGGCAATATAAAACTTTAAAGCCGCCAATTATTTCTCAAATGTTCTAAAAAACAAATTCCGAAAAAAAGTTAACATTTTCCGATGTAATAAGTGAACGTTATGTTGATCACTCTATAAAATATATATTGAAAATATTCGAAAATATCGTAATTTAAAGAGAATGCCGATATTTTATTTCTTTGGCCAGCCTTAGGTTTTAGACCAGATTAACATTAGCGACGTGATTGACGATGCACGACGAGCTATTTGTATTTTCACCGGTGATTTTTAAAATTTTATCAAACCAAATTAGGTTTTCATCTGCCAATATATTTCATCGACGAGTATAATTCAACGAACGACATACCCACGGTTGTTAGAAAATCCCGTGTTATGAAATAATTTTGAAATTAAAAAGAAAAACTAAAATCAAATCCGTTTATAATATTATATGAATTAGTTGTATGTGACTGGGAGTCAAGCAAAATTATGGATTAGTTTCTTCATACATAATTTATGTTAATAAAAAAAAGCTGATACTGGGGACGGGTGTGGCCATTGTTGCAGGTAAGAAGTTGGGGAGGTAGGATACATAAGGGTATTTTATTTTATTTATATCTGTAAGCAACGATAAACCATTGCTAACGAAAGACGATTCCAAGCTCAGTTCGGTAATACAGAATTTTAAGTGCCGAAATTTTTTTCAACCTAACCTTCCTACGTTTTTTTCTGATTATTATGAAAACTAATTCGAAAATCGTTTTTATTTTAAATGCTATTTCGAAAATCAAAAAATGGCCTATGTATTTACCAAGTAGATAAAATTAACTTTCAGAATAGGTATTACACTTATACATCGGAGCAAGTTTTTAGATAGATGTGTTCTACAGTATAAAAAAAAAACCATTTACTATTGTAAAAAAAAACTAAAAAAGAAAAAAAGTCATCCGATGATTTTGGAAATTTTACCATATCTAGATAAGTTCAATATAATCATTATTGCCAAGTTTCATGTCACTACGTGTATTTATAACTGATTTACAGCAAAAAAACTCCCAAACATTAAAATTCCTTAAAAGCTCAAAAGTTTTGGTGATGATACCATAAAAAAGTAAATCAAAAAGTCAACAAAAAAGGTATTGTGTGATTTTTCAATCAAATAATTTTTTTTTGGTAGAAAACGTCGTCCAGGTTTTCTAAAAATCGAAAGAATAAAATATTGTACATATACATACATAAGTTTACGGTTTACAATAAGTAAATTGTGTGATCAAATCTATAGAAAGTACACACAAATAATAAATATTAAATAATTATCATTTGCATTTGAAGGATACGGGAAAAAAACCAGAAAGGTCACTTTTTTCAATCTACGAAAAACATGCTTTTAATTTTAAAACGCATTTTTTTTTTTTTTTACTAAGTAAAAAGTTTAGATTAAATAAAATGTAGTAACCACCTCATATTAATTTCATATTATATTATTAACTATGGCTATAATATCCGTGTATTAACTCAACACTTGTCTGGTTATCAGTTGACTTACCTGTTTTTTTTTCGTGTAGGCCGAAACTTCTGGTGCTCCTTACTTTCAACTAATCTGATTTTTTTGCCTGTTCGATCGCACATGAGATATAACATAAATTGTTTGATACCAATATCGCCATTTTGGAAAAAAACAAATGACTTTTCTGGTGTATTCCCTGTGCCCTTCACTTGTTGGTATGGTCGCTAATAATAATAATAATTATTATTAATAATATTGTATTAAATTTGTGACTTGTGGCACTCGCACGAGCCATAAACTCCAGACACAATTCTATATGAGAGTTGGCGCACTCACTATTATAACATGACGTAGGCGTCAAATACCACTCGGTCATAATATCTTTGGTGGCAAATTTAAGGAGGCAGGGTCAAAAATATATTAATATTACGCATTTAAATCGTGCGTAAATGCGTAATATTATAATTGACAGTTTATATACAAAAACAAGAAGGAAAACTATGCAGTGATGAAACAAATAAAATACTAGTTTTATCCTTGTATTATGATGTCATGCATCGCTCGGATATACCTACTTTTAATATAAGGACCAGAAATGTCGACTATACACAACTTCCATTAAATAATAATAGTATGTGCGTTGTTTTTTTTACAGATCTCGATCTAAACTCCACAAACATGCTGGACGTGTACCGATCGGACTCGCAAAAGTCCGACTCATCGACGAGGCCCAGAGTGTCATTCAACCGGGACGTACGAATCAAGAAAATCGGTAAACCTACGCAATAACACACTTATTAACATATTTTAAGAATAGTTAGCACTGATGCCCGCATGAAGCCGAAAACAACAATGTATTTTTTCAAACCAAAAATATCTACTGAACTAAAATATAATTGTCTATAAAAAAAATAAATCTAGTACCTAATTATAATATCAACAAGAATGTTGATAATTATAAATATTATTATACACGATTTTTTACGAGAATACAAAAATCTACTTTTGCTTAAAAATCGAGTTTCTAACTTGATGATTATTTCTATACGTTTAGTTTATAGACACTTGGTTATAAACTCAACGTACTTTAGCCATGAAGGAAAACATACAAATATATACAAATAACGTGTGGTAATTTAATCTACGCACATTGGAATACCTTATTTTTGAACTTAGATATTCGGTGTAAACGAATTCTGCAGCGAAAAATCGACGAATTTTTAAGGACCGTGTCCTGCGTTTAAAAGAACCCAAAATGATTGTTTCAACCCCATTCGTTTTACTATTGTTCGTTGGATTCACCCAGGCATGTACACAAAAAAAAAAAAATTCGTGGATTCATAAAAAATTTACAATAATCAATATTTATAAGAAAATATTAAATGTATATAAATAAATTACACAACTATTAATTTTCAGGGGAGGGGGGGGTTAAACACCAATTTCTCCCACCTGTATACTTTCCTGGTTTTACCACATATTATACCTATTAATATTTTAATTAATATATTAAGGAATTTGTTTTCTTATACCTATTATCTAATCGCTTCTAGATAAAGATTCCGTCGGGACTAGTTGTAATCGTTTTGGTTTGCATAGTTTACATATTTTAAGTGCGTAGTTTAATGATAATCAGTGTATAAATCTATGCATATTCCGTATGTTTTTAGTGCATATAATTTTGAGCCCTAATTATAATAAATGATAATCTTATTACACGATGCAAAGTCGAATCCATCGAATTTTCGGTTAAAAAAAAAAAATACTCCGAGATGAACGGTTAAGTTAATCGATCGATATTTTCGGCATTTGTCATTTTCGATATCGGAATCGAAAATCATCGAAAAATATATTATTATACTTATTGTATATGTTTACCGCTCTCACTGTGCTACGTAGAAAACACTCGCAATCGTAAGTCGTGACTAAACCAAACTTAATATTACGGAATAATTTATTACATTATTATCTTTTGCTGGTTCTGTTCAAACATAGTATAAGTACACAGTGCCGAATTGTTCGTTTTTTGAATCAGTGAGGCTCATTAATGATAGGTATAATTTTTTTTTTCCTGGGTAGTGTATAATCATGCCATAAAATGTCATAAATGAGTCACACTGATTCGAAAAACGAACAATTTGGCACTGTGTACTTACGATGTTTTGAGCAAAACAAGCAAAATTAAAAATGCATAATTACTTTTCATATTAATAACATATTGATAACAAAATGTCAGTTACGAAAATATTTTAACGGTAGTAGACAGTAGTAGTTATTAAAGTTATTATAAAAATAATTATTTTTTGAACGAGAAAAAAATTTGGAATATTATTCATTATTTTGAGACGTCATTTTTTATACTCCTCACAGAACCTTGAAGCAAAAATTATATATTATACACTTAAACAAAACGCATACGATTGCAATATACGTATAAGTATTATTGGTGGTACCCATAGTCGTCGAGGGTGAAAACTTATATTATGACGTAGCATGATTTCTAAAAGTAAAGTATGTTGCATAAAGTTTAATTGGGTAGTTTATTCAAAATCATGACCGTAATAAATCGCATTATTATTTTTTTCCACGAGGCCATTTAATACCATTCCGACAAACACTTAACTCTCTCTGTTCATCTCGGCCGTTTTCCAATCAGCTCCAAATCTTACAATTTTTCAAAATATTTTTGAACTTTGTCTCCGCATCTTGGTCGTTATAAATGAATTTCATTTTCACGATGAATACCTTCCCGTAATCCGGTGAATTAGGGTACCTCTATTTGACCGTGCGTGTCTTACGTGTCTCATTGCAGTTTGATTTCCTCGGTTTTTCTTATCCTTCGTTATCTCTATTTTCTCCCAAATATTGCACTGAAATGTTTTCGTTCATTTTACGAACGTCCCAGAATTTTTTTTATAATATTTACAATTTAATTTTTTTTTTTTTTAAGGCATTTTTTATCATTTTTAATTAATTCGTTTTTTTTTTTTTTTTTTTTTTTTTATAACTCGACTTATGGAATTTGACACGCTTTACCACAAAAGTGGAAATTTAGAACCTAACAGCGGTAATGCGGAGGTGGTGTGCGATCAATGACCTACGACCATCTACTATTTGTGACCAAGTGGTTCTCTTTCCAAAAACAAAACAAAATAATCGAAATAGGTTGTCTCTACGAGTGAGAGGTTTTCCTGTAAAATACGGTTTTGAGCAAAAAAAAAAACAGGTCACACGCATGCCCCTTTAAACAATAAACAGCGAAAATACCAAGGACAGATGTAAAGATAAAACGCCATCGATTCGTATACGGAAGAATACAATGATAATAAATATTCAGTTTATGTGTGTGTTCCGTGAATGTGTTTATGAATTGTGAGTACCCGTAATGGAAACAATAGAGTATTTTTAACTGAGGTTATTGCGAAAATATAAAACTTATTACGACTAAATTGTCGCGTGTGTATGCGAATATGTAAAAAGTCATATCGCCAGTAAAACACGTGGGCTTTGATTGATTGCTGATTTTGTAAAACAAAAAAAAACAAAAACTCAAGAAATCGATATTTATAATATAATATAAACAAGTGATCATTATACAATTTAAAATTGGGTATAAATCCACGTTCAAAAAAAAATATTTAAAGCGTAAATAATGTGCCCGCAATACTATATGAATGGTAGGTTAGATTGATAATTATATAAAGCGTGATTCTTTAAGTTTTTATCTATTCATGATAATATCTGCCAATTTGTTTACGTGAATATTTATAAAATACAAACAAAATAGAGTTACATAAAATATTTAGGTAGCAAAAACAAAAATTATAACGGTTATATGCATATTGCATCGTAGAACTTTTAACCAACTACTGTTAAAAAAATCAAATCAAAAAATAAATCATAATTATTAAAATTAATAAGTGCGTGATTCTAAAACTAAATAAGCTGCGTTAATGCGTTATCATAATATTAGTTCGGTGTAAGGGAATGGAAATTGAAAGTTGAGACCTCAGGTTATATGGACAATACTGAATTTAAATTGTTTTCTCATGAGCAATTACTATAACAATTAGTATTTACAATTATTACGATCGATTTATTACCCTTCGATACTCCTCCGCCATAACTCACAAACGGTAAATTCAATATTAGTTTTATGCAATTCCATAACGATTGAAAAAACAGAAATTGAATTTACCAACAACCCTCCAAGATCATGACAAAAATTCACCCTGTATGTAATGTTTGTATGAATTTCAAAATTAATATTTCATTTTTCTTATGAATGATTATTACAATGATGATATTGCCTCCGAGAGTATGTACTTATTACATTACATAACCTTCATAAAAAAAATAATATTGTATTTGAAATGATTGTGAGAACACGAGAAAAGTAACTGTTGTATGTAGCTACAACGTGTAAGTATAATTTATTAAATGTCTAATTTAAATACATACATAAACGTAATATTATTTATTTTTGTACACCGAAAGGTGAGAACGGTTATTATACAGTACAAATTAAAAGCCTGCATTATAATAGAAACAAAAGATCAGAGGTCTATATATTTTGAAGGTTGAAAATAAACGAATACATTTCGAGCTTATAAGCTCGAAATATTTTCGAAAATTTTCATATTAAAATATGAAAAAAAGACATACGTTTATCGATTTGTCAACAGATTACGGAAGAAGGTTGTGAGAAATGGGATCGACCAATGTCATACCCACGCATAGTTTATTCTATAGAATATTTGTTGACCTGTAACCGGGAGTTATGTTTTCCGGGAGTTTGTAACCGCAAAATATTTTCGAACGAATTATACAAGTTCCGTGTATTTTCATATAATACCTACCTACTTCGATCCAATCAAATCTCAAATAAAAACTTAACAAAATGTAACCTTAAAATTCGAACTTTAGACGTGTATGTCGTCATAATTCTGTATTTATAAATATAGTTTGAATCAACTAGAACTATTTTAAAAGACGTGTACCAATTTTATAAGACATTTAATAATAGTATTTAACCAGAGAATTATATCCGCATTGTGAATTTCACGAAATGGTAAACTTTTTAATGGACAATAAATTATTGAGCTGTCTAGCCGAATTTAAAATACTATACATTAATATTAATAGGATTTCGCGAATAATAATTATTTAAAACTCTAATGGATAGGTAGGTTGTAGTTTCGCCCACTGTGAAATAACTAAAAGCCGGTAATTTCAACCACAATAGGTATTCGGGATTTACGTAAGCTTTATTTATTCAAAACTTTGAATATATTTTTAAAAGTTAAATATAATATAAAAAATGTTTATCAAACATTTTCCTGGGACTTTTGCCCAAGACATAATATTTTACAGTTCAAACTTCAAAGTAATTCACGAGAATTCACCTTCCGGTCACCGCCCACGTAACTTTCAACTTACCGCATATATTATTTGTACCTACTGAATTAATTACCGTTTTTATCGCGTTTCTCATTGTTACCCGAGGATACCCGTAAAATATACATTATTATAATATTCTAAAATGTTAGATTGGCAATAAAGAAAAACAATTGTTTTTTTTTTTTTTCTTAAAATGTTGATTTGATAGTGAAAATTAGACTCGCATAATATTTTTTAACGGAAAACATTATCCTGAAAAACGCAATAAAATACAATCTTTATGCGATCTGTCATATTGTTGACACTGTTCAGACCGTAATGTAATCTAATACAAAAATTGAATGTCTGTTCGCTATGCAAATTTACAGTTTTATTCAAATCTTGGTAAAACTTTGCACGCTAGACAATTTAACCCTTAAAAAAGGCTCACACTTGACTTCAGTATTTTAATATTACGAGAGGATTAAACTTTTGGGGTTGATTTCTGGGTTACAGTGATGCTGTGGATGAAATTTTTAAAAAAAATCAAATCATTATTATTTAATTTGGTTATCACAGACATAAAAGGACCTTTTATTAAAGATATAAAAACAACATTTTTCCATCAGGCAAAAACGATTAACCATAATAGGATAAGTCCTGGAAACAGGTATCGAGAAATTCAGATAGAATATTATATAATGTTGTAATTAGAGGGATGAAAAATACTTCAGGAATTAGAATACATCTTTATTTATACTATTTTGGGTGTATACTTACACTATTACGTGACCGTATACCTCCTAATCCATATAATTGCGATATTTTGAAATGTAGGTAACTCGGACGCAGCAAGTATTGTGGAAGCTTTAGCCGGTGATGGCGAAGGACACTTGGTGCCAACTCCGGTGCGCCGGGAAAAGATCAAATCGTCGAAACGGGAGCTCGCGTTGGAAGCGGACCGCGTCCTCAAACAAGCGGACAGCGTGGCCTCGTTGCACTCGGCCTCGCCGCCGAGAAGACAACAGAGGAGTAAACCAGACAGTGAAGGATCGTCCCTGCAACGGAAAACCAGTTTCGGAGGGACCGACTCGAAAAAATGGAATTCCGAAGGTAAAATCACTGCATTAGTCATTAATACCCATTAGTAATGAATCATTACTCAAGGTTCGGGACTTTAAATTCAAATGCACAAAAAAGAACTTAAAAACATAAAAAAAATGTATGGAAAAAAAACTTAAAAATCAAAAACGGTACAGGAGTTTAAAAGTCCTCCCCCCAAAAATAAAGGATATTTTTTTTTTAAATGTTGCTATATATATATATTATGTAACACTTATATCAGATTTACCGTTTATGAGTTATAACTTACCTACTAGGGTTTGGAACTTCTAGTATTTGCATATTATTTTTGAAAAATAACAGAATCAAACACAAATACTGATCATCGTGTGGAAGGAATCTAAATCCTAAAATTTAAAAAATATATAATATTATTGTAGCTGTATAATGCAGTATAATAGATAGGTATTATTGTTAAAAAAAAAAAATAGAAATATATTGAACCATACTACAGAATCACCCTGTACCAGGTTATTTTGTATATTTATTATCACATTTTATTAACTAGGGAGCGGGTCTAATTAGAATACAAATAATTTTGTTGGTATTAGTATTGTTACTTGTTCAAGGATTACTGAAATTTAAATAATATGAAAATATATTTTCTCCCTAATTGATAAAAAATTAATTTTCATAAAGTTAAAAATTTAAATAAAGTTTATAATGGTTTTTATAGATAAGTGTACGGGTGTAATACGTAAATCATTTTATTTAAATGAACAAAAATGAAGTAAAATTATATGGACTACTTTTTCAACGCTATGGGTATAAAATACGAGTATAAATAATAGTTTCAAAAGTTTTTCATTATAAATTTACGCCTTAAAAATAATAATAATCATAACGACTACCGCAGAGATAAAACATTGGTGTAGTGGTGAACGTGTCAAAGTTTTGAACAATCGAACACAGGAGTCCGGGGGGGGGGGGGAAGGATTCAAATTTTAAAGAATAAAATTGATTTATAGCAAAACAAAATCAAATATGAAAGGGTAGATTGCAATATGCATAACTAGGGGGGAGTGGGGGTCTTTAGTACCCTTTAGTTTAAAAACCCCACTAAGCTTTTTTATAGTAATAACTAAATATTTTATCCATGCGTTCCATAATTAATGCACAAAACAAAATAAAGATTTATCTGTACAGACAATACATATAATATGTAAAATAATGTTAAAATAGTTATTTGTAAAAATTGTTAATAGTAAAATTTGTGGAAACAAAATCGTAAATGAAATTTATAGTTGCTTATTGTAAGAGTCGTGTAAAGGGCATTGTGAGGGTATAGCCGGATAGCCCCGTGGGTCTTTGATTTTCCATAATTGTAGCACCCCCAAAGTGAGTGTAGTCTAGTTGCGCCTGCGATTGATAACATTGACTTTTGAAGATAACCACAAACTTTATATCAACCTTATAAGAGCAAACAATATCGTTATCGTCGTTTGTGGTGTTAAACATAAAAATAAATAACTTCTGATAGGTTTGCCACTGTTATATGTAGGAAGTAAGAAAAATAGGATATTTACGCAAAGTTATTTAATTTATATCAGTACCCAACGATAAATGATTGCTGACGCGAAATACCGTTCTGAATGAAGTTCGGTTAAATGTTTTGAAATGCCGTGATTTTTACGATTTTCGTCAAAATTTAAACTTAAAATGATTATTGAAAAAAATTACTAAATTACGCTAAACTTTAATATGTTAACATGAAATACAAATAGATACATCCCTAGCTGCGCTCAGAATATAAAAAAGTACTAGACAATTAAATGACCACTCGTCATAGAATCGATTGTACCGGGGAAAGATAATAGTTTCCGTGAAGCTTTGAAAAAATCAACAAATGTAAATGTATTGCTAAAACACGTCGTTTATGGAATTTTTAATGTAGGTTGGTATTTCATAAATCAAAAACTGGTCAATGTTTCGACTAATGACAACAAATAACAGTAACGTAAACTTTTGAAAAAAAATAAATACTTTTGAGATAACAGGTCAATGATGAGTGTCTCATGACTAGAGTTCGGATTTAAATGCCCTTAAACTATCAAAACACCGCCTTTTAAATAAATTAAACAGACTAAAATCGTCGGACAATTGGCCACACGCACCACCGATATAATATTAGCGCTCGATAAGAAAATACTACGATAAAAATTACCTGGTCTAATTTAAAACCAGATTACCTGATGTTATATTGCTCAAGATGAAAATGATTTATATTACACAACACTATGTTTATATTTCAACGAAGTCGATTTTTTTTTTTTTTTTTTAGTCATAATACGAGAAATGCGTTAAAAACGTCAAAAAATGTCCCGAAAATTGTTTACAGTCACTACTTGAAATACACTTGCAAGTTTGGCAAGCATCGTGTAAGATATTCCCGAAAAAAAAAAAAAAAAAAAAAAATACAAATACATTGAAATCCGAGACCTGCTCTTACGACGCGTAATTATGTTTTCCGTGCGTCTGCAACGGAACCTCGCGGCGCCTCGGTAATAAAAACGCGGGTGGCGGGTGCGCGTTTTTTTTTTTCGTAGCGCGCATTTGGGATTTCGTAGTGCTGCACGAAAGTGAGTGCACGCGAAAATAACCGCTGATAATCGCGATAATTACAATCACTGTCCGGCGTCGGGTTTTGCAAATAGTAGTAGTAAAAAAAAAAAAAAAAACTAACTGCTCGATTCTCGTTATTTCTTCAATGCCGAACGCGCACGATTGTATTTCTGTGAAATTTAAAAACGTGTCATTATATTATTTACGGTCATAACAATACACAAATCTATTCTGAAAATTATTCACGGTCGGGAAAAAAAAAGCCTCGTCAGTAATAGCGTATTGCGCGTTTGAAGGCTTTTTACAACCCGTCCGTTCGTGTTTAACTTATCGTATTTGAATAACAGTAGTAACAGCGGAATTGTGGTGTGTTTGACGCAGGTAAACTTTCGTCGTACATGTCGTTGGACAGACCGAAGAACAGGATCAGGAAGAGGGAACAGCTGCCGTGGGGAGAACAACGACACGGCGGCCAACAATATCGGTCGTCCGCAGATCTGTCGGCGGCCGCGACCGTGACGCCACCGAAAAGGCGGTCTGCGTCTGGCGGCGGCAAGTTGACGAGAAGCGTAAGCGACGCCGGCGACCGGAACAAACCGTTGGCCGCCAACGGCAAAGATGCGAAACGTTCGATATCGCTATTCGGCACCATCGAGCGGATTAAGACGAAAATCAGAAAGCGCCCGACAGTGGCGACGGCCGTGGAAACCGACCCGGGCGCAAGGAAGACGACGATGACGTCCGCAATGGAACGATCGGCCGAACCGGTCACCGTGGAATCGGCCCCATCGCCGCCCCCGGCACCGGTCCGCGCCAAAAAGCAACTGTCGCCCATCATCGAGTCGTCTCCGCGGGACGAATACTTTAAGTATACGGTCGGCGGTCCGTTTGGCAACGGTCACGGCTCGCCGCCGCGTCCCGTCCGCGGCCACAAGGTCGACCGAATCGTCCGGCAACTACAACATCAGCAGCAGCACCAGCAACAACAACAATCAGCGGCGACGGCCGAACCCGCCCGTCCGCCGTCGTCGCCGGACTCGGCCCACGCTCACAACGGAAACGAACCATTCTCATACACGGCCACAACGCCGACGCCCACTATCGTTCACCTACTGGACGTGGACCGAACGCCGCCGCCGCGACAGTATCGCTCGGCTGCCGGCATGGACGACACGTGGACGTCGTACGACGATCTGAGCCACAGGCGAGACGCGCTGGAATCGAGGCTACAGAAACGGGCGGCTGCAGTGAGGCCACCCAGAGCGGCGACCAGTAGCAACACCGCAAGAACGTCTACGACGCGCACGCGGTCGGCAACTTTGATTGCTCCGGGCCCGGCCGTGACGTCTCCGGATACTTACGCTACCGTGTACAAAAAGAACGAGACGTTAGGCGGTGGCGACAGGTACTTTGAACGGAAAATCGTCACCGAACACCGTTTTGCCCGCAGGACACCCAGGCTGTCGGGCGATGGCGAAGATGGCGACAAACGCGATGAACGCGACCGTGACGACCACGGCGAACGAGGAGAACGCGAGAGCGATGAACAGTACGACGAACGCGACCACAGCGGCCGCGACCACGGTGGACGCGACTACGGCGGACGAGACCATAACGAACACAACGAACGTAGAAGATCGCGATCCGCCGGCAGGCCCACAATCGTGTCCCGGAACGAAGTGCCCGTGCTCAACTCGGCCCGTTCCGAAAAACCTGCAAAAAAACGTTCCAGGTTGGACAAGTTCAAAATGCTGTTCACCGGCGGCGGTTCGTCGTCCGCGTCCAAGGAGAACAAACGGCCGGCGTCCGCCAAAACGCAGTACAATTCGTCCGATCCTGAGTCGTACACGTCGTCGCTGCGCAAGAGATACAACGTGTTCTCGGGAAACGAAAACGTGAGTACTAAAATAGTTAAAATATGATAAAATAATAGGATAACCGGTATAGATACTTAACATTACGAGGGCTTCGATGGAAATAATATTTTTGTACCGGTAACGGATCGACGGGATAACGGTGTTCCCGATCGACCGCATAACAGGGCGGTTATCCGTGGTATATTCAATCATAAAAAGAAAACAAAAATAGTTATCGGCTCGTAAATTAAATTAGCGTGGCTATTAATTATTCGTGAAATATTTTTTCACTATAACGTACTATTATCGTATGTTGCGTTAAAATCCAATTTCCATTGATAACCGCGATAAAACAACAATCCGCTCGCGTAATATTTTATATAATTAGACTTTTTGTGCCGGCGGTGGTCTCGATGGTGGGAAAGGGGGTGCCGGGGCGATCGCCTTCCTTGGATTCTTTTTGTTTTTTTTTTTTTTTTTGTAACGCACACGGTTGTTCGGCGAGAAAGGAATTATTTTATTTCACTAGGTATACGATTAAAACGACGTATAGCCACGTTTAAATCGTGTTCGATTATGTCCGACCAGCCCGATAATTATTACGATCGCCGGACACCGTACCGTACGCGGCCGCCACTGATCCGTGTCCACTGATCCGTAATCAGCTAATCAGTGTGTAATACGCGTCGTGCGAAAAACTCCCTCGACAATGTTACGCTTTTTGAACGACTGTGCGGTAGTGCACGTTATTGGTTCTGTTCGTATATACGATTCCGTTCGTGTAATGCAAAGTACGGTGTAGAAATATAATTTGAAAAAAAATCGCCGTCAAATCGAGACGCCTACGCACACAGTCACACATATACTTCGTCGTAAATTTTATTTCAAAAACAAAAAAATAATATACGTTTCGCGGGGTGTGAGAACTCCCACATTACAGAATCGTATAGTTTCAACAACGCCGAAAAGCGGTTTTCGACTAAGCTGCAGGACTTCGGTACCCCAGTTGTATACAGCATAATAATATCTGTAACCGCACGCACGAATATGTTGTTCAGCGTGAAATTCGACAATATTTCACAAGACATAATATTGACAATATATTATTATTACATTAAAGGCGATCGTATTATAATAATATTATGTAACGTCCACTAGGTTACTGTGTCGCAATTTGACAATTATTTTAACGATCAATATGTATAAACAAAACAATAATGATAATCGACACGAATAACAACGAAAAAAAATACCACATCTAAAAAAGGCCAACATAAGTATTCCGCGAAAATTTCAGGCCTTTACGATTATTTTCAACCGAGTTACAACAGAAAAAACAAAATCGAAAATAGTGAAATCGTTAACGCCGTAAACTATTTCTGGTAGAAAAGTCGTTTACAAACAGAAAAAATTTAAAAAATCCAAAACATTGAGTACCATTTCATTTCTATATGCTTACAATTGGGGAAAAATATTGATAACCCTCGTCGGTCTGTATACTAAAAGTCAATATTTTCACCGATAACGCGCTAAAAATAAATGTTTTAATCACATTGAATTTGATGTCCTCAAATGTCTTCTTGATAAACAATATTTTTTTAACGCAGTACCTGTGGCATTGATCACGTCATCGTTATTAAGTTACGTCGTATTTATCGTGGTTTTTTTTTTTTGTATTTTTTCAAATTGCGTACATATACATTTACACTTTAATATATGTATAAAATGACTCATATAAACGTAGTGTGTCCGGTTGCCGTTTACAGTAATGCGCTGACGCTGACCGTACAGTAAATAATTAGGTATCGGTTAAAAAGTTTTTACTCGAGTACAAGAATTAAGAGTGAATGATACCCTCAGCCCACAGGTAAAAACTGCTAGCCTATTAATCCTAAGCGTACCACTTAGAAAAAAAAAAAAATTACTTGACAAATTAGACGAGTTACTTCCAATGCGGGCCTGCGTCCTCTCCTCCTTAAATCGAGCACTGAGCGACTTGGGTTTGGTCGCACATGTATAGACGAGTTTCGGAGTTTTGTGTAGATTATGCCGTTTATCGCAATATAATATTAAGACAAATGAGTTCCTCCTATTTTGTATAGTACCTGCTTATACGTGATGGCTAACCTACGGCCAAAACGTACCCTATGGTATAGTCAAATTACACTTGTTACCTAAATCAAATGGTCGAATGCACTCGGATCAAAAACAAGTAACGGTCGAACTGCACTTGCGTCAAAAAAAGTTTGAAAATACTAATTTCCCTTATCTCACTTACAAGGCTTATTATGACGATGATTTTAATCATTGGCGCGGTTACAAATTAGTTATTTTAATAAATATATATATACATAATTAAAAAGCGTTATTTGAAGTTTTCAAATTTTGAAATTATTAATTTTTTTTTTTTTAATTACAAGAGACTGAATTTAAAAACTCTATTCTGATAATTGATTTTTGAAAGTAGGTATAAGATATATTTTTTTAAATTAATAAATAATAAACGGGAAGAAAAATTATTGCTTTCGAAATTTTTAAATCAAATTTATTTTTTCAAAAATTCGTGGTACCTTTCTTGACCAGAATTCGAACATTGCTCGTTTTTGATCCGAGTGTAGTTCGAACAAAACTTTTTTTTTCAACCCAAGTGCGATTTGACTAAAATAAGTGCAATGCGACTTCGACCCTATCGTGTAATGTTTCGAGGAAACATTGAACATTATACTTATAAGTGAAACGAGAACATTTCTTAAAATACGCGCAGTGCTCTTTGACGATTGGGCGAAAAATGTGTTTTTTGACCGGGTTTCGTTCTACGCCTACGTTTTCGGTTAATGTAGTTTCTCCCTCTCGTTACCATAATTTCAATTGGTCACGTTTTCGCGGTAACCACTACAATATGATATTCCTAATACATTTAAAAACAATATATCCGTACAAATTAGAATATTCTTATCGGAAACAATAGGAGGCGGTTTTTCGAAAAAGTCGGATATTTTGCAAGTATGCGGTCGGACAATAACTAATAAATAATTTGACACCGTGCCTATGTATGAACGAAGGCGTGTCCACGATAGCGTCAAAATGTATTCATTTTTTTTTTTTCATTTTTTATTGGAATAAAACGTAAACTATGATTTATTTATGATTTAAGTAATATATCGACCAAATCGTATTGAATAGTTCCTATTACAATAATTTAACATTTAACACTTAATATAATTTGAAGACATACAATTTTGTGTGTGTGTAAACTCTTTTAATACCGGTATCAAGCTCCGAACTTAAATGTGTATATCCGATCGACTGATGTTATAATATATTAAGTACAAATTGTTCATTGGTAGAAAAACAACAAACAATCAAGACGAAATAAATATTGACGACCACTGACGTTTAAAATTTAAATAACGCAAAAATGTATCGATTTCGTCCGAACGCCGATTGGCGGTGCCCCGCGTACGTACAGTTTCCTCCGGAAAATTACGAAACGTCAGCTCCTCCTCGCTATGCACAACACATTACGATGGACACGGTTAAAACCTTGTCGCCAACACGCGTTTTTATCATTATTATTACTGTTGTACTCGCCGAAACCATTCGTTCATACCTCAACAATATAATATACAGTGTCGGTAATTAACGAATTATCTATATGCATAGGGTAAGCGGGGGAGGGGGGCAGCTGCCCCTCTTGCGGGCTAAATTTTCTTTCCAAAAACTGTGAAACTTTAATTATTGTATTAAACTTGTAATTAAACTTGCAATGACAATATGTAAAATTAAAATACTTTCATCGCTAATGTTAAATGAACTAACTAATAACCAAAATAATATTCGATTATATTGCATAAAATATATAAAAATACATACTCTGTCTCCCCTGCCAGCAAGGTCTGCGCACGCCTATACTTTATACATTATGTGCGTTAAAATATATTCTATAATAGTGAACTTTACCGTATTGAGAGAAACGGGACGATTAAAACACCGATCACCGGTATTCAAATAATTATGATTAAACTACGCGGTATACACGCATCATAATATTTCATAGTATCGGTTTTTCTTTTTCACTTAATTTATACTCCCGCAAAGCTTTTGGTCAGTGTAGAATTTCATTTCTCGGGTTTGTACGCGCGGTGGCGATAAAATAGTATAATATTGTCCGGTATATTATTGAAACATTTAAATCGCATTTGTTATCCGAACGTCTGATTAATAACAGGATTGTGTATCGCGATATTATTTTTTCTTAGTGCAACGCATACGCAAATGAGCACTGCGGCAACTCGGACCGAGTTTTCTTCGACCGGTCCGACCGATGTACGTAATGAAAGGTATGTATACGAATTCTAAAAACAGATTGGAAATCAACGGGAAGAAGATCGGTCAGAGGGTACTTTTTTCCTATTTAACTTAGATATTTATTTTTTTTTTCACGTACATTTTAAAATTTAATCAAAAACCAAAATTCGAAAAAATGCCCCAACCTGTGTAAACTTCACGCTGAATTCAATTCAGAATCCCGATCGCTTCGTTCCATCGATCGGACCGATTAAAAGAAAACCGGTATACATTTCTACTATACCGACAGTAGCTCCTTGTTATACCCGTTCACATAATGTGCATTATACCGCCGCGGATTATGCACTCGATTCGAATCATATAAATTGCGAATTTAAAAAAAAAAGTAATAATAATAATAAATCCGCGTCCGGTAACAATAAATCATTACTACCTATCACAAGCAATTTCCCCCCTCTCCACACATACACACACACACACACACTGTAAGCGCTTATTTGAATAATTGTATTGTTGGCAAAACTCGTAATCCTATCAGAAATTATTGACACATCGACACGTCGCAAATACTTTAGTATCACTGCAATTTATGTACTCGTAATTCGTATTGTACACGAGAGATTACCGAAAAACAAATAATGATTTCGTTTTCGATAAGTTATCAAACCTTGTGTTAGTTTGTTTTCGACCGCATACGCGCCGCTATTAATCTTTTAAACGCGTTATATCCTTTAAAACGCCACGCGTTTCTGCGGTCTCGACGACCTCGCTGCGGTCGTGTGCGCATAATATAGGATATCTAAACCTAGTGGTCGGTGGTCACTGTGTTTGTTCGTATAGTGTTCGCTGTCTGCTTAACAGAGCCGACTTTATACTGAATTTGCTAAAAATGAACAATGAACTGGAATATTGAATAGTGATGATTTTAAGGTAAAACAAAAATAATTGCAATAAAGATAATTATAATATATAGTTAGAAACTTGAGTATTTTTTAAAAAAAAGCCAGGGTTACAAACCATCACCGGTAATTAAAAACGTTTCATCTAACAAAATAAAAATATTATGGTTTTATATTTACATTTTCGACGTAAACTAGCTGATGAGCTCGGGAATAAAGCTGTATTTGAAAAATGTTTTCGTTTTTTATTATTCGATTTCTATCCCGCCTGACTTTTGGGAGTAAGGTCTTCATATAGATTGTTGACGCGGCCTTTCCGAAGTCAGTCCGACGCGGCTCGCCTGTTTGTTCACATAAAAACGCTTATCCAATAAAAAAATATATGTATAATAACACGACGTACTTGTAATAATTCTATGCAATATTCGGTGGTTTAATTCATTTTTTTGCTTCTAGACATAGAGAGAAAGCCGCGACACAATGTTATAAATTACACGGTAATTATCGCCGCGTAGTTTTCAAAAAACAAATCTTACGATTTTGGTCCGTTCTCCGGCGGCGGTGGTCTCTTCCGCGCGGGTGACGGCGACGGCGGGGTGAAAGTCATAGGTAACCGTGACTATTCGATTTTTACCCGTAATTCTCGATTACCGCACAACAACAAAAAATAATCGTAAGCGTTTCACATCGGAATCGGCGTCCCCCGTTAAACCACAACGACTTTTCGAGTAATCAAATGACTATACTCAATGGCTTTGATCTAGTGTCTATTATATTATATTATCTTCTATCATTATTCTAGCTTTTACAACTCTCTTAGAGTCTACCAACACAACATCACACCATATATATATATATATATATATCCGGAATTATCACTCTCCATTCATCCACTCCCGTGTTCCGTGTATCTTCTTCGACCACGTCCGACCACAATCTCCTAAGCCTTCCACATGGTCTCTTACCCGGAGGTTTCCGTTCGAGTGCTGCTCCGGTACATAGTGTCCTTCTCCTCTTATAGCCTTTACAATATACGTATTTACAATATACAATATACTATATTAACGTTGTAAACAATACAGTAAAATCAAAATATTTATTTCGAGTAAGTGATCACAGAATATTAGGTACCTATCCTAACATTACACGTTACTAACATGCGAAAGTTTGTTCAGATAGATGGCCGGTGTAATTTTAGACCAAAAATAACACGTAGGCTACTTTTTTCAAGCTCTAAAGGTGAGGGGGAGGGGCGATACAGGGTTGTTGGTATTTTTAGTGTCTATTATTTTCTATTGATTTACACGTTACCTTGGTATTACGGAAGAAACAAAAAATCGGTTTTTTTTTTCTTTTTTAAATTATATAATACGGTAATCCGCGTAAAGAGCCGTAATGGTAAAGTCGTCACGACGACGCGCACTGCGACGAACAGAAATTACCTACCGTGATAACGGTCGGTTACTCGGCACATTGTTGGATCGTTATAGTAATTGGATCGAAATTTCAATTTAAAGACGATACGGCGTTAAAGCGCCAAAACGAGCGAACAAGTTTTTATTATTGTTATTTTTTTTTTTTATTTTTGTTTACATAATAATATTATATTTCCGTGCAATACTGACGCTCGTGCGGGACAGCTATATTACACAGACATAATATTTTATACTATAAAATTTATAGTATCACACGCGGTCAGGTCACATATTATTATTACGCGGTTCGACATTTTCGTATAAGAAACGAAAATACGAACAATCGCCGAGCAACAGCGAGTATTATAACATTAAATTATGCATACGTGAATCGCAAACACAACCGAAACCGACTGTATACGGATCTTTTACCGCGGGCCGCCACGCACATTTCCGGTGTTGTGCCGCGATTGTAACATTCTTGTGACGGCGAAATTCAACGACGTTTCCGGTGCGACCTGCCTACGTCCCGTACACGAATCCACTTGTCGATAAAATATTATTACGATAACATTTACGTCTTGTGCGCGCCGTTCGCCCACAACCCTTTCGCGTTCGACACCGCGAAGACGGTCGGTTTTGTCCGCGGACACGATGCTTAATAGGCGGGCCCGCGGCCGACCGCGACACGACGCGTACCGTTATTGTAATGTATACAGAGTCCGGCGCGACGACCGGTCACAATAGTAATGCAATATTATTTTTTTAATCGCGGACAACCCGATAAAACAGAACGCGGCGTCACTATACAATCCGCGAACGCCAAATGAAATAGCGCTGCTGCATGCGGACGTCTACCCCTGCCGCTGCGACCCCCGCGGATACCTATACTTACAGGGTCTTTGGATTTACCTAAAAGGCGTCCCTAGGTTGATTTGGCGATCGCCCACCAAATCCCCGGTCCTCTTCCTATGCATTTTTGCAACCCCCCCCCCTCCACCTCGCCTTGGCTACGCCTATAGTCACTGATTTATACTTAGAGACACAACTTACAACTTTGGGACCGATGCCAATTAGTTTCGAACGAGAAAACTGAAAAATAATGGAGTATTTAGTTATAAAATATTGTATTTTTTAATTTTATATTTAATTGATATTATCGTATACAATATGAACAATGACTGTCGTGTAACAGACGCCTAACATAATGTGTTACGGTGTTTTGTTGAAAAATCAGAAGCATAAACGGGTAAAAGGGCGTATTTGAATGCAGTTTGAATTAAGCTGATAACGTCGACTAAAAGATATCTAAGCTTTTTTAAAATATAATTAAATCAACACTGATAATTGTTAAAAAGGCGTATAACCACATTCAATGCATGTGTACAAGGTATATTATGTGTTTTGCTGTTTTTTTGCAAAGCAGTTATTTTGCTTTCTGAAAAAAAACAAATGAAATCTGATAGACGTCTTTTGTTTAACTGCAAACATCGTGGAATTATTAAACATTTTTTTAAGAGACGATTCTGTACAATCATCTTATCCGTGTCGTTTATTTATTGATAAAATTGAATTTTCGCGGATAATAGTGGACAGTGTAACTCTTAGTCCGGTACTGTGAACATTATCGTCGATAGGAAATGCGTGTACGACGTGAAATCAAACTCCGTTTTTGTGTCGGTGTCGGATACACGTCCTGATGACCGCTCGCGCAAGTCCCGCCGACTACCGCCGTTATGCAATATACCCACACCGTCGCCGTGCAGTACGTCTTTATTTGGACGCGGTCCGTAATATTATTATTTGTCTACCTATATAACGTACGCACACATATAATAATATTATAATATTATATGGTCAACACCCGAAAACTGGTTTGTCGCTGTAAAGCAGTGTTTCGCTATAATAATATTATTATATACCTACCGGCTGTATCCTTTCTCCCGTATCGCGCGATTTTTTTTTTTTATTATTATTATTTTACTGTTACATAGGTAGCTTACTGCTCGGCGATAAAACAAACTCATTACAGGGGAAAAAAAATGTATAATTTGAATAAAAACCGTATTTTCCCCCGGTTGCACCCACGTTTCAAATTTTCTCCGATTTCGTAAAATTCGAAAATTGTTTTTGAACATGTTATAATGACCGCCGTCTTGAAGACGAGGCTTTTTCCCCGAACTACTACGTCCGATGCCCGTTTAAGAGGACGAAAATGACTTGTTGCTGATAAACGATGACAATAACGTTCTACGAATCGCGTTGAACTTTCGAGTTTTCGTTCGATTTCAAATTATGGTTTTAAAAAGTTGATAAAATAATGTGTTAAACATGAACCTTGTTTTTAAATGGGACAGAATATCAAGCTCAAAATTTTGTTGCTGGTTTTTTAATTCTTTAATCGAAATGAAAATGTTAGGATGTGGTCGACACCTAATAGTCATATGTTACATAATATAATACGTAGACAAAGTAAAATCATTGGCTTTTCGGCAAAATGGAATACGATAAAATAGGATTCGGCCAAATGCGATTTTTTTATCAAACCGTATACAACTAGTTTTATGTCGGCGAAATGGCACTACACGTTTTACAAGGCATGAGATTTTTTCTCGTAACCCGTGCCAAACAACCCGTTGGCACCGGGTTCCTTAACCGTTGTTTCTCGTTTAATTCTTTTTTTTTTCAAGGGCACCTTCCTTCCCGTGATGACGACCATATCGACTAAATAAAAATTGTTTTTTTTTTCTTTTGTCAATCGTATTACCTAGGTAACCCATAAATTAAGATACCCACAAACCCGTTCGTCCACTTCTGTGTATTTTATATGTAAATTTCCTGACATCTGCGTGCGATAAGGACATGTATCGTTCATTCACCGCACGAACTATAGTTAATTTATTTTATTTACTCGTATGGTTTTGATCCTAGTAGTAACAGTATTTAATATAACAGACCTAAACATTACATGTGAGATATGAATGACCACAACTATAAAATCTATAAAATATCTATCAATTAACTATATGTACAAACAAAAATAAAAATAAAAGAAATAAAAATAACAAAATAACACTTCTTTTTTTAGTTCAGACAGTCACCAGACAGCGTCTCTTTCCAATAAGTGTAACTTTTCCATACCTCTAGTAAGGAATGTACCATACATTCTTCAATTAGGTGTCAACTATAGTTCATTGAGCGATTAATTTCTGAATGAACGACAATATGAGATGGATTATAGTCCATTTCGAATGAGCAACGAATTTTATACAAAAAGTCAAATGTTTAAATGAACAAAGAACGACTGGGCCACTGAGCGAGTATTGTAGTGCTGCTGTGAATGGTATTAATAACTTTGATTTTCCTCCAAAACTTTCTTAGGGCTAAATTCACGTTTATATTTACCCAAAATGTATTCATGTGTAAACCAACAATTACACACAAATATAAAACAGGTTCGAAATTAAGTCGACACTGACTGGCTTAACTTTTTGGTGTATCTACTGATAAATAGATTTTAAATCAAATATTCTGCCTTACCTATATAATTATTAATTGATTGTTGGAATTAGTTGCATATTTTCGGGGAGGGTTCCTGGGTTCGACCCCCCCTCCTAGAAGAAAATGTATAGTTCAAAAATTATAAATAAAATATGAAATGTATACTATTTATAGATATACTAATTATTATTAGAAGGGTGGACAAATTATATAATAGAAGAAAATGGTCTAATCTTTGGTCTAAAAATTTCGTTATTTCGTGGTTTTTGGATGAAAACGTGTTTTTGTAGGAAAGTGGCTACGGCGACTAGATATACCTATAGTCTATTATTATGTATAACTGGCAGGGATTACAGTTATAATCCTGATTTGACTTCCAAAGGAGTGCTATATATACTCTTGGTGAAGACTTTTTACCCAATAATCTTTGTTCCGTGTAGATACCTAAATTTGTAATACTGTCGGAAATTTCCATATTATATCAGAATAATATTGCACAATATCGACACGATAAAGATACTTATCATGAACGCCCAAAGTTAATTTTCAATAGAGAGACAAACTGGAACCAGGTCTCTCACACATCAGGAACACACGCATTTAAAGACTAATATGTAGATATAAGAACACAAGACCTGTAAACAATGTTTATGACAGGTTCATTACGAGACGGTGAATCATCTCTCTAGACTGTGCGTTACAGCTCAATAACAATTATTTGTGAGTTATAATAGTTTTCATGAAGGGGGGCATGTCTTCCTTTTGTTAAGAGGGAAGTTATACTATTCTTACCCCCCCCCCCAAAGGACACCCGTGGTACTCGTGTAGTTCAAAAATAATTTATTTTTATGTGAAAGTGCGAGTAGTAATATATATATATTATGTATTATAGTACAGTATATATTAAATGGCATAACGTCTATATCGGCAACGATAAATTTTTATCAAAAACTACAAAAATTAAGAAGACGAAAAACGAGTGGGCTACAATATTACGCCACTTCGAATTGTGATGGCTATACAGCACCCCCTCTCCCCACCCCACCTTAATCCATCCCTGAAGACTTGACATAGAGTTACCGGACGTACCGCGTGCGCATATAAAACTTACAAATAAATGCACATCATTTTTACTATAGTACGGCGATTACCTCATTTTAACTACCGGCATACCGGCTCTACCGTTTGTTTTTTCGCTTTTGATTTTTTCCCAATGGTTTTTCGGGATTACGCCGAAACCTAATAATCCTCGGCCCGTCGATCACCGCGCGCATTTCCGTCGATCAAAACGCCACGGTTACTATATCAATATAATGCTTTCTCCCGGGCACATTATTATATCATTATCCAAGCAATCCTATATAATATAACCTGGATGTCCATATATGCTCACGCGACGGCCATCCGGTGCTCCGCCCGTGTCGTGTCGTATCCTCGGTCCATCCTTGGCCCCGCTCGTCACAAATATCTATATTACACATACATACACGCCATATACGATATACAAATACAATACATTGTATATCGAACCCGCCGATTTATGTAACATACTTGCACAAAAATATGTGTACGGATAAAAAATACAGAAAATACAATATTATGTTCCAACATACAGCTGACCAAACGGAAAACGATTATTATAGAATCTAAAAGCACCGATGCAGGAATAATTAAGCATCCTAAACCGATATATTCCACCCGAAACGACAAAAGTACAAAAAAAAACCCCCCTCTACTCATTGAAGATCATGGACTAAGAATATAATATATGGACTAGACACACCTAGGTGGGCAGGTGATGGAGACGTGGTCAGAAATTATTGTTTAAAGCACATTTTGAAAATATGTCGGTGGCTAGCGGGTTTTACTGGGAACTAACGAATATTACATTTTGTTGTGTGATAAATTAATTAATGAGTTATGAGTATGCTAGTAAATATACTATTATGTTACTAGATTATAGAACTTTACAATTCCCTACTGTATATTTTAGTGATATTATCAAGGGGACTGATGTGAATGATACTTCACTCCCCAAGGAAGTCTAGAACCCAGACCTTTTTCTTATTTATTTTTTTGAAAATGACTTGTTACATATACATATACTTATGACAACCAAAGACAACAATTTAATCCTGCAGAGTTTTCATATTGATTTTCAATTTATAACCACTCTAAATGATTTTTACTAAAAAAAACGTAAAATACGTACCTCTTTGACGGATTAACCAAACTAGACGCTAAATTATCATAATCGTTTCGAAATAAAATTATTTGTTTTTCGACACAAGAGTTTTTTATGTATCTAAATATTTTACGAAATAATACGGTAGCAATATTATCGGTATCTATATAATATGTGTCACGAGAGTATACCTATATAATATTATCGGCCGTATCAATATACCTACAAGTTATAAATATAAGTCATAAATGGATATTATAGTGTATGCGATCCGTCATTAAGTTTGGTATACTTATCTGTACGTGTATGTGTGCACCTATAAGCCAATAATTATCACAGTATCTGTTTTTCTAAATTTGAAATCTCTACCGTTTGTTTTTTTGTGTTTTCAATGATACCACAACTGCGACTTACGTCTATGTATACCTATAGCTCTACGTTCAATACTATAGTTTACATTTTACTATATATTAATAATTTCAACCTCTCCTGCCTCCAAAAAAAATTAAAATATATATTTTATAGGGACAAAACAAATATGTATTCGACATGTATGTTTCCGTAAAATGTATTCGACTAATATATAGCAGGGAGGTATGTATAATATTAAAGAGAGTGATTTATCGAGGTCGATGCGCACAATTGCACCAAAAAGGTTTTCGACGTTTTTGAACGAACATGACGGACCACAATTTGAAAATATTACATGTTGAAAATATTTCTCGCGGAACCCGATGAAAACTATTATACTCTACCGGGAGTTTGACTTAATTTAAAGTATTTCTTAAGTGATTGAAAACAACGCTGGATTGCGGTTTGTCACACACATAGATAATATTATATTATATACCTATGGGTTAGACATATTGTAAGCAACTGATTGATATCGTCAGAGAAGTCGTTCGCTTCGAAGTCACGTGATAAAACTTACAACGCATAAATATACCGACTACGAATAGGTACATACCTATATAATATATGACGTAAAGAAAACGTGAAATTGTTTTGATGAAAAAAAAAAAAACACAAATTATTAATATTTATTTATCCCGGTCGATATCGTCGAATATAATACGGCACAATAAAAATCGTGTAGAAATGACGGAATAGTATTACCATTTTTGGTTAGTAAACAGTTTATAATGTGAAAACGCCGAAACCGCATCAGAGTACATACAGGTACGTATATAGGTATATAATAATTCCTCAGGGTCGTGCCGATACGTAATGAAAAAAAAAAAAAACCGATTCAACCGTACAATAGTCAGTCGCGTATGCATATTACGTGTATTATATATATATATATATATTTTTATAACCTGATGTATTTATCTATCTATAAGTATGCCATGTTATATTAGAGCGAATATGCCCTAAAAGTCTTTCAATATTTATATGTGAATACATTCACTAAAAATAAAATAAAAATCATGTTAAAAATTTACGAAATCCTTAAAATATGCTCTGAAAAAAAAAAATCGAAAAACGCCAACTGCATGTGCGAAGTACGATTTTGTACATGGGCATGGCTATCCGCTCTATTTAGAAATCTCGGAAAATCATTCTTGTGTTTCGCAATTCGTTTAGTTGAAAATGTCTTAAAAATATACTTATAAACAATTCCTTAAAGTACGCGAAAAAAAATCGTGTAAACAGAACCGTTATTTATCACAATAAAATGTACGCGATATTATCGATACGGATACAAGGTGATTTATTCCCAACACGAAGCGGTATTGTATTTTTGATTTTTTTTTTTTTTGTCATGGCGCCTGCAGCAACGATTGGAAATCACCTTCCAGCGATCATTTAGAACAATTTTTCTGAAAACGTTAACGTATACTTAAATAAATATCGCATTATTCAACGAACGTAATAGTTTATTATTTATTTATCGGAACGTAGAAACGTTTACAATTAATAAGGGCCGTAAGTATGGTGCTAAAATATTATTCCCCCGTCACTCCGTCGCGCGTACACAACCCCGTAAACATCAAATGCTGTGTAATAAATAATTAACTGCAGTTTATTCAACATTCGGTATATGTATATTGTATATACACGACGAATTTTTTTTACGGTGAAAAGTGAAGTTCAGACGGGCACGGGTTTACCATTAAACTCGTAAATAAACCGTGCGCATTTTGGTAACGAGAAAAAAAAAGCAATCGTAAATACAATATGTAATATAAAGTCGAAAAGAAAAGAAAAATAACTAATTTAAAATCGCTTTTGATCTCTCATCAGATCCTTTATAAAGAGGAAAATATCAAACTTTTTTCCATCTCGTTTAATCGTATCGTTTATTTATTTTTGTTTTTACCTGCAGAACAAACAAGGAAATCACGTATCCGGTAACAGGAGAATGTCATCGCCGGGCAAAACTTCAAAGACGACCGGAAACAACGGCGCGTGGTTCAAGTCGTTGGACAGATTCGGCAAGAAGAACAAGGTTGGTCCCCGAAAAACATCCGTACACGTCGTATACATTGTACTATATACAGGGTGCCCACGCGAGACGCGTTTACAATGAGAAACGTTTGTAAAAAAAAAAAAAAAAATGTTTTCTTCAATTTTTACCTCGATGAGTAATAAAACGGTCGCTTATTTCGGTAGGCACGGGAAATTAAGTATAGCGCATTTGTCGCTCTCGACACTAATACAATTTTATTATTGTATGCCGCGGTAAAATATTAATTTGGCGTTTTTTTTTTTTTTTTTTTTGTTTTTCAATCATTTTGCGCGGCAGCGATCGAAGACGTTCACGTCGGGAAGCGAAAACGACGACGAGATCAGAGTGCACAGGGTGAACGACCGGAACAACCCGACGAAAGGGTCGTCGACGACGGCCCGGTCGTACCACAGCGTGGGGAATCTCAACTCGTTAGACATGGACCAGTCGCCCAGACTGATGGCCGACAAGAGACATTCGCTGATCGAAAGTTCGGCGGGCAGCACCACGGAGGGGGACAGCAGTCAAAAATCTCACAAGTCGACCGTTTATCTCCACGCTACCACGGGTACGAGTCGCGCACACGTTACAATAATACGTATAAAAAATGAATTTTCAAAGTGTACTAAAACACAATATTAAGCGAGTGTAGCATGTGCAAAGGTTAAATGCCGGAACGTACTTATAGAAAGCCGTTTTCGAAGGTACGACCGCGCAGAAATCCATCTGCGTACCATAGGCGAAATTAGGGGGGAAGGGGACGATAGGTTCTAGGTGGGTATTAACTACCACCACCGAAAATATCCAAAAAGCTTATTTATATAGTATAGTATAGAATCAATATTTTATCCGTGTATTCCATAGGGGTCATTTAATAAGCAGAACAAAATACAGATTGCCTACAGACAACGCATGTGTGTATAAAAAATAAAGTTAAAAAAGTTATGATACATTTTTTATATTAACAATTGCAAATGAAACGTGTAGTTGCAAATGGGATTGTGGGGGCACTGCCCCAATAAGCCCCAATAATTTTAGCATCCTGAAAGTTGGTGGTCCAGTTGCGCCTATATGCAGTGCACACACGATCCTAAAGAAGTATGAACGCTGTATTACCTATAAAATGTTCGCGTTAGTCGATATTATTTTTTTCACGACACTTCGGCAACAAGGTCCGACACAATCTGTATAGTGCGATAAAATCTCGTAGCGAATAAATAAATAGCGTTCACACGCGACTCGTTTACAATACAATTAATACAATTTATCGTTACGTTACACAAAGAAATATTATTTTTTCAAAACGTTTTAGGTATACCAAACGATGCTCATCACCCTAGAACGACTATATTTTTTTTTCAAATAAAACGCGAAAACAATATTTACCTACGTCGCATAAATTTCACCGCTCGTAACGTGTTTATTTACCCCTTAATTTACGATTTCAACATAATGAACAGTTTTTATTTGGAACATAAATACCGTAGTATGGCTGTGTTAGTTTTAACGAGTCCTGCAGTTGTGACCGTGATATTGTTTTTATAAAATCCATTTATTTATTATTGGTGGTGACGACACGCGTACCAATCGACTAAAAACATACCCCTGGGCGGCTATTCCCCGTTGAATGCTTTTTAAACTGTACATTGCAAACAACCGTATAAATAAAAAAATATACAGCCGACCAGCAGTACTTTACCACAATGATTAAAAGTAGGTAAATATTAATCACTAATAAAATTACAATCCATGTATCTTTTTTTTTTTTCAATATCTATTTACTAAACATATTATTTTAACAAAATATCGCTTAACGATCGATACGTGACAATATAATAATATTGCCACATTGGGTACAGACTGGCTAAAGACACGCAGTTAGAATTATAGAATTCATACGTACAAATCCTTGTAACAGATTACTACGGCGGTCTTATACTATATGAACTACAACGCGGAATAAATAAATGCACTAATAGTATAATACTATAAACTTCCTCGGCATCTAAGTACGACACGATATCCTCAGCAAACACTATTATACAGAGTGATTATTTTATAGTGATCCAATATCATTATTATTGATATGACCGAACGCTTCCCTATAAACTATTCCAGTTTAAATTCTAAACATGTTATAACTCATAAACACGCGGGTAATTCAATATTAGTGTCGATAATGTACAAAAAACAGAAAAAATATTTTTCAGTATAGGAGAGCTGCTAATTGAAAATTAAAAGTCAATACGGTATAACGAGTACAGATTAGACGTAACAATTTAAAATAAAATATAAACAATTACGTAATGATTAAAAACGAAAATCAGATTTACCTACTTAAAATACTTCGAAAAAAACGCTGGGCCGTGACCAAAAAATTACCCTGGCTATAATGTATATACACTCTGAAAAACCTGTAAATAGCACCCTCCTTGTATTTGATTAGTACTATAATCGTATGATATTTTAATGTAACACAATCATATAGCATTATAATTTGGAGGGAAAAAAATATCAAAAATTATAAAGAAAAAATACGTGTAACTACACACAATGGTCAATCTTTTGAAGTACACAAGCATTTAATATTTTTTCAATAGTAAGTAGAGAATTGCGCGAACCTTAAATTTTCCAAAAGGAAAATTACAAAAACGAGTTAATATTTACAACGGAGGACCCAGAAGGGATAGATGCCACCCTTTTTCCCAGATGATACCTCACTTTGAGATAAAAAAAACTAATTAACGCATGTGTTTTACCCGATTTGTAAACCGTTGAGAATAATAATAGGCTTTACGACAAAAAAAAAATGTATTTAATTAAATACGTAACTATTTGTCAAATTGTTAGACAAATAAATTAACAATATAATTTATAATGTACTGTCATATAAAATTCTACGAAAACAAAATAAAAATCGATAGGCATGTAGTTTAACCTACCCCTTCCCCCTCCCATAATTCAAACCTAGATCTGCTTGCGGATGATTGACCACTCTATATTATTATACGTGATATTTTATTTGTTTTTATTTAAATGTAATTGTAAACTATATTATGTTTTCATGGACCGGGCTGGGCACTGCTGCAGTAGGAGAAATCCCGGAATCCCGTCAACTCCACCAGTCCGTGTTCGGGGCGAAGAGCAGACGGGCGGCCAGCAGGGAAGAGCTGTCGTCGCGAAATGACGCGTTCGGTGGCACGCAGAAGCGCACGCTGTCCAGATCCGTTTCGGTGCTGGCGCCGTGGGCGCCTAGACACGGCGAGGGACGGACCGTAGACTATGACGAGCGTGGCAGGCCGCCCAGAGCTCCGCCGACGAGGGGAACGACAGGCAAACGACAAGGTGCCGTCAAAGCGACCAAGAACGACCAGGAACAGTCACCGGTGCCCGCGGCGGTGTCACGGAAAAACCGGGGTGTCGCGAGTTCGGGCGAGGAATCGTCGTTGCTGGACGAAGTGATCATCCGGACGACTGGTCGTACGGGAAAGTTGATCAAAGACGACCGATCGACGTCCAGGCAAATCGGCCGGTCCATGTCGTCAGTCAACAACAGGGCAGGGGGCACGCTGACTCGGGTCAAGTCGAAATCGTAGTGCCGGGGCGCGCCAGGACCGACACAATGTTATTATCACACTGCATTGCACAAGTTTTTCGCTGTACACACTATATATACAGGCCGAGGCGGGGCGATCATCTCGTTAAAAAAATAATAATAATAAAAACCGGTCACCGCACGCCCGCCGATCGCCGCCGTCGTTTAAAACGAGAAACAAATCGTTAAAAATTAAAATATAATAAACGCCGTTAATTAATATAATTAACACGCTCGGCGGTGCGTCGCCGCCAGCGCCACTAAAAATATGTTTAATACCCTTGTCGGCGTCGTCGCAACAAGTTTCAAACGCGCACCCGATTAATATTTTTATATTATTGTTAGGATATTATAGTCTTTAATAATTCGTAGGTACGATTTTTCTAACTCGTTACACCGACACAACCAATGAAGTCGGAGATTTTTTTGTTTTTACTAGTAATTTTGCAAGCACAAGTTCAACGTGACCATAATAATAGTATCGTGTATTAAAGCTTGTGGCATAATGTAATACCGCGTCATTAAAAAATAAATTGTCTTTTGTCTTTGTGGTCTATACTTAAGAGTAATATATTTCTACCGTTAAAGAGGAGCTTCATGAATAATATCTTTCAAACACACAAACAATCTTTGCCATATATAATTTATAGAGGTATGTTTTAATCGTCACTACATACATTTCCGACTTGCCTTAAACGAGTATGAATATGAACAAACTATAATAGATCAACAATATTATTTATGGTTATTGATAAATTTATGTGCCGATATACATCATCCGATTGATTTACTGTTATCTATATTATGTTATTATTCCTAGTCAAATAACCCCTTAAAAATTAATACAAAAATTATAATTATTAATTATATATTATATATTATATGTTAATGAGTTGTATTTACTATTTTATTTTTCATGTAAATATTTTCAATAATCGCATAGATATGTTGTACATATAATAAATAGGTACCAATAGTATAACCAAATTATTATAGTCTCTTGGAGACATATGTTTTTGAAAATCCTACAACTACATAACGAAAATGTAATAATAATAATAATCATAATAATAATAGTAATAATACATAACATATTACACTTAGAATAAATATATCGTACGAACACACTTTAATTCTTTGAGATTAAGTTAAATTTTTTTTTGATTAAAAGTCTTTTTTGAAGCTATATATTATTTTCATTATTATTTGGCTTTTATCAATATTTATTACAACCTTAATTCATACCCTTCTTATTATGTACTGACTAAGACTACGGCACCACGACGAAGACCAAGCGGCGCATGGACACCACCGCTATCTTTCCAGATGTGCGTCCATCGTGTCTATAACGCTCTGCTTTTGCAGGAGAGCATTTTTCAGAGCATTTATCTCGTGTTCGTAATTTGTTTTCATTCTTTCTAACTCTGCAGACTGCTCATATAGACGGCCACTTAGACGGTTTACTTCCTGATGTGCCCCTTGTTCTACGCACTGTACACACAAAACATCTTTTTAAACATATTGTTATAATTAATTATACTAATATATTATTTTTAGTGTTTTTTCGAATCAAATTTAAATTATAACAAATATGTCTTCTTCTCCTTCGCCTTTATCCAAATTTGGGGCAGACCAATAAATGCTATATATTATAATTTATAACAAATATGTATAACTTCAAAACAGTCAAAACATACATAAAGGACAATCATTCGAAAATCTTACAATCTCTTTGGTGTTCAGTTTTTATCGAAAACCTAGTCAGAGTGTGTTTTATTATTTTCCTTAACGATGAATGTGACAATTAATAAAGATTCGTTGTAACAGTCTTAACATGTAAACATTATCATATTATATTACAATATACCTTCAAGTGTTCTGTGAGAGCTTTCACTCGAGCACTTATCGAAGCACTCAACATAGCAGCTGAAGCGTCATTTCTGCCATCACCAGCTGCACGGCGCAAAAGTGCCTCTTGTTCATTGATGGTCTCGCGTAGAAATACCATGGCATCAGCTAGCTGCTTCTTGTTAGTATTCTTCTCTGATTCACATTCAAACAAGTGTTTCTCTAGTGCATCACATTTTGCTTTCAATTGTCTGCAAAATTCATAACAAAATATTTAACTACACTATATATTTGTCTTTACCCACATATTACATTGAAATATGTATATACAATGTGTGCAAAAATTTGTATTTGTATTTATTATACTTTTTTTATGTTTTTTAAATATAAACAATTTTTTTTTTATTTTTTTTTTTTACTGAATGTCTTACGAGCACTGAAGATCTAAAGCTTTATTGATGGACCGCTGTTGATTTAATTCAGTGGTCAGAGACACAATTCTAATATCGAGTGTAGGTCTTTCTTCTTCAAATGTTATTAATCTACGCATCAATGTATCACGCTCATCATCATATCGACACTTGAGTTCTTCGAAAAGTCTATAAGTAAAAAAAGATCATAATTTCATTTTTAATTAACCTACAAAGTTTTAATTTTGAGATAATTCAGGTTTAACTTCCGATTTGATTATGAAATAAATATTTTAATTTATTAATAATAGTTTATTTTAAAATCAAAAAAAAAAACAATATAATTGTTAGTATGAATAATTTATTTTGATTTTTAAAACTAATTAACGTACCTATCAAAAATAATAAACTAATAATAAAGTAATTATTAATCCTGATATTATATTATACACAACATAAGCTAACTAAAGTATTAAAATATATTATGTACCTTCGACACTCATTCACAGCAGACGTGTGTACGGCTATTGGAATTTTATTATTATCTTCGCTTTTCATACGATTCAAGTCTTCGGCTAATGTAGATACACGACCTTGCAAGTGGAGGAGTTCTATACGGGCATTTTCATACTTCTCAGCCAAATGATCACGTTCACCATTCAATTCAGTCACTAAAAAAGGATCAAATAATAGTTGTAATGTCTATAAATATAATAAATAAATTTATGGTTGACCTTTGGGAAAGACTGAGGGATAAAAACATTCAAAGGAAAAATAAAAATATACTTAACATTAATTAATACTAAAATAGTTATTTGTGAATAACAATTTTGTTTTTTTTATTTATTTATTCCAATATACATACACATTATACAGATGTTAACAATAAAGTATATGTATAAAATTATGAGCCTCCTTCAATTGTTGCTTGTAACAGAGCCACAGAGTTACAAAAGTGTTTGTTTAATAATTTTCACTGTTAAAATAATTAAAGTTTAATTTGAATAAATCAAGTACCTATTCTAAATTTATAAATTAAATATTATTTTACCAATAGTATCATGTATTTCTGACAAATTCTACAAAAACTTTATATCTATTGGAGTTTCAAATTTTTTTAAAAAAATATGGAGCATTAAATTTGATATTTTCCTAAACTATAAATATTTTATTCTTTAAGTTAGACCTATTGTTACAGTGTCATAATTATAAGGGGGTCAAATACCCCTTAGCCTTTTTTTTCTTATTTAAGTATTATGTACATTACCTGTGTAATATCAAACAACTGCACATGAATATGTCACTACTGTTCACTACTTTACAAAGGATCAAAAGATACTTATAGAATACAATATCAGAGGTATATTTATAACTGAAAATTTGAATACTATACAAACATTACATACCTTACCTTATAACAATAATAACTAAATATTTTGTTCATTCAAATTGAATGGATTGGATAGATTGGAATTCAAATGGATTGGCTATGTTGGCAGTTCATAGAAGTATATTGGTAGATCGAAAGAATGTATTTAGTGAATGGCTCTGAAGCCAAGAAAAGTAGATATTATTTGATGATTATAAATTGTATGATTTATTTATTATTACTTATTAATATCTATAATTCTATCTACCAATTATTAACTTAATAATTTTTTTGTTAAAATATTAAACTATCTTTTTTTTTCTAAAACTTACCCCAGACCTAAAAATAATATTTACCTAACAAATTCATACCACAACTCTTTTATAAAATGTTCAAAAATGTCCCAACCCCTCACAAGTATATTATAACATTATATACGAGAACACAGTGTCGTTATGAGCTGCAGAATATTTATACCTACAGAATATTTATACCTACTGATAATTATTTTTAAAATATTATGTACAATCAACATTCAATAATAATAATTGATTAACAATTAATCATTACTAACAAAAAACAATTCTGAGCGAAATTCGGTTATACATGACCTCCTTTAAGTACAAAATAGATAAAATAGATAAAATTGTCTTTCACAAAAGGTGCTACAGTTATAAATCGAAAGATTTCTGGTAGGAATTTGGTACCTACATAATATAAAAAAATAGTAATAATGAACATTGTAAAACCAATATATTCCTCGCTTTGCTCTGAATCTAAAATAGTAGTTACCAATATTTTCTTAATTGTCTTCGTATTTAAAAAGTTATCTTAAAGTCCAAAGGAGAAATATGTAGTTACTATGGACAGTGCTACACGTATGTTCGCCACACTTAAAAAAATGTCCAATACTAACATTTTTTTCACCAAAACATTTTTTATAAAAGACTTGTATTCATAACAATTTTAAGCTAAAATATGGTTAGGTTTTTAATTTTCAGATTTTTACAACGACTATTGATTTGAAAAGAGAACATTTTCGGTAATGAGAATATTCTCAACCAACAGTGGTCTGCATCATTATGGCCCCCATACTTGTCACTTAAACATTAATTTATGGCCACTGATAAACTGCTCGAGGCCAGTCCATTATATCTTCCGTGCAATAGACCAACTCTAATAGTAAAATTAACAGCATTAAATAGGATTTACTAAAGAAAATTTTAACATTATCCAATTTTCAACATTACCCATAACATACACTATATATAGAAGGCCGGTCTTAATTATTTTGTTGGTACGAAAATATATGCCAATCCATTCCTGATCAGCGCTTAGCTTTTTGTCCTCTTTTGAGCCTCTCACATTAGATTTAAAAGAAAAAATTAAAATTGTAGAATATTCTCTCAAAAGTCTTTTACTGTAAATTAAAAACACTACCCCTATCTACAGTTAGCAGCAAAAATTCAGGAGATAAGGATCGTATGAGTCGTACGACATACGGTATGACTCCAGAATCCAGGAGTCTAGATTTCACTCCATAGTTCGTACAGTCCAAAAAGATGAACTACTCGTACTTTTCCCAATTCCTATTTCCCAAAGCCATAAAAGAAAAAAGAAAAATTTGTCTGTGCTGTCAATTTTTTTTTTATCGTAATTTGGTTAATTTTTTGACGTATCAATGTACCATAAAGTTTGAAAATTCCGAATATATATTGCACATATGTATTGAAATAAATAAGTTCTTATATTAAGATTATAAAATAAAACACTTTGTTTTTCGTGTCTAATACCATAATCAAAATAATTATTTATATATATAATTGCAGTTCACTCACTGGCATATTCTTTATTCTAAAATTATTACGCACGGCTTAAGATATATGTTAAATCGTATGGGAAAAAATGTTGATAAGGTGTTGGAAAAAACAATGGTCGCCTGTTCAAGTATGAATATATTTTGAATACACTAGTCTTCAGGGCTGTCAATTCATTAACATTAAATTCGTACGGACACCGATTCCAAACTGATAGTTGGTACTTTTTTTTATTGAGGTTATGTTTCTTATCACACGGGGAGAACTGAGTGTATCCCCCATAGACTAATTGACATAATTAGTACTGGTAACACTGTTGTGTTATCAATTATTATACAAAACAAACCGTGATATCAACACTAAAGAAGTAATAAACATTAAACATCAAAGACCTTATACCAACTTAAAACTATAGTAAACACCTAAAATGTTACATTACAATTATTACATTCGCTTTTATAAATCGTAGTAGTAAACCAATAGTATTTTAATTAAATTTTAAATAAATTACTAAACATAAAATAATGACATTTTATAAATTGTAATCGTTTAGTACTCATGCTATTATTTTTTTAATATCGTTAAAAAAAAATCCCAAATCTATGACATTGTAAAAATAAAATCTAATTTTTAAAACTAAAAACTACAATTTTTAAACAAAGAACAAAAAAATTAATTTTCAAACATTTTTAAAATTATTTCTATGTTCTTAGATCGTCTGACAGTTGTGTTTCAATTACCAAATCAAAGTATGTTGACATTTTAATACTACTGAGGATATTATTAGTACTCATAGATAATTTATTATTATGTCTATGTTAATACCAATTAAAGTTTTAACACATTAATTGAGTCAAGTTACACTAATTTGTTTTAAAATTATATAACACAAAATGTTCATAATTTTATACATTAGGGTAATTGGTTCTTATTTAAAATGAAAATATTCTCAAAAAAAAAAACTGTTAACTGTTATTTGAAGTTCCTAGAAAAATTATTTCATAATCAATAAAGATTAAAGCAATGTGGATAATAGTAATATTTTTTTCTTTTATAACTAATAAAATGACTATTGTCATAATATAAAATAATTGCTTAACTTGGTGTCTCCTAATGGCAGTGTCCAAGGGTTGCTACAAATGCTATGAAAGTCAACTGCTACTACCATATACTATTTCAAACATATTATTCCAAATATTGACTTTTACGAATACAACTGTTGCAAATGTATATTACTGCGAAATTTAATTTAAAATTTAATTAACTTGATAAAAACTACTACAAAAGGCAATAACTCCAAATTTATTTATCTGTAATGACATAACCTCACTACTATGGTGGCATGGCAATGCTTTTAGATCATATACTATTCCTGTTATTCCACGACTGCTGATGAGATCATATTATACTGCAGCAGATTAAGTGTTAACCATGATAAATCAAAAATATATCTTCTTAAAAAGTTTCTTCTTAATCAATAAGTTATCAATATTAATGGATTTCAACGTTTCAAGTATTTTATTAATATGCAGTAAATAAAAAAAATAAATACAACAATAGTTTAAACAGTTACACTCTGACTTGTACTCTGATGTAGTTCAATGTCATCACCCAATAGTTAAAATGTTGAAAAAAATAATACATAGGTAAGATCTATTCCAGTTCGAGCAAAAGAGCGAGATGCCCAATAAAAACATTCAGATTTTGAACAGTCGGGAAACACATAAAGAGAACAATATTTTTTATCAATATGAAAATGACAAAATGTAAGATTAAATAATGGATTCAAATTAAAAATTCATTTGATCAAATTTTGATAAAAACTATTTTGGAATAGTTGTTTAGTAGCTCACCGTAATATTGTAGTTATTTATATTCAGAGCAATGAAATGCTATTGCTACGACCGAGTGTAGTAAATGGTCATGATAGTTGTCTTTTGTGGCAGTGGTCTATTCTAGTGTTCAGTCTAAATTTTTATTTTTATCACAAGAAAATATGGTGTTCAATATTGATTAGTGGAATTAGGACTAGAATTTCGATGAAAAACTCGAACAGTGAAAACAACACTTAACATAAACAAAAGAAAAATCAAACGTGTTTTACTGCAATTTTACAGCCAGAGATGTTTAATAAACAATTTTGTTTGAAATACTTAATTGATACTTGATTACCCATATTTGACTTTCAAGCACAACAAATTGTAGATTTTTCAGATATTTTGACCAATTTAAATAGGAAAATAGGAAAAACATAATTAACAGAAGGAAAGTTACATAGAATATCTTATTTACTTTAAATTGTTTTTCCTAAAAAAGTAGCTCAACCTCATTTCAATATAACATAAACTTTATTTGACAACTCTTTATGACTTATAAAAACAAAATTCAAAATAAAATAAAAACCAATGTACTTTAAATGAAATACTTTACCTCATTACAAGAAAACTAAAGAATTGTCCTTGTAAGCTCAAAAATTTAAGGTGCCATTAAAAAAAATGTTTAGTCACAAAAAATATAAACCACCCTACACATTTTATTAAACACTTTTTGATACATATAATGGCAACAATTCTTGATTTAGATATTTATCTTGTGCTGAACTTGGTCAATACAAATTTTAGTCAAATATTTTGTACAACATACAATTTTATTATAAAATGATTTATTCGTATTAATTGAATCAATATTTATATTTTAGATTCAAAGTTTTATTTTGCAGTATTAAAAATTACAGTTCATAATTATTATTATTAATTTAGTTATTATTTAGATGTTTGCATTTTTTTGTTTCACAGAAGAATTTGAATCATTGAAAACATCAGTATGGGTATTCCAGGACTAACAACTTTCATAAACCGAAATTCAATACAATATTTCGAAAATCACCAACTCAAAGACACTTTAGTAATAATTGATGGATATGCATTGACAAACTTTTTATATAGATTATATGAAAATAATACAAGTGCATTTGGTGGGGATTATGATATTTTGGCAGAAGTTTATTTGGATTTTATAAAATTACTAATAAGGTGTAATGTAACACCAGTTTTTATATTTGATGGTGCTTATGAGCAGCGTAAAATTGAAACAATTATGCAACGCATGAGTGAAAGAATTCATTCTTACGCTCAACCGATAAAAACTAATAATTGCATGCCATGTTTTGGTAGTGATGTATATTTTGAAATTCTTAATGATATGGACATACCACATATACACTGTGATTATGAAGCAGACGCTGAAATAGTAGCTTTAGCCAAAATATTAAATTGTCCTGTAATTAGTCGTGATTCTGACTTTTATGTGAATGTTGTACCGTACATACCATTAGACATGATTGTTCTTGATTTAAAATCTACAGAAAAATTTATAAACTGTAGATTGTATAAAGTCGAATACTTATTAAATCAGTTTGGTGGACTGAATATCGAGTATTTACCTTTAGTGGCATCACTATTAGGAAATGATTACATAAGACCGAATACTTTTTCATCATTATTACGAATAAGTCCCGACACCTATAACTGTGGATTAAAACTAAAACGAATCATAAATTGGCTTAAGAATCAAAGAGACGTAAATACTGCAGTACAAAATATGACACGAAACTTGTCCAATAATAGAGATTACATACACAAACAAATAAACATCATTATAAATGAGTATAAAACCATAAACAGCAAATATTTATCATTTGTTCTTCAATACAAAAGAATGATAAAATATCGAGATTCTTTGGAAAAATATATAAAAACAGATGAAAAAAGCATACTCCCACGTTGGTTAGAATACAATTATCGAAGGGGAACTATTAATTCAGAGGTAATGACTATATTAACATTGAAAAAGATATTTTTCAAAGTAATCATTGAAGATAATGAAAAACCTCCTTACTTTGTTATTTCTTTCAATATTATAGAAAGAATAATTGGATTACTATTTGAAACAAATCACTCAATTCAGTCTTTTGGTAGAAAAAATGGACTAAATATAGGTCAATACAAACTTAAACCGTACATAAATAGTCCTTATGTTGCATTGGCTGATTTAAATAAGACTGATTTACAATACCGCAAAAGTATAATTTTAAATTTAGTCGGCATAAAAAAATTTAACGAATTTCCAAAAAAATGGGAGTTATTTATTATTAGTTTAATTTACTGGAACAACAAAACAAAAGACAATAAATTATTGCATGCTTTAATTGTGTGCGCTGTAACATTAAATATAATACAACAAATAGAAACAGAATCGCAGAATAAAACATGTGAAAAAAATAGTATTATTGAAGAAAATATTACTAAAGTGAAAAAAGAAGAATGTATAAAAGCTAAGAGTTCTTTGTTAAACTATTTTAAAGTTAATTCATATAACGACAAGAGTTTATATAACAAAATTGTGCACTCATTTGCTCAATTTCAAAGTTGTATTTACTTTTTCATGATTTTAAATTCATTACTTGATTTTCCATATGAACAATGTCGTATTGAACATTTTTTCAAAGGGACATTTTTATACAATTTGAGTGTAAAATTGGAAAAGGAAAAGCAACCAGAATTATTTATTACCCAACAACTTTTTGAAAAATTAGATACTATAAATATTGTTTATAAATCTATAACCGACTATTTATTGATAATATCAGATTCAAAAAGGAAGGTAATTCCTAATACAAGCAACAATTATAAAAAATGTAAAAAAACATGTAAACAAACCAAAAAAAATTAATGTAAATATTTATACATATATAAATATGTATAATATAAATGTATAAGAAATTAGATAATATATAAGATATTTTGTAAAACTATAAATATATTTTACTCTATTGTTATAATATACCTACTATTACTTATAAATTAATTTAGATTTAGGTTTCATCAAAATAATAAATAATTTCTAATTATAAATTTACTAGATTGTACTATTTTTGAAAATAATTTACCTCTAGATTGATATGAACGTAGTAAATCTTGTAACTTTGTCTGATGTAGTTTAGCTTGTCTGACTAGTAATTCGTTGTGTTCTTTTAGCATGGCTACTTCATTTTCCAATGATTTCCATTCACCATAAGTAACCTCAACCTTTAACATAAAATGTATATAAAAAAAAAACTAGTACAAATTTAATCAATACAAAAAGTACTTTTTCATTTGCTTCTTCAAGTTGTAGGTAAAGATTTTCATTTTCAGCTGCAATTTCTCTGCTTCTAGAAGAAAATCGTGCAAGTTCATTTTTGTAACTTTCAATAGTAACATCTTTTTCTTCTAAAGATGTTTGGTATGCTTCTAACAGTGGAGATACTGTATTTATATCTTCACGACGCCAATTCATATGCTTTGGATCTGCATATGAAAACAGAAGAATCTTGTATAAATAACAAAAAAAAAATACTGTAACATGCAATAAAAAATTATTTTAAAAAACTTATACATAAATATTTATTTTTTCAGCAATAAAACAATAATTGTTTATCTCCTCAGATGTATGTTACATGATGTTAAATAATTATGTATATTGTATATATTATATTATTATTACATATTATTTGAAATAATGTATAATAAATAAGTATGCTTTATAAAGACTTAATATTTAATTTATGGTTTAATATAAATAAATATTACTTTATTAAATAATATTTAATGTAAACTCATAATATTTGTACATAAACTAGTTATTGCGTCTGAATTTTACTGCTGAGTAGCTACTCTCCTCAAGCTCTCAGGTCGTGTATGTTATTATTTGTTCACCTCATATGTTTATTGTAACCTTTATTACAGATTGTATATATGCTAGTAAATATTTAAAAATATATACATATATTATTTTAAAAAATAATGTATATTATGTAGTTAGTGTTTAAAAATATAAAGAACTTTTACTTTAACAAGTTTTTATATGAATTTACATGGTTAGATGAGAGTTTAGTTCAACTTAATATGTGTGGCCATAGAAAATAAATATTATTTAATAAAGTATTATTAATTTATACTAATTAATAAAGTAAATTAATATTAAGGCTTTATAAAATATACTTATTTATTATATATTATTAATTGTAATTGTTCAATTCAACATCATTAGTAAACTTTTAATGAATTGGGTATAATGCGCAATTTTCTAAGATTGTACAATAAATAACAAAATATACTTAAAACAATGCATTTTTCACATTAATTTCCATGCTAATGTATACCTTGCACTCGCATATAACTGCCGGATTCGTTAAATTGACCTTTTGACATTAGTTTATCTTGACATTTTTCCAATTCTCTATTCAATCTAAAAAACATAATAAACTTAAAATTTGTAAAGAAAAGAATTTAACCAGAGACACCAGTCCTTCCGCACCCCCGCTGAACATTTACAAACTAGTACAAACCTATCATAGACCCTTAGAAAATAACTAAACAAATAAAGAGGTGACAAAAACAAATATTAAATTGAGGTAACCCAAATAACCAGACACAAAAAGAATATTTGTATAATCTAATATTAACCATTTAAAAGTTTATAAACTGGTGTGTATACCTATAAGTCAGATTTTTTAATACAAAAACATCTTGTTTTAGTTCCTTGTTTTTATCAATCAATCTATTCACTTCACTTTGTCTATTCATAGTTTCAATGGCAGTACATTGTCTTTGTAGTTCATCTCTCTTTTTCTCCAACTGCTTGAGATGCGATGCCATTCTAGCAACATTTTCTGACATGTCTACATCTGAAATTTTTAAAATTAATAAAAAACGTTTACATATTATTTATAACTACTATTTTAACACCATCCATACTGTTTCTTAGGCGATCTAAAGGAGATATTGTTTCCACCCTACTAGGCTCTCTACGTGACATTCTTTCCATAGCTGGAACTATACATCTCTCGACTACAACATCAACATAAGGAACCTTGAAAATGTAAAATTACTCATAATGAAAAAAAATACTCTTTGTCACAGCAAATATATAATGTAAGCCGATTTTACTTTTTCTGATGTGCTCGAGCGAGTTCTGCGAGGTGGAATTGGAATTTGTCCATCTTGACTGTAATTACTTGCCATATTTTTTATAATATTATAACTAGTTTATACGTCATATATGCAGTATCCGTCATTTAATTCTTAAAATAGAATAAATAACTAAATTATTAATTATATGTAAGATTACATGACTAGAAAATTAGAGTAGGTAATTCATATTTGTTTTTTATTTTATAGGTGAAAGTTTTGTCTATGACATGGCAATGACGTTTTACATTTTTCAATAATACGAATAGGAAGACTAAATAAATGAGAATTCATGGCATTTGAGTACTTATTGACTTTCATTCGTTTAAAGAAATTGGTATGTAATATGTACGAAAAAATCGTTAATCTTATCAATATTAAAAACAATACTGATAATAATAGTGATATCGTAAAAACAAATAGAACTATAAAAAAAAATAGTAAACTAATAAAAATAATAATAATAATAATACAAATACGGTAAAAATATTATAGTTTTACATGATGGTATATTACGGCATAGTCTATAACACAAATTAAAATATTAATTAAGTGTATTTTAATTGATGATTATAGATCCAGACCAGTCGTGTGGCCTGATCAATCTAAATTCGACCATTACTCTCGCTGCGATATTCAAAATACTCTACAGTTTCTTTGTCTGTCCTAGTAGGTAGGTTCTAAAATATTGGTTGTCACTTACCCAAACTACCCTATCTATGCACTCTAGATGATTAGGATAGATTCGATTGAGATAGGTGCCTTGAAACAGTCGAAAGCCAAAACATGGTACCTCGCATCATATCACAAGTGGATAGGTACTAAGTAATTTTAATTTGAGTAATTTGTATAACTACCCACCCGATAAGAACATTCTAATCACCTTTATTCTCAAAAAAAATCATTTTTAATTCAATATTCTATAGGTTTGAACGTACTCTATTAAATAAACATAATTATCAATACAAGCTTAATAATATCCATAATACTGCACATGGCAATAATTTCAATTTAAGTAGGTATTATTAAAAAAATGCATGAACTTATTAAAGAAAATATAAAACACAACTCACCAAATAATGTTGTTAACTGTTGTAATATGAAATATCAAAATAATATGTCTTACCAATTCGCTAAAATTCTGAACAATAATACCAATAATGTAGAAATCGTTATTAATAATTGAACGAAACGTGTAAACAATAGTACCTACTAAAAACTTCACAAAAAATGCCCCTTTTTTTGAAAGCACTGGTCTGAGCTTATTCTAAAGCGTAGTTGGGTTTATTTTGTGTATTTGGAAAAGCTAGATGAGCACTTGATAATCAATTTTTGGGTAATTAATTTTTTATAATTTAATGTTGTATTAATAATACAACAAATAGTAGTTCCTATATGTATAAATGTGTTATGTGAATTTGCAATAAGAAAATAATTTTACCTACCTACCTATGATTAATAATTATAATTTAAAAATGTAAACTTCTAAACTATGTTTATTATATTAAGTTAAAAAAAAATATTTTCGGAAATAATATCTATGTTATTGCATTGCGACGGATCAGTGGATCGTTCATAGATAGATAAAATGTATGTAATACTTTAAACAGTATCATTAAAAGGAGTCGAAGAGCAGTAAGAATTTTTCGGGCGCAGGGCAAGTTGAACAAAGAGGTGCTGAGGGTGCTTTTGAAATAGCTTGTATAAATACCGTAGGTACTACTGAATATATTTTTAAAAATAAAACTTCGAACTATAGAACTACAACAGCCGTTTAAGGAAAATAATTTTCAACTAATAAAGATACCAAAATTTGTTCAAACCTAACTTAATCTAACCTAACCTTTCTTCTAGTCTAGTTAACACAATATTAATTTCATGGAAAGCTCTGATTATATATATATATATATATATGCAAAGTTCTAAAAAGACTAACGGTTTTTTATTATACAACAAATGACATTATCTAAATTAGTGCAATATTTATCTGGGTCCAACGAGTTTAAAAATAATACTATTTTACCGGCTCGTGTTATAGCTGTAAAACCTCACACCACTGACGTTGAACGATTAATAAGTAAAAGCAATATTCTTAAATCAATAAATCGTCAAAGTTTGCATGTAGAAACGGAAAATGAATACATTTCTATTAATTTTAACATTCCTGCTCTTCGAAATTGGTACCTAAAACTAGTAATACAGGTATAGTTAAATGTTATAATTAAAAATTATACTTCGAAATTATGTTCTATTTTGGTAGGTTTATTTAAACAAAATACGTAATTAATAAAAATCCTTAGAATAAGCCCTGGTGGTGGTATATATATATAAACTTAAATGTAACTGTAATATATTTTATATAGGTAAGATAAATAGAAATGTTAAAATAAGATATAAACGAGACATATATGCATATATACATATATATACCATATATGGTAAGGAATTTTTATTATGATCAGAAATTAAAAAGTAGGTATACAAGTATTACAAATGAAAATTTATTATTTTATATAATTCTATCGAAAAAACTTAAACCACATTTCGTGTAATTTTTAGGTACGCCATCATTAATTTTATAAATAATTTCTTTTAGATATTAATTTTAGTAATTTTAAATCTCTCATACAGACTGTCCCACGAAGACATACCCCTTGAATACCTTCGGAGATAATAAAGATAATCAAATTCTGTTTTTGTATATTACTCACAGGGATGAGGACTACAAATATTTATATTTTAATTAAATTTTTTTTTTTTTTAGAGAATAACCTAACTGCGTTACGACGCAGCAATTTCATATCTGGTATGTAAAGTTATTTTAATTGGTTTCACAGACATATTATGGCTAATTAAAAGTAAGTGCATCCAAACAAAATACTTAACACAAGCAGATTCCCGAAAATATTTATATACATAATTATTTAGATTGCTATAACTATAAGATGATCGTCAAAATAATACCTAATGTTTTGTTTAATACTATAAAGTTCAAGTTTAATAATATAAAACATCTAAATGGAAAACTCTGTTAGCTGGAAATACGAATAATGTTAATATGCGGAATCTGTGGCGGTTTTTTTTCCAGGAAGGGGGTCCTCTGATATTAACTTACAATATATTTAAAAATTATTTACATAATATTCATAATTATGAATTTATATTATCTTTATATCATTGAAATAACACCGTATCTACATGAATGTACCTATATTTTCATCAAAAACAAAGTTAAAGTTCAATCTAAAAATTATAACACAAAATCTATTTTTCGTATTCTAAACTCGGGAGTCTGAGAAGAGTCTCCAGACCCCCTAGACCCTCCTCCTATCGTAAAACCACCACTGCACAGATTATTGACTAATGTTAATTATTTATTATTGTTATTATTATGGGTATTATTTATACCCAAGCGATAAGTGAGGCTTAAAATAACGGCGTAGCATACCTACAAACCTATTATGTGTCCTATTATATGGTAAGCTGATTTATTATTAGAAACGTGGGTACCTAGTTACTATCGGATATTGGCCATTGGCAATGATGATATTTTATGATACGAAACGGTTGCAATCATATTTAGCAATATATGTATCGACCTTGATCATAGTATTTTAAAATGCTTAATGTAGCATAAGGTGGCAATTTCGATAATTTTATTCCGTATTTTTGTAATATCTTATATCACCACATTATCATAAATATATAAAATAATATTAATATTAATATGGCCCAATATGGCCCCCATAGCCCATATGAACTCACGCGACTATTTCCATTGTATTACGTTCATGATCTTCATTACTTTTCATTAAGAATTCAAAAGTGATTAAAAACTCATATTTAATAGTCTACTACAGTGGTTTTCAAACCTTTTTAAAAATATAGCACACTTATTCTCCTACGAAATTTTCGCGGCACACCAATTCATATAATACGTGAAGCATATATTTTTTTATATAATATATATACACATATATACATATTTCCGGACCAAGAAAATCCTATGTTTAAATAATCTTCATGATATTGACGTCTTATATTTAATTAAATTTTCTTCTTTGGTTTTTCACTCACTGAAGTGCTGTCAGTTAAACGAATTGTAAATGCATCCATTATAAAAAAAAAAAAAATTAAGTATTATTTAAAATATACCATGTAGGACAAAAGTCATTAAAAACACAAGATTCCGCGACGCGGACGAAAAACGATCGGGACGGCTGCGACGGGCAAACTAATATTAAATACTATTATAGTATTATACGTATCTACGATTAATGATTAGCCCGTCTTTATATTTGTTAGTAATCAGTTTTCATCGAATATTGATAATAATACTGGTAAATACAAAATTTACTCTATTAATAGATTTATCTTATCGCGGCACACTTCAAGGGCGCTCGCGGCACACCGGTTGAAAAACCACTGGTCTACTATATTAACGCTCTGTAGGACTATTTTAAACGAAAAAAACCCTCGATACGTTGTGCAAAACAATGTCGGTTAGGTAGGTAACAAAAGTATTACGGGACAGGCGTACGTGTTGTCATCATCACTAGATTACCAGTAAGTACTACGACAACCAATATAATGAACAACGCGATATTGAGTTATTCAACAGAACACGCACGTATACTGATTTCAAACATTTACAACTGAACAACTGAATTCGACAGTCCAATTTCGATTGTACCATCATTTTTAACATGCATAAGAACATTTGTTGGTTAAACAATGTTGACACCGCCCCCTTCCGTTAACCCTTTATGTGTTCAAAACTGCTACTGTTAAATGACTGGAGGTCAAACGGTCTGGTGAAATTGAAACGGTTTACGGCAAATTGTCTTACAGCGAAACGGTCGCGGCGAAACGCCCGAAACGATTGCGGTGATATATCCGTGTCCGGATTCATTAAACTGTAGAACGACGAGAATAGTATTAAATATATTAACAATAATAATTATAATAGTGTACTGTGTGTTTTTCCTGTTAATAATAATCAGGTATGAGTTTAGTTGAAAATATTATAATGTTTACATTATAATCTATAATTGCACAATCCCAATTGTATTATATTTCATTTACGTATCTTACATTCATACAGGATTGCTTTGGGTCAAAATATCTCTTATGGTTTATTTCTATCGGGATTTTGTTCTCAATAACATCGGTAAGTACTGCATTGAAATAGTTATGGCTGTTGGGTTAGAAAGAAATATTTTTTAGAACTTTTTTTGTAATTTTCTCTTGAATTTAGTCGGGTATGAAAAAATTATAAAATCTGTTCCCATTACTTACAAATAAAAGTTTTAAACGATTTTTCCCAACCCAACAGTTTCAATCCAAATTGGATATAGCTACCTATATTTTATTGAATTAATCATTACTCATCAGCAGGGTTCAGAACTTATAGCTTTTATAATCATCAAAATAAAAATCTGCTGATGACTCTTATTTGCGTGTTGTCTCTACTGATAATTGCCTTCATCTTCAAAGTGATCTGAATAAATTTGTAGATTGGTTTGAAAATATTGGATTATCCTTCATTATATCTAAATGTAAGATTTTAACTATCACACAAAGTTTCTTCGTCAAATCCTTTCTACTGTTCCTTGTGTTTTCACGACAATTGTTTAAAAAAAATAGTAATAAAAATATACATAACGGTTTTTAATGACAACCATCTTTTTAATTTTTGAATCTTTTTTAAATTTTTCCTTATTATCTTTATTATATTAAGGTTAATGAAAATTAAAAAAAAAATGATCTTCCTAAAGTACCAACTAAAGTCAAAATGCAACAAAAAAGGTCTCTTGTCATGTTTTGGTTGGAGCAAGATTTCTAGGAGAATAGTTGTTTACAGATAAAAAAAATAAATAAAAAAATACACATTATAATAAAACCAATACATCATTCACTTCACTCAGAGTTTAAAACGAAAATTAACTAAAATATTTAAGTAGTGGTACATGTCATAATTATGTATAGATATATAAAGAAAAAAAATAATCAGAAAAACTAGAAAAGAGCAATTTGTCTAAAAACAATTGAAATAATCCAAAAAAACACATTTTCAAATTTTATATTTGAGATCATTGTAACATGGCATGAGTTTCTATAGTATTCTGTTTGATTTTATAAAAAAATAAGCAAATGCTTAAAGTTCTGAACCTTGCTCATCAAGAATGTGGAATATTGAGAATGTGTATTTATGACGTTTAATAATTAACAAAGTAATGGTTTATTCTGTTACCAACCTTATATAGGGTTATTTTTTTATCATGAATCAGCAATTATCTCTGAGAATTTTAAGTAAAATTGATTTCTGTTTTTTTTTTTTTAATGTTTATGGAATTATGTAAGCTTTATTTTAAAAATATTTTTAATAGATATGCAATTTATTACTCTTCCCTACTCCTTCGGTCTAAACTTTAAACTGTTATAACTCATAAATGGTAAATCTGATACTAGTGTTATGCATATAAAAATTTCAAGACAAATATTCTTTATTCAAATCTGTGTTCAAAAGGGGGTTTCCTATTTGAAAATCAAAAGTATGCAATTATTCAAGGTATATGGGATAGGGTAAAAAATTAAAAATGGTTTTAAAATAAAGATTAGAAAAAACGGAAATAAAATTCACTTAAAATCCTCTGAGGTAACTATTGGTTCATGATAAAAATCACCCTGTATAATTGTCAACTATATTTAAGTAAATATTTTTATATAACATATCTATTTACATGTGTATTTTTAATACCTTATAATATTGTCAACCTACAAGATTTGAAAATATACATCTTAAAAAGATTTTAACTAGAAAAGCACATAATAATAATAATTTAGGTAGGTAAATGTACAACTGTTTAAAATACCTACCTACTACATGTTACATTTTCAAAATTACACTTATAAAGTTATAACCCAACATAATTTAATTACAACTCTCATTTTTATTAATATCCAGTATTATGAAGCGACATTTAAATAGTAAAAAAAAAATAATGTACCTTAAATGAGGTAAACAATTTTTTTTCACCTGGTTAAAACACACATTTAAAAAAATGAGCTGCCAAAGTATAGTCTGAATCCCTCTAATGACGGCCTTTAAAGTATATAATTCACAAATTGTATTTTTAATTTCTCTGAAAATAACCCCAGTTGACATTACATACATCAACATAACATAACATTAGACTCATTATATCTAAAAGTATATTACATCATTCAAGAAATAAGATAAGTATTCCTAAAATATTATATCTCTGTCATTTAGTCACCCTTATTTTAAGGAGTGAAATCACTAGGTACCTACTTTTGATTTTCAAATATCTATCTGTACTAAAAATTTTATAAAGAAATAGATTTTAATTTATACACATTTTAGAGTTGAAATCTCCCCCCACCCCTCAAAACTTAAAAGTGGATTATCTCTTCAAACGTTTGACAGAAATTAAAAATATCACCACCAAAATTGATTTAAATTAATATTCCATCTATCTATGAAATTTGTATTATAGTATGTCATTTGCAAACAAAATTAGGAAATAATTTTTTCTCCTAAAATAAATGTGACAAAAAATAGTAAAGTAACATTTTAGTTACTTATTTTTAAGTAATCTAAAAATTAAATTACAAAAAAAGTTAATACATTCCAAGATAAATATTGGGTGTCTTACGTTATGTTAATCTCCTTGCTGATTGCTATTAATTTTAAAATAATAATAACAAAATTGCTTAAACAAAATTTAGTGAATCAAATAATCTTAAAATAGCTAACACCTAGTAATTTGTGATTTATTTAAGTATATCTTTTATACGTTAAGAAAAACAAATTAACTTTTAGATTATATCTATAAAACTGTCGTTTTCCAATAAATATTCATTGAATAATTAAATATACTCTGTTTCGTTAAAGACACTACATTTAAGTACAAATTTGTAATACAATACTTTGTTCAAAAATATATTACAATTTATTAATTAACTTAACATTTAATAAAAACATTTTATTCTTCTTAATTAAAATTATTATAATATTTCATTAAGTAAGTTTATTATTAATTGTGCAAGGTCTATTTTATTATAAAATGTAGCTTTTTTTATTTTTATTAATATACAATATAAAAAAGTATTAATACAATTTAAAATAAGTGTACATAAAATATATGATTATTCCTTTTATTAACTTCATTTATTATATTTGTATTTTTTGTTACACAGAAGAATCGAAATCATAGAACACAGCAATATGGGTATTCGTGGACTAATGTCTTTTATGCATAAAAATTCTACTCTATATTTTGAAAATCACCAACTTAAAGATACTTTAGTAATAGTTGACGGATATAGTTTGACCTGTTTTCTATATCAATTGTATGAAAATAATACGAGTGCATTTGGTGGTGATTATGACATTATAACGAAATTCTGTGTAGATTTTATTAACTTACTTCTAAGATGCAATGTAACACCAATTTTTATATTTGATGGTGCTTATGAACAACGTAAAATTAAAACAATTATCTGTCGTAAGATTGAACGAATTCAAGTTTATTCCCGACCTATTAAAACAAGTAGATGTATGCCATGTTTTGGTTGCGATGTTATTTTTGAAATTCTTAATGACATGGATATACCACATATAAAATGTGATTTTGAAGCAGACGCTGAAATAGTAGTTTTAGCCAAAATATTAAATTGTCCTGTAATTAGTCTTGATTCTGACTTTTATGTAAATGTTGTACCATACATACCATTAGACATGATTGTTCTTGATTTTAAATCTACAGAAAAATTTATAAACTGTAGATTGTATAAAGTCGAATACTTATTAAATCAGTTTGGTGGACTGAATATCGAGTATTTACCTTTAGTGGCATCACTATTAGGAAATGATTACATAAGACCAGATACTTTTTCATCATTATTACGAATAAGTCCCGACACCTATAACTGTGGATTAAAACTAAAACGAATCATAAATTGGCTTAAGAATCAAAAAGACGTAAATACTGCAGTACAGAATATGACACGAAACTTGTTTTATAACAAAGCTTACATATTCAAACAAATAAAAACCATTATAAATGAGTTTAAAAGGAAGGACAGCAAATATTTATCATTTCTTCTTCGATATAAAAGAATGAGTAAATATCAAGATTCTTTGAAAAAATATATAAAAAATGAAAAAAGTATTCTCCCAAGTTGGTTGGAATGCAGTTATCGTAAAGGAATCATAAATTCTGAGGTAATGAATATATTTGCTTCAAATACTATTTTTTTCAGAACACAAATTGACGACTTTGAAAAACCTCCTAGTTTTAAAATTTCTTTCAAGATTTTGAAAAGAATAATTGGATTAATACTTGGAAAAAATCAATCAGTTCAGTGTTTTGGTAGAATAAATGGATCAAATTTAGGTCAATACAAACTTACAGCATACATAAAAAAACCTTGTGTAACATTAGCTGATTTAAACAAGACTAATTTAGAATATCGCAAGAATATAATTTTAGACTTGATTGGTATGAAGTTTCTTAATTTTTTTAAGATTCCAAAAGAATGGGAGTTATTTATTATTATTTTAATTTACTGGATTAATCAAACAAATAACCATAATTCTGTACAAGTGCATGCTTTAATTATATGTGCCATAATATTAAATATACATAAAATTGAAGTACAATCGCAACATAAAACACTTGAAAAAGAGAGTATTATTAAAGAAAATATCACTAAAGTAAAAAACGAAGATTGTATAAAAGCTAAAAGTATTTTGTCAGACTATTTTAAAGTTACTTCATACAATGATAAGAATATGTACACCAAAATTATGCACTCATTAGCTCAATTTCAATATTGTGCTTACTATTTTATGATATTGAATTCATTACTTAATTTTCCATATAAACAATGCCGAATTGATAATTTTTTCAAAGGATCTTTGTTATATAATTTAAGTGTAAAGTTGGAAAAGGAAAAGCAACCAGAATTATTTATTACAAAACAACTTTTTGAAAAATTAGATTCTATAAATATTGTTTACCAGTCTTTAACCAATCAATTAGAGATATTACTAACAGTTTCAAAGCCAAGATTAATGCCTGACACAAGAAACTGTTTTAGACCAAAGCCAAAAAGAAAGTATAATAAATCAAAAAATAATTATTAAGATATTAATACATCTATAATAATTTAGATGTTTCTGTACTATTTTAAATGTGTAATTAAGAAAATGTCCTATTTTTTACCTTTTAGTTGTACAATTATTTAGATTTTATTCATAGTAACGAATAACTACTTATTGTAATTCAAGTTGACATTAAAAACTATTCAAGACTGAACCTTTTTTTTTTAAAATTTATATAGGCATATAATATATGCCTATAAACTTTATACATTATTATATATTCTATTTTCTATATGATGATATATTTCTATTGATTATTACAGAATTCTTAACTTTGAATTGTGTAATTTTGCTTACCTAGCTTACCAACAATTGTTTTTTTAGCATGATGAGTATTCAGACTAAATAAAATGATTATTATTCATCATAAGTAGGCCTAGAATATCAATGCACTTTGCATATTTTTTCTCATTTTAAGATGGTAATCCTCGTTTTATTACAAATACTCCTAATTTATTTTTAATTTGAATAAAACATTTGGTTTTGCACTTTTTAAACTCAAATTTGATGTTTACATTTTATTACAAGATATAACAAATTTTAGTCATTTTTTATAAAATAGGGAATTTGTTTTGTATATAATGTGTGTTATAGATGTTATCATCAATTGGGAATTAAATGTTACTAATTATATTGTTTTTATTAATTTTAAAAAATTGCCAAATAATCAAAGTAATGAAAGTTTTTAGATTACATTACATTATATTTAAACAAAATTTAATAAGAGTAATTTGTTATAGGTTCCTATTATAGAACTAAAGAATTGTTTAATGTATCCATTTAATTTGAAAATTTAAACAAGGAGATAAATGAGTTAGGTACATGAGTCATGTCAATAGTATATTTTAAAATAACAAGGTAATAAATAATTTAATTCAAATGTTGCTGACAAAAGTTTTACTTAAAAAATGTATATTTTAATGTAAATACATATCAAGTTTTATTGCGATTAAAAATACACAGTAGTGTACATTTTATTATGTTGTTTATTTAAAATATTCTAAAAAACATTTTACTTAAATTTATTCTAATGTACATTTAAGTAATGATTTTTAAAAAAAGGGACTTTATCTTTGCTATTAACTTCGAGAGTTAAATTTAAATAGTTTAAAAATACCCAGGCAAAAACCCCGATTATTATATTATATAACATGAACACATTATTGCATAATTTATAGTACTATTTTTTATTTATATTTTCTACAAATACTACTTATATTAAGTATGTTTCTCACCACTGACACCCACCTATTGCCAAAACTTTAATCGGATGGTCCCCTGACCTGTACAAATTATATAAAACCAAATAATGTCAAAATGTAACATCTAGTAATTTGTACAATTATTTAAATATCTTATTTTTTTATATTTAAAAAATGATCTTTTAATTGAATAGCAATGTGGTTTTTGTTATTCAGTTACTTTTTTAATTAATAATTTCATGCAATGATTTTATATACAAATTTAATTTAATTTACTTGATTTCATATAAAATAATTATTGAAATACAAGTACAATTAAATTTTTCGTGTTTTTTTTTTTTGTCTTTAGAAAGTATATTTTACTTATTTATTTATATTCATTACTCAATTTTAAAAAAATAATTGGGTTATAAACAGAAAAAAAGGCCCCAGTATGATTATTTGACTAAAGTAGCCTATATTATATTTTATATTGAAGTGTAAATGAACTTAAAAAGAACTACACCGTATTAGAACATTGCAATAATAATATTTAGTATAAACACATTTGAAATACATTAATGAAGTTTAAACTGCATATTTTACAAAATTAGAAGTGTCAATTTCCACTGAATGAAATTCAGTGGAAATTGTTTAATCATAATACAGATATAGAGCAGTTAAAGTAATGCATATATATTATACATAATATATTTTTAATGCATATATTCTTAAATTAATTAAAAATATATAAATTTCAAGGGGCTGGTGGTTGTTGACGAACTGCTTCTTTCGGATTCTTTACAACTAAAATAACTGAATCACCTCGTAAAAACATTTTCGAAATATACTTATCTCGACTTACTGCTTTAGCCTAAAACAAATAAATAAATTTAATAAAACTAATTTTTTTATACTTACACATTTAATATACAATTTAATTTGAACTATTAAATGTACCTTCTTTTTTCCCTTGCCAGTTTTTGGTAACTCAGTCCACATTTCTCGTACATTTTCCAACACCATATTGCAGTGACGATCAAATGCTTTAATTCTTGCTAAAAGTTTTCTGTTATTTCGGCAATTTATCAAAACTTGAGTATTATTACGAACTGATTGGGTCAGTACAGACATGGGACCAGTAGTGAATTCTTCTTCTTCACGTTTTGCCAACTCCTCTGGGGTCATTTCTGACTTAGGTTTATTTGCTACAGCAGCCCTGTACAAAAACACATTTAAAGTATAATTATAATACAATAGCTTGAAATAAAATAATAGTTATATCTTATAAGCTAACTTAATAATAAAAACATATAATTCACATATACAAGTTAAGAATAGGCATCATAATACCAATTTAAACTTAGAATATTTCAAAATAATTTAATTTAAATCAAGTGACTATTTTTTTTTTTTCTTATTCGTAGAATTATCTAATGTAAAATTTTTTATAGTTGACTATAAACACAAAATTCAAAACTATTCCTGATTTTGTTTTTAATGTATAAATTTTATTATACTTAGTTTTTAATTTTTTTTATAAAAAATATCAAATAGATAATATCTTTTCACATAAGAGTATCTACCATAACTATTTAAATTTCAATTATTTCCAAAAACAGAATTTACTAATGCAGCATTATATTGTAAGAATTACAGCAATATATTTAGGAGACTTAATAAATTAATGTCCTAAGTTAACACTTATGCATTTTTAACAAAAGCGAATTAATAATACCTACCTAATTTAACCCAGAGAAAAATCAAAAGATTTTTAATTTTTTTTTTTCTAGCAATACGTACAATTATACCAAGTAGTTTATTAAAACAATTTGTTAGGACAATAATAAAAATATATTGAAATCATTTTAATGTTTGTTTATTTATTTATAATAATTATATGAAGCAATAGATACACATATTACAAATACATATTACTATGAATTTCCGAGATATTATAGAGTACCTAAAATACTTACATAGTTCCAATTGATGTTTATAGACTTTTGTGAACAAAATGAATGTTAAATAGTAAACAAATTGAATCAACTGAAAGATCAAATTATTCCGACAATTTACTACACCAAGCTAACCTCAATAATATGATAATACTTAATAAACTATAATATGTGTATACCACAACCACAGTAATATAACCATGATAACTGATAAACGCTGATAATTTGAGAATTTTCCACAGATACAGAATACTGTATTGAATTTTTAATGGAAGACACTTATTCGAATAACGATAAGAACCGTTTTCGTAAACCCGGTCATATCAATAAAAAAACTGCACACAGTGCACACGTAATAAAATACTATCAGACGAGGTTTTGCATAACAAATCGGTGTTCATTTCCGATTAAATCCCTCCATTCGCATACAAAGCAATATTACAATAAAATATTTTGTCCACGGTCGGGCCGAATTTAAAGGATGGTTCGGAAGGGAATAGCCCCTTTGGTTTATGTTTGGGGGCGCTAAATGTTCACGGCAACTATAAAAAGTTCGCGGAAAAATTATAAATTATATGAATAATTCATATATTTTATATACGGGGTGATCAATCTATCATAAGACATTCATTATCTCGGAAAGCATTAACTTTTTTTGGAATTTATTTTCTAGAACATTTAAGAAATAAGCTGCTTTACAATTTTATATGTATGTTATTTTTTGTCACCCAAATTGTTGGAGTTAAAACCACTATCTATTTTTGATTTTCAATCAATAAAAATTACATAAATAGATAGAATATTAGACCATATACATTTTGGTTTTCAAGTTTTTGATTTCCATCAAACTGTTGACGAGATATTCCATTTTTAAGTTTGGTTTGAAGTAGTGGAGTATCATTTGTGTGGCTGTACGGCGCGCGGCGTGTTAATAATGCACCACCACTCTCCTCCAACCCAAACTTTTGAAAGGAAATTTTTCGATTTTCCTTGGAGTTTCCTCAGCAAATGTGAAAAAACAGGAAAATTGGTACAATATTAAACAAATTAATATTTGTTTAATAAATAATAATACCTATTTATTTTACTATAATATGACACACATATTGTTGACAAAGCATTACGATCAATTGAACTCCACTCAGAATCGTTTTTACTAAGCAATAGTTTATTATTGCTTACAGATATATTGAATTCCCGTCTGTATCCTACATTCCCAGCTTCCCACTAACACCTACAACAGTAGTTGCACCCACGCGCGAAGTATCTATGTTTATCTTTTAAAATTTTTAAATGATTTGTTTTTTTATTTAAATACTAAATTAGATACCACAAATCCCTAGGATTAGTATAATTATTTTAGCAGTTATAAAATTAGTCATAAACAAAATTAACGGCGCCAAAATCATAGACATATTATTAACAGTTTATTATGTTTCCTACGGCTCAAAAATTAGCCAACATCTGATAAGCAAAAAGGGGTGTTCGGGAAGAAAAAAATATAACATTTCTTTTCTTTTTTTTCCATGAATAGTGAACAGAAACAGAATAGTTAAATATATATTTTATTATGTCTACTACTATTTTTACTATGATACAAAGACAGTATGTGATGTCTATAGACATATAATAGATGCAGGGAATGCGTAAAACATCCGGAATTAATTAGTTGAACCGTATATAAACCAAAAAATATTTGAGCCGATAGTATTTTATCCTTATCCGAAAATATTACAGTTGTCTGTAATAACGAGATAAGGTCAGATCTTCCAAAAAGCGATAACGTGTGATAAGAAATAAATAAAAAGGAGAGAAATTCAGTACGTATTATTTTAAAATGAAAAACAAGTTAACCAACTGATCTCCCAAGTAACCCACTTCTATGGTTTTTGAATTTTCAATCGGAAAATATATTGGTTTAGCTTTTATGATAAATCCAACATGTGTAAGTGGATGTTTATCTACATTTTAATAATTTGAATGATTACAAATGGTTGAAATTAAAAATAATAGGTAATAATTTTAAACTTAATTAAATTTAACTTAATTACATTTTTATCACAGAAATATTCAAAATGTCGTTTTATTATTTTTTATTTGTTCAAAATTGTGTCGGAATTATAACTCAACATTTGCACATTCTTTCAAATTTTTCAATTTTTGTTTAAGATATCGACGTTCAAACTTCCAAGTTTTCTAATTTAACATTTTCTGATTAAAAACAATGATAAGAAATGTAAAAGTTGATAAGTAGTGGAGTTTCATTTAATTGGCTGAAATACTTTCGATAGTTTTATTTTCGGTGGAAATATTTTTCTACTTAATTATTTTCTGATAATTTCATGTTCGACTTAAATACGGTCGGTTGACATTTTTTCGGCTAAAATATGTTTCTGGTGTTTTATAACCCCTCATAGATACATTTTATTATATGTCTATGGTGGCGTCCCAAGGTTTATAGATAATAGATTATTCTGAAAAGGTGCTACAGTTAAAAATCGACGCAAGATTTCTGGAAGAAAAGTTATCCACAGAAAAAAAATAAATAATCGTCTTTGTAAAATGTTTCGCTCTACTCAGAATCTAAAATTGAAAACACAATACATTTCATAAATTTGTCTATTTTTCTTAAGATTTTTCCCATGTTTTTTCCTGGTAAAAGTAAAGGAGAAGATCAGTTGCCGTTAACTAGATGTTGTGTAAATTGTATACAAAATAGAAACAAAGAATATGAAGAGAGAAAAATTGTATCAAAATAAGTATTTTTAACCGTGTGGCCAAAACAACAGTAAAAATAATTGTGTACCTAAATACGATTAAAATAATGACATTAGATGATTGGTTATAATTAAGTTTGACTTTTTGACTGCTGGCTTTGAATCATTTCATTCGTCATGTTTATAACAACTCAATCAGTGCGCATCCAAATATTTTCATTTTAGATTCCTAGTTCTAACGGAGCGAAGAATGCATTGGTTTTACAATAATGTTTATTTTTTTATTTTCATGTTTCTGACAACTTTTCTACCAGCAATTTTAGTCCGATTTACAATGATAGCACTTTTTTTATCTTTTCGGATCAGTAAATCCGACTGAGGTAGTACCTTTTTTAAGGATGTCAGTTTTAATTTTTCCCAGGAGTTTTCCAAACAAATGGGAAAAATTGGGAAAAAAGGTACAATATTAAACAAATTTGGAACATTGAGTTGAGGGCAACTAATGAATATTGCACAAGTTAGTTTAGAGGAAATTAATACACAAAAATGTAATTTTGAAGGTAAAAACAAAACGCTAAAACTAATTGTTCACGAAAACATTATAGTATTACGCGATGAATACTGCTATTTTTCAATGGGCATTATATATAGGCATTTTTTAAAATTTGTATATAGATACACGAGTATATTTTACATTATAGGAAGGTGGTAGTTGTACTACCGATTTATTATTATACTATTTAATCCAAGTGATTTACACAGGGAAACAAAATTCAGGCCAGGAGATTGAAATGTATCCAGACCACTCAATAAAATACGTACCAACCAAATTTTCCTTATTACGCTCGATTTCAGCATTTTAATTTGAACCCACATTTTCAATTATAATATATTATGTGCATAAAAAAATAAGTTTAGTTTAATAATTGTATTATTACATTTAGCTTTTAACAAATAGTTAAAAATAATTTCAAGCTCTATTTTGTTGAATTAGATAATTTAACTTTAGTTGTAATAATAAAACTTAGGAATAAACCAGTTTAAAATCAATGTGATTCGCAGTAAATGGTTTACTTAATGAATTTTAAGCCCTGAATGATAAAAGTTAATTTTACCATGATAATATATACCTATGTCATACATTTCTGTAAAATAGTTTTCGCTTTGCATCAACTTTAAGAGTGGTTTCAAGTGGAAAATTTTTTCTTGTTAGTGCAAAAGGAAGATCGTTTTAATACTTTTGTAAATTTCAATACCTACATTATCCAGTCAAGTGTTTTTTCTGATTCTTCAATTGGCTTATCATTGATTTCAAAACTTTCATTTTTTTTTATTTTTATAGTCAGTCAACGTATGACACTATTTTTGTTTAAAATCAAACTTTTTGTAGTTCATTGTATTCTAAATGATAGATACGTTAATAATAGTATAGTATTAGAACCATCTATCGAAATACTATAAAAAATATTTACTACATATTAAAATAATACGAGTAAGAATTATGTTACATATAAAATGATCAGGTTACCGGGCCATAATATGGTCCAGGCCATCTGGAAAATTTCCATTTCCAGACTGGCCATTCCGCCCCTGATTCTACAGTGTTCTATTGGTAAAAGACGTGTGGAAATTAGGCTGGATATAAAATAGAAGCGAGTATTTTTGCAACTGGTTAACAGTGATACTTAACAGGTAGGTGCCTAAAGGTCGAATTCGCCTTGTGGTGTTTTCAAGTTTTTTCTTTGGGATTTTGTCAGACAAACAATGCAATTTATTACCTATTCAGTATTGTTACGTATTAATCTAAAGTTAAATGCCGCGTAATGACAGCTACAGTATTTTTAAATTTATATATTTTCCCTTTGCCCTCTGCAGTTTTCCTGAAATTAATTAAAATAACATTATTTATTCATAATTTAATCTTCGGGTATTACCTAAATACGTGCGCACATGGGGTTCTATTGCATAAAGTTTTGTTAATCAGAGTACGCCTCACGACTGCGGGCTGTATTGTAACATTATAATATTATTATTGAAACGGGTAGGTAGGTTATAATGGTATATAGCTGTTTTTGACACACTAATACTGCGCGGCTTGTAGAGTTTGCGTTTGCGGCAAGAAAACTATATAGTGTAGTTTTAGTTGAACGAGAAACACTGTATATGTAATATACATATATATACATACATATATACATACATACATATATACATTCGAACAACAGTTTTCGCAACGACCTCATATCGCGTTACTCCGGACAACGGTGTGCTGCTTACGTACGACGGCGCGCAGAGCGCCCCCGCGTAGCTGTACGGGGCGACGAACGAGCGTTCGCAACGATTTTCCGAGCTCGCGGCCGGGAGGAGACCGCGACACTAGTGCGGGCGAAAATCGTCCGCCATACGCAAGCGCGCACCTATATACTTTCACACGCAATACACTACTGCGGCATCCCTATAATCGCTCAGTCGGCGCTATTGTCGTCGTCGTTGCGGTTGTTGTAATTTCCGTTGCAGTTATATTCTAATCTATATATATATATATATAGTAAATTACACGGCTATAAAATCCTGTTGAGGATTTTGCGTCCTCTGCAGCGGTGGACCGCAGTTAGTAAGAGTGCAGCCTAGAAATGGCACCCGTAGATAACCTGCAGGAACTGGTGCCACTGACTAACGGTGCCGGCGGTCCAGCGAACGACGACTATGATGAGCCGGAAAGCCAGAATCAAAAGAAAACGGCTGCGGCGGTGGCGGCGGCTGCAGCGACATTAAAATATCCGGATGACGGCGGAAAGGGACATCGAAACTCTGTTTACGACAAGAAAATGTGTACGGTTGCAATTATGCATGTTGTCGGGTTCAGCACACTGTTGAGATTCCCTTATGTGTGCTTCAAGTATGGCGGTGGTAAGTTGATCAGTTTTATCTTAATAACGTTAACAATAGGTACCTACCCAGTGGTGTATCCAGGAACCTTTGGCTGCTGTAACCCCCCCTCCCCCATTGCTTTTTTAGCTATATGTAAGGTTAGAAAATTATAGATCCCTAAACTCCCTAGACCCCTCAGCCCCCCTATTCCAAATCCTGACTACATCACTGTACCTACCTACTTGTTATATGATATCATAATTCATTTGGTGTTAAACGTCAGTAGGTACAAACTGTATGAGATAGGCGTTAGACAAATATTATGTAAAAGTTTAATTAAGTACAATTTAACTGGATTTCACGAATATATGTTAAAATATGGTAGATATAATATAGCCTGAGGTATTTGGCACAAATTATTCCTGTAAACTGTATGAAAATTCGAGATTTTGCTGTATTCGTGGAAATCTGCTTATATAAAAAGTGATTATTCCTTGAAAAACACTCTTTATCTCATAAAAATGTATTTATTATTTGTTTCAAAATTTCCTTTTTTACACTTTATGAAACAATCAGTTCTGAAATGTTGTATTAAGTACAGTTATTTCTTGTTGCTTTAACTTTTGGAAGTGAAACCACTACCTACTTTTGATTTTAAAATATCAACCTATATTGAAAATTCCATAAATAGATGATGTATATATTTTGGTATTGATATTTTTAATTTCTATTAAACTTTCTACAAAGCATTCTTCTTTTAAGTTTGATTAGGGGGAACAGTGGCACATAATTTGTGTGGTGGAGTATCGTGTGGCGTTTGAATAGTATTAAACTACTCTCTTCTAGGTATACCCAAACTTAAAAGTGGAACATCTCGTTGACGGGTTAACGAAAATTACAATTGGTGGTGAATATAATTTCACATTACATATTATGTTGCATGCGACTTTCGATTTTCTTGAAATCAAATACTTGAACGTTAATATTTTGAACCAGAAATTACTTTAAAATCGAAATTTAAAATAAAAGTTTGTCAACATTTTAAACAAGCAAACTATTGAATGACAACATATTTAAAACTAATAATTTCCAGGAATTATGTGAAACAGGCGTTTCATTAAATGGCAAAATCTTGAACGTCATTTTTTCAACTTAATTTTTTATTCAAAATCCTGAATATCAAACGATTAATAGTTAAAACTTTGAACGGCAATATCTTAAATGATAATTCAGGTTTGTAGGATATGTAAGTAGGATTTGTAAGATAAGTAAGGATTATGTTATATGCGCCTTTATTTCCATACAACCACAATTTCAATATAATGTATATTGTATAGTAAGAGTATATATTAATTTGGTTTATACAATTTTGATCTTCACGATGGTGGATGGCTTGGGCACCATGTATTTTTGTTCAACCATAAATCTATGCAAGATTTATGATATACGCACAAACACTTGAGTCGAGCTATCTTCTGTCCTTGAACCATGTTCTCCAGGCAAATGGCACACTCATCCTCCTTTTTTGCATCCACCACATTTTCGTTATACATTCTAGTCCGTAATTCAAACACTCTTGAACATTGTTCTATATGCCTACATAAATCAATCAGTTGTTTAGAATAGGAAAACAAATTTTCTATAAGACTATTTAAAAATAATAAGCGAGTAGGTATTTTGAGTAAAATATATACCTCCTATTTAAGTACCTATACCAAACGTGTCCCTGAGGGAGGCTATGGGGGCGATCGCCCCCTCCCAAGAGAAGTTGACTTACATTGGCATTTGATAATCATTGCAGGTCCAGAAGTATATATAATAGATATAATCAGCATATTATTTGATACAATTTGTTAGATTCTGAGTGTAGTGAAGATATACTCAGGTTTTACAAAGATGTTTATTTTTAAAAATTTTTTTCATTCTGTGACAAAAATGTTTCCCAGAAATCTTACTCCGATGTGTACGTGTGGCACCATTTCTGTAAGGAAATATTATCTAGATGGTACTTTATATCTTAGGATATTATTTTTTGATTTTCCAAGCGGTTTTCATAATATCTGGAAAAATCCGAGAGAAAAACGGGAAATTTACGAAAATAATGCTTATTATTATTTTCAATTGTGTTATTTGTTGCAGTAATTCAGTTAAAAATAGTAATAGATTTGAAATTTGGGCAGAAAAATTGTATTTTCTTTTTTTACGAGTACATGGTAAAACTGTAAAAAAATATTTGAGCCATATTAAAGCTATTCATAGACACTTTAATTTTGTGAGTAATTTTTATTTAGTATGTACTCTGTGGATATAATTGTTTGATAAAACAGAAATGCTTTAAAATTAAACAGGAGGTTAATTATTTTAAATATCGTACTTTGCGGTAAAAACAAAAAAATTTAATTTAATGTAGTATATTTTTTTCATAAGAATTTTAATTTCAAATTTCGACGAAAATTGTTTTATTAAAAAATTATGTGAAACAAATCTAGTTACTGGTTTATACAAATTTTTTCAATATAATATTTATTTTAATTTAATATGACATAAATATTATTAAAAGAGCAATACTATTAACTGAGCTCCACTCAGAATCGTTTTCGTTAGCAATGATTAATTTTTGCTTACAGTTATACATTAAATTTCCCATCTTGCGAAGTGTGTCGTATTTTTTCTTATTAATCATTAATATTTAATTTAATCTGACCTTTAACAGGGTATCGCATTTTTTTTTTTTTTTTTTAATTTTTCGAAAATAATAAAATAAAATGTTATTGCTTTAAGTTGCTTTATTGCTTTAACCTCAATCTCTCCAGGAGAAGCATAGTTTCATTCTCTTGTCTCCGTTTTTCCACACTCTACTTCTCTCTCAATCTTTTAAATTCTCATTAAACAATTCCCTCCTCTGCTCACTCCACAACAACCCTGTAGTCTGTAACATTTCCCATCAAGTCTTCAACTGCTTCAGTCTATCATTCCAACGTTCCATTCTTCCAATATCATTTTTGACATCAAAAATATTTTCTCAAACCAACAAAAAAATATGATACTGAACGTATAATCTTTTTTTAACCAAATAGATTTTTTAATATAATTTTATTATATGTACCCATTGCAATATATTCTTCTTGAGCACACTGTACATACCAGGTGATTAATTTAAGTGGGTACACTCATTATCTTGGAAAGTATTAACTTTATGCGGAATTTGTTTATAATTATTGTAATATGTATAATATAATTATGTGTATAATCACTATAATAATACAAATAAAACCTAAGCAGTAATGCTATTTAAATTATTCTTTCTATAGATAGGTATGTAGTAATTAATTATATATAAGTACTAAGGTATCCACCTAAAGTTATTGGTAACTTCTTAAATAAATTAGTGTGGAACTTTTTGAAGTACATTTTCATAGTATTAAATAATATTGTAATAGTTTTTTCGTATACCTATACTTATTGTACGTTTTTTAATGACAGGTAAATGTACCTTACTTGTTATAATGAAATTCGAAGATTTTATTTTGACATATTGGACAATAAATTTTTCTGCGCTTTCTTCTACCGAGTTTAAATAAAGTTAACGACCAATATCTATGTGGATCATTATTATCCCTTCGGTTCATTTAATTATAAAACGGTACGTGTTAATTTATTTATTTATTTTAAAAGTGTTGAGTTACCATGAATATAATTTTTTAAAAGTTTATGAATAATTTATATAAAAAAATTGTGAGCTGATACTGAGGAAGAGTACGGCCATTGTTGTAGGTGGTTAGTGGGGGAAGTGGGATACATAAAGTTATTTAAACTATACCTGTAACCAACGATAAACCATTGATAACGAAAAACAATTCCGAATGGAATTCGGTCATACATGTTTTGAACGATCTTAATATTTACGATTTTTGTCAAAATTTGATTTTAATTATTATAAAAAAAAAAAACTACATTACTTAAGGAAAACAATACATTTTTTAAATGCTATAATTGAAAATCGAAGCAAAATTACTGTAGAAAAGTTGTCTACAAATAAACTACATTACACTCAATTTTATTTAATGAAAACAAAATACATTTGTTTTTCCCTGTTACCCACCCATCGTCATATTATAAAAAAAAATATTTTCGAAACTCGAGTTTGAACTTGCGATCTCTGCAGGGATGACAACATGTACATACTACCACTAGACTACGACATATATACTATAAAATTAATAATATTGAGTTATTTAACATAACACGTAATATTCGAACTTCAAAAAGGTATAATTACGAAACTAAGTCAATCAACTTGAAAAAAAAATACATAACACACATCATAGTAAAATCATTAAATCCCTCACTACTCTTTGAATCTAAAATGATCATAATACAAAATATGTATATATATATATGTAAAAAAAAGGAGTTAATAATATGCTCATCGAAAACTTTATCAACAAAAACTACAAATTATTTTTTAAAAAAAAGGGCTGATACTGCAGCTGATGGATGTGTCACTGTTGTGGGTGAGAAGTTGGAAGGTAGGATACATAGCTTCATAGTTATTTATTATATATATCTGTATGCAACGATAAATCATTATAACGAAATATGATTCTGCAGCGCCGGGTCTAGACACTGAAGATTGGGGGGATAAATGGGTATCCTTACTTTGGGCACCGTCGATATGAGGGCGCTTGACACTCTTAAGATCATGAGCAATATTTCTGGTAGAAAACATAGTTTACAATAGTTTAAAACAATGAAATTGGTAACGCCGCGTGTACTATAAATATTTATCATTTTACCTATAATTTCTTTTTCGGTTTTTCCCAATTATTTTGAAAACCCCTTATTGGAGTATCAAAAAATTACCTGTATAATGCATCAACTATAGAAAATTTCCTTTAAGAAAAAGTGCTATATTCCACACATTGGAGCAATATTTTTCTTCGAAAAATTGTTTACAGACAAAAAATATCATAGTAAAATCAATAGATCCCTCGCTACGCTCAGAATTTAATAAGCACAGATCAACCATTCAACACTTTAAATAAATACAATGTTAGAAAAAATTCTATTTCTAAGTGAGATGTTATATAGAACTATTGTTTTAAATATTTTAATGGTAAACAGACTTGCGTTTTAGCAAGCATTTTACTTTCGTTGTTGATTCATTGTATAAGGCTCACAAAATGTTTAACTGTCGTTGGGAGAAAATGTTCCATATTCAATGTTAATAATCTGTTTTAATTTCCAGGTACATTTTTTATACCATACATAATCGTCATGGTGTTGGTGGGTTATCCATTGTTTATTATGGAAATTGGAATTGGCCAGAAATTAAGATATAACAGCATAACAATATGGACACAAATAAATCCTCAGTTGAGAGGCGTCGGTTTAATGATGTTTTTGATTAGTGTTCTTATGGCTAGCTATTATGGAAATATTTTAGCTTGGTGTGTTAAACATATAGCCGATGTAACGAAGGTAAATATAAATATATCATGATACACAAATAATGCATGTAAAAAGGTTTATAAGTTTTCTTAATTTATAATTTGTTGTACACAATCAAATTACTTTTTAATAGTTTCGTCTTTAATATTATTTAACCTAATACTGGTTTTACCTAGAAAAAAAAATTTAATTGTACTATCACCACATTTTACATTAGTGAATCCAACGCGAACGCTGTGCGGCGCGAAAATATCAAGCCGTTGTTTACGTCGGAAGTGGCCTACCTATGTTTTCAAATGCACACGGTGTAAAGCGTCACGTGATCAAACTGTTTGATATATTTTTCGCGCGATCTGAACGTGATTTGTGATGGTTTTACAGAATTATCTAAAGGCGCATCCAGATTCACGCCGAGAAGTCCCGGAAACACCCGAGAAACGTGAATGTGAAGATATAGTCTCTTGCCACCTCGTTCTCGCTCTTGTCTGTTCTCCGTTTATTGTCGGTATCTTTTGCCTGAGATAAAGAGTTTCTCGGGCAAGAACAGGGAACACGAGTACATTCACGTTTTATCTTAAACCTGCTACAGTTTGAATATCGTCCATACCGGATAGGAACGAATAACACGAGTAAAGTAAAGTAGTAAAGCCGAGAATATATTGAGTGTAGAATGTGGATATGTTGTTTGTTTTCGCTGTGAGTCTGGAGACACTATGAGAATCTACTGATGAATTGAACGATCGGTCGCCGGAAAACCGCCGAGCCGCGCACGTAGAACAGTGTGCCATTTTGCGTTGCGCCGCAATAGATCGCTCTGATTCGCGCTTGGTTTACTGTATAGGACGCCGCGTATAATATCACATATATTACTCGTATTCATATTTATCATAATCCAGATGTCATTTATACCTCCTAGTTTATCTGTCTACTTTCCTATTCAATTTGTCATCTGTTAGTCTGCAATATTTTCATAGTCTATACTCTATATTCTTATTGACCGTCTTTAAAATTAATCTAACATTTTAGACTATTATTGTCGATTATAAATTCTCTTTTTCGACCTTTAACTACTTATTTTTTGATCTCGTCTTATAAGTTCTAAGGCATGTTTAACTAAAACCATTGGCATTGATTACAATTTATAATGTGTACCTGAATAGTTCTTCTTTACAAGAGACAAAAATTCATATTTTTGTCAGGAAATCCCTCAATATTTATAAAAAAACAATTAAGGTTTCATAATTCTCAGCAACTTGATCCAAAAATAAGGAATGTCCTAGTATACATTATGAATATGTACTGAATACATGGTGATTAACATAATTTAACAAACTCATTATCTTAAGAAGTATTAACTTTTTGCGAAATTAACTTTTTAGTTTTTTGAACATTCAATAAATTAGTAGCTTTAAAATATTACTTTGCACTTTTTTTCATCATTATTTTAGGGGATGAAACCATTACCTACTTTCGATTTTTAAATGTCAATCGATATTAAAAATTCCATTATCTCTTAATGGAATTAAATAGTTTAAATCAATTTTGGTTGGGGGAGAGTAGAGGTGCATCATTTGTAAAGCGGCACGGCGAGTGTCGTTATTTAAGTGTTTCACCATTCTCCCTATCGAAACTTAAGCGTGGAATATCTTGTAAACTGATTGATGGAAATTAAAAATTTTAAAACCAAAATTAATTTTAACTATTACTCAGTCTATTATTGGAATTTTTAATACAGACTGCCATTTGAAAATCGAAAGTAAATAATGGTTCACCCCCTAAAATAAGCATGAAAAAAAAAGTGTAATGTAACATTTTAGAGATACTAATTTCTTAAATGTTCTAAAAAATTGATTCCGAAAAAATTTATATTTTCCGAGGTAATGAGTACTTTACATTATCTTGATCACTTATTTGTATATAATCGATGCTAAAACTAATACACATTCAATATATTAAGTATTTATTTTAAGTTATTACAAGACTTTTAGGTAGTTTTGATAATATATTTAATTTATAATTTCTTTATTTTAGTTTCCAGATGTATGGTTTCCGAATGATAAAACAATTATTGATGATGTGCATCGGTCTTCATCATTCTGGTATGAAATTGTGTTAAATTCATCATCATCCCTGAATGATTCTTCTTATATGCAAATAAATCAAGTCGGTATATTGTTTTTTACTTGGTTCTCCATTGCTTTAATTTTGGCATTTTTGTGGATTATGACTGGAAACAAATATATAAAAGTATAGTTCTTTTGATATTTCTATATATTACATACCTATACTTTTATATTTTCGTTTTAGATGATCGGTAATTATTCAAATTCAATTATTGAAAGTGTACCATTCTTTATTCAAATGATGGCATTGGGTATTTCACCGTTTTTGTTACTTATTTTAACGATTGTGATGTCAGGATATGGATATACTAGTTTCTTATACATCACGTCCGTAAAGGTAATGCAATTTATAACTTATATATCGTATATGTCTTAAAATGATCAAGAGTAGATAAATACTTGATTGTATTTATAGCTTATACCTAATAAATAAATCTTTGTGGGATGCTACTATCCAATACTAATCTATAATATAATTTAAAATATTATTTTCTAGTTGAAAGATTTACTGGCTCTTCCAATTTGGATCGATGCAGTCATACAAGTTTTTTTATCGTTGAGTTTAGTTCACGGTTCGTGGACATCGTTTGGTTCACTTTCCAGACGTAAAGCCAATTTTCTCCTGACTGCTACTATAGTCATGGGTTTCAGTTTAATTTTGGTATTTGTGTGGTCATGGTTTTTAGTTTGCACAATAATACCAAATGTTTTACAAAATATAAAATCGTGTGTTACCGGGTATAGTGGAACTATGTATGATTTATAAAATATGGGATTAAATTGGAAACAAAACACTTGTATTTTTATAATCTGTGATATCATAAACAGGCTACTTATTTTTGATTTAAAAACAAATTTTAAATCAAAGCGTTTAGGTAAAATTTGTTTACACAAATAGCAGATAAATGTTTGTAGGTAATTTTGTTTCTAGCAAATATTAATATTGCCTAAAAATAGTTTGTATTCTATGTCAAAATTAATTTGCCCCTTATTTATTTCTCTAACTTTTAAAACCTTTCAACTAAAGGTTAGTTTACAGAATAAAATATTCCATTATAATAATAATTATTAAGACTGTGTTAAATTAAAATTATTTAGTTAATTCTCACATAATCATACAAAACTAATAATCTAGTAGGTACTAACAAATATATATAACATTTGAACTTAATAGATATTTATAAACAAAACAATAATATTCATTAGATTACATCAATATGGAAACATAATTTAATGAGCACATATAATTAAAAATGCAATATGGATACACACATATTGTATGGATTAAATTGGATGGGCAAATATTAATAAAAAAAAAAAAATTTTAATTAAATGTAATAAATGTTTAAAATATGGAATGCTGTTATTAAAAAAATCTATATTAACAAAATGTCCATGAAACATTAAAACATTTTCAGATGAATGTAACATATACTCAGACAATATATATTTCTTCATAAAATAAACTCATTGAACTTGTCTAGAATTTATTTTAAAATTATCATAGCTAAATAAATATTCAACAATATTATTTGGTAATTTGAATAAGAATATTAAAATTATTTGTTCTATTCTTTTTTCTTTTAATTACCTAATCATATTAAAAAACTTAAAATTACTTCATAGAATGTCTCATTCTTTTTATACGGTAGCTATAAAGCATATAAGAAAATTATTTTGTATTGGTTCTATTAAAGGTCTTTCTTTTATTGATTTCTCATAATATAACCCAATGCATATTTTAAAGAAGTAAATACTAAAGAAAATATATTCTATATAAAGCTTTTTTTGTTAGATTATTCTAGCCTACAATTAACACTTGACTTTTACATTGTTTTGAATTTCAATTCTTATCCAATTTAATTTTTACTTATCAACTGTATGTTACATTTTTTAATCTTGTATGCATTATTTTTAGATCTAATTCTAATTGGAATGGTTTTAAAGACATACCTCAACATGCATTTTCTAGTAATAGCTATGATTCTTTAATTGCTAGTCGACAATTGGATAATGCTTTGATGAATTTGAATATACAAGAATGTAACATGGACAATCAGTTCAAATTTGTAATTATATAATTATTTATTACCTATTTATAACTGACAGCAACTTATACTTTTAACAATTTGTTGTCTTATAAAATAATGCAAAAATATATAATAATTAAAATCTAAAAAAAATATATACGTTTATAAATATAATTACGTTTTAATACAAATATTTTTAGGCAAGCAATGGTTTTGGTTTGCTATTTATAGCACTCAAAGAATTTACAATAACTTATTCAATTGGAAACAATGATAATGATCAACTGAAATATATCTTAAACATTCCTCAGTCTATTATCCTTGCCATTTGTATGTCATGGTTAATACATTTAATAAGTTGGTTTGTCTGGACACTTGCTGGTACTGAATGTTTAAAAAATGTTTCTAAATATACCATTTCAGGTATGTTAAATTATGTCTCACATAAGCGTTATATAGTTTAACCATCTCAAAACCGAGTACAATTTTTGTTTTAAAATATTAAATATATTTTTTATATTGTATTTTATAATTTGATTTATTATTATTATTTTTTAAATATATCTATGTATATTAAGACTATGATTAAAATATAACTTGTATTTGGGTATTCTGAACATATGAGTGATGCTTAAAATTTAAACTATAAAAATATTGTTGAAGAACCTGGTCAATTTGTTCTACATGCTGTTTAAGAGCCACATAAAATTTTAATTCTACCAGCTAATAACAATATATTTTCAGTTCTTGCAGGTACCTCTCCTTAAAAATACAAACTGAAAATAAAAAATAAATTTGTCATAGTATTCTCTCAGTAGGTACAATTTAATTACAGTGTGACCTAATAAATTAAATAAAACAATTTTCTCCTGATTAAGCATCAACCTTAACCTTATGTATGTCAGAATCAAATCAAAAATTAAAAATATAATAATCTGACCTTGACGTGTAGACCTATCTGTTTTTCTATAATATGTTATATATTTTAAATATATGTATGTCATTTCGGTCGTACATCACAGACATAGATGCATTCTTTAATTATATTAAATTACAATATTCATACTACTTGTATAATATAATCAGAGCTCAGATTTTATAGCACTGAAAATAACTTAAATATGTCCTAAAAATTTTAAAGTAAGCTAAAGTATGCCATAATACATGAAAAATGGTTAAAAAGAAAATGTTTTTTTTTTTTTAAAAAATAAAAATACAACCAAAAGTCATAAATGTAAACTGTTTGATACATCAATAGACAAGGCTACTTAAAAATAATAAATTATATGATATAATAATGTAGGTATTTTTCTTATGGATTTGCATAACTGAAATATTTATTTTGCTTTCTATGAAAAATAAAAAATAAATATTATGCATATTACCAAAAAATAACAATATAAAATTTCATATTTGGAGTTCCTGGCATATGAAACAAATGTAAAGCTCACTCTCCAATTTGTATCTGTATCCTATTAGCAATGTTATAAAATCGGAGCTTTGATCACAACATAATATTATTTATATTCCATTATAATTAGTAAGGTACATTTTTACAATTATTAAATTAAAATTTTAATTAATCTCATATCTAATAGTATCCTAATGATCTAAATATTTAGTAGGTACACCTATAGACATTTAAAAAATATACATTAATTTTAAACATTTTATACAGGTATGCTTTGTGCAATTTGCTTTGCTTTTGGGTTACCATTTACTACTAGAGCTGGTATATTTTGGATGTATTTATACAGTGATGTTCTAATCAATTCATGTCTTACGGTGTTAGCTCTTTGTGAAATACTTGTTGTTATTTTCATATATGGTTATAAACAGTATGTATAATAAAATAAATGCCTAATTTTATTATAGTTATCATGATATACTACATTAGAAAATATTTTTTGTTATAAGATTCTTACTTGATACATATGATATGACTGGATATACTTTCGGCTATATTTCTGCATTCATTTGGAAACATATCACTCCAGTGCTACTAATCTTAGCATTTTCATCTATTTTGACTATTGGTATTTTGGATAAATTAACATACACAGTTTGGTGCAAAAGAGCTGTAAGTATTTAAAATATTTTGTATTATAGGTACCTAACAATTTTTTTTAGTCGATTATTACATATATTTTGATTCAGATATTAACAACCACACATTAAAATAATAAAATATTCTTTATATGTAATAATAAATATTATTAAGATATCCAGATACTTATTAAATTGATTTAGAACAATTTTCTAAAACTAACAAAAAATAATACCTATTTAACTAGTGTACCTATTCAAAATGTTGTATTTTCATCTTCTTTTTCACCTTCATTCTAACTATTTGGGGTTGACCACCCTATTATATCTTCAGTTGTATACACCATACATAATGAAAATCTCTGGACTGTTTTTTTCTAACCTTGGCCAGTCAATCAATAAACTTCTTGTTCACCTTCCTTTGTTCCTAGTTTCTCATACAACTCATCACATTTCTTTAACTTTGGCTTTGCTTACCACCTTCTTAGCTTCCTTGCACAATATTTTGTGCTCTACCTAATTATCTCTCTTCTTATTCTGCTTTAATAGTTTAAATTGTTTTTTTTTTTACTAGCTATAACTCTGAACTTTGATATCCTGCCACCAATTTTCTTCGTTTTCTAGCACACTACCCCTACTCTCACCAATGAATGCCTTTGCAGTTCTTTTAACACAAATGGCCATCCCACACCTTGATTATATTTCTCTCAAATTCCATATGACTATTTTTTTGTTTTACTTTGCTTTTACAATTTTTCTTGCCTCTCATTAATTTCCATAACCGTATCCTCGACTTCTTTTTCCTTTGTTATTTTTATTTTTGCACTCTCATATCCATACACCGTTGATACTACAGTACCAGGTGTACCGGTATGAAATGGGCGTTTTCTTCTGAAAATGAAACACTAATTTTGAATGGGAGAGTAAAAAAGAATTATTCGAAGTATTGACCATTGCTTTCTACACATTTTGACCACCTTTTTGGCAATTTGTGGATACCACGCCAATACCAGGGATAAAGTCTGGTGAATACGGCGGGTGGGATAGCAGCTCTTAGCCAAGTGCTTTGATTGTTTTCTAAACCGGTTTTGCTTTGTGTGCAGGTGCATTGTCGTGTAACAAAATTACTTTGCCGTATCTTCTGGTCCATTCTGGTCGTTTTTCGATCAATGCATGGTTCAAGTTGATCATTTGTTGTCTGTATCGATGAGCATTAACAGTTTCACCAGGTTTTAGAAGATCATGATACACCGCACCTTTCTGATCCCACCAAATACAGAGCATTGCCGAATCGATCTAGTTTTGCAGTTGTTGTTGATGGTTGTTCCGGATTAATCCATGATTTTCTCCGTTTAGGATTCTTAAAATTAATCCATTTTTTATCGCCAGTGACAATTTGATGCAAAACTGATTTTTTTTTTCGGTGTCTTTGAAGCAAAATTTTACAAGTGTTTTTTTCGGTTTTCCATTTAATTCATGTGACACCCATTTTCCACACTTTTGGATCTTTCTCATAGCTTTCAAACGGTCAGAAATTGTTTGTTGTGCAACATTTAAAATTTCTGCCATTTGCTTTTGACTCACAGTATCATCTTCATCCAATATTGCTTGCAGTTCGGCGTCTTCAAACTTTTTTGGTGGTCTTCCACGTTCATCATTTCTCACATCAAAATCATTATCTCTGAACCGTTGAAACCATCTTTTGCATGTCGCTTCTGATAGAGCATGATCACCATATGCCTCGACAAGCATTTGATGCGACTCTGCAGCACTTTTCTTCAAATGGAAATAAAAAAATAATGCTTTCCGCAAATCATCACTTTCCGGTACAAAATTTGACATTTTCAACACAATGACAAAATATAATGTTATTTGTTCAATGACTGGAAGGTTATTGAATATGTATAGACCCATTCACAACAAATAATCCCTACCGACACAATTGTATCCTTACGCTCACTTTATACCGGTACACCTGGTAGTTGAGTAGGCCAGCACACATAATTGGTGGAACCGCTACCAAACTTGCACTCCAGCTGATATCATACATAGCTTTAAAATTCAATATAATTTTAAATGTTTTTACAATTTAAAAATTTTTATTTGTAGAATCACCTTATTACAACAGGATATTCATCTTGGGCTCAGCTTTTGATTTGGTCAATTACAGCCCTATGTCTTTTGTTAATATTGACATTCTGTTTTGTGGATTACCAAAATTGTTTGAATTTCAAATGCATAAAATCTTTGAATAAGGATAAGAAAACAAAAGAAGGACATATTAAGCGATCAAACAATGACACATCTAAAAAGAATATTATTACAGATATTGATGTAAGTATATTAGATGTATTTTATAAAATTGTAATACAAAATATTTATATAATTAATGTACATTACATACAAATTTTTGTAGATATATTATATGAAGTATAATATTTAAAGTATATATTTTAGATTTTGAGTTTAAGAGATTTTGAAGTTATTAGTTTTACTAAATTATGGAGTTTTTCTCAAAGAATACTTTTTCAGTTAGTAAAAATGATGAGATAAGATTTTTTGATAGCAAGATATGGATTTTTTAACTTACGGTACTTTAATTGAGTATATGTACTTAATTTGTTTGAAAATCCCAATTTCGCTCAATTATTTTATATAATACCTATCTCAAAACATGGCTAATTTATCCCGGTAGTGCTTTATTTGAAAATGTTATCAACATTTTCAGCAGATCATCCCCTAGATCTATTTTTATTTTTATTGATTTTTTAGCTACTTTCAGTTACTTCACCCTGTATATGTATGTATTAAATTTATTTTATTATTATTGTTTTTTTGTTTACTAAATATATTTACATCTCGTTTAATTACTAGATGTTAGGAAATTAATATACCTATCTATAAAATTATTATTTACTTTTTCCAGTTTGACGACTTCCCAGAGTCAGAAAATGATGAGGAAATAGATACTTCAATGACTCAAGCTCCAGTATGTATGTATAAAATTGAAGTTCTCGACTCATGGAAATCAGCTCGGGGTCAAGTTTATCTTTAATATGTGTATTTACAACAACTTTCAAACTTACTTTAACATATAATACATATACTGTATAGTGATAGTGACCAAGTATACCATGATATATTGATGTTATTTTAAGTAGGTCTAAATATAAATTTAATTTATAGTAATTTACTTTAAAATTTTAAATATATTATACTGTAGTACCTATATAATTTAGTGATTTCAAATAAATACCCATTATTATTTGTTTTTCAAAAGTCATTCCTAAGAAATTCAAGTACAGTCCATTAAATTATTCAACAAAAAACCTATGATAAAATTATGTTCCAATAATTTTTTAAATAGTCAAATCACACCAAATCATTAAAGTTCAATGAAGTAGTATTTAGTACAATACAAATATTTGTGACTATAACTTAATGTTTGTAGGTGAATTTCATAAAAATCTATTTATATAGGTAGTTTAATATATAAGTTATAAATAATACAATGTTTCGATAACTGAAACACTAACTACATATTCACTAAGATAGACAATAATTTTAACTAATAATATCCTAAATGTCTCATATAAATCTATGTAAAATATACCTGTATTGTTACCTACTCTATAAATACAAATACAGATTAACATAAAAAAAACATAACATATAGATTGATTATATAATTGAATCTTAACATGATAATATAATATTACATTGCTAAACTTTTAACTTATCACAGTCATTCAATTTTGTTATTAAAATAAGTATAGTAGATAATATTATTATATCTATATTAATAACAAACTGTGCTCAACAAATTAGATTTTCAAATATCATTGACTTGTAAGTCTGAATTAATTTGGGTAATTCTAATTAATTGTGAAGCATAATAGTAACAGAATTATTTAAATAGGGAGATAATTATTACCCAATTTAATTTATTCCTAGCTCAAGTGTACAATTAATGCAAATAATATGTTTATTTATTTTTACTTGTATGCAATTAAACATGAAATAACATTATCTAAAACTTACTATACCTAACTATAGGTAACTTACATTTTTTTTTTGAATACCAAACACATATCACATATTTAAAGTTTAAATACCTAGTTATATAATAGATATTACACTATATGAGAAATTTAAACATTGATCCTTTTGGAATATTAATATGTATTTACTTAATAAAATATACACTGTGCATTTGCCAATAGTAAAATAATAAAATTGTTTATGTTCAATATCCATGTTATTATATACATTTTTCTTTTAAGAAATAATGTAATTATTTTAAATTTATTATAATATTAATATGAAAACCTTCTAAATATTATATAAATATATGAGCTATAATTTATATCAAAACAAAACAAAAATATTTGTATGTTTGGAATAAATAAAATTATTAATATTCAAATCTATACAATAAATTGTTTAATTAATATGTAATAACTAATTATCTTAATATCCAGCCATATAAATTAAGTAGGTAATATTGTGGCATTATGCTATAGAAGGATAGCAGACAATTTACCAACCAACATTTTCATGCACCAACCATGACAAATTAAAAAAATAATAAAATATATCTATTTTTTTTGTATAAAAGGTATCCACGAAAACTGTTTACAATCAATAATTCAGTACCCTCTATATCAGGGATGGGCAACTCAACGTTACTAAAGGGCCAATGTTTAGAACTTTAAAATCTAACGGGTCAGAAACATAAAAAGCAAAAAAAATGTTTAATAAAATCTAAAATTTACTATTGACATTTATTTTTTATACTTAATTATTTATACATGTGGTATTTATTAATTAATTTGAAAACGTAACATGGGTCAATTAAAAATGGTGTGCGGGTCGCTAGTTACCCATCCCTGCTCTATATATAGGTACCTATACACTGAATACAAATTATGTACAAAATTCGCAAATTAAAATTTCTATAAATAGCTTAACTTCACCACGTCTAGAAAAAATAAATATTAATTTTCTGTCCAAATTTCAAGTTTCTACGAATATTTTCTTTTTTTCGTAAAATTCGGGAGGGCCATGGCTCCCATGGTCCACCCTTGTATACTCGCCTGGTTGTTAGTAGTTTGTTTTGTAAATTAGGGTGGTAGTCTATACAACTTTTTACCTGCCCACCTTCTTAAAATATGGTTTCGGCATCACTGGATATATGTACCTATATGAGTATATAAACTATATAATTATGTCTATGGTTTATGGTAGTAATACAATTTAGTCAATAATTTAGTACTTACCTTAGGGCCAATTGGCCATTTGGGTAGTTGATTTATGGCAGGCTTATTTGATTTCTCGTGACGAAAAAAATAATAGTTTAAATAATTTCTTTAGTTTAAAATAGAATTATTTTTTGTTTGTTCTTTTTTCCTAAACTCTCTTATTATATACCTAACACACCGACCACAATTATTTGTGATGCTCCACTTAAAGGTCGGCTGCATACATAACCAATGATGCTATAAATACGCCACAGTTTTTTGTTTTATCTGTTTACCATTATCTTGAATCTTGTCTTAAATTATAGAACATTTTTGATGGGCCAAAACAATTTTATCAACATAAAACCAAATAATACGATTGTGGTTTGGAAGAATTATTTTGAAATAAACTAAAGTCCATCTGTTATTTTTTTTAATTAAATGTTATTGTAAAGCTGCCATTTCACTCAATTTAGTCAGGATACTACCGATTTTACGCACGCTGTCTCGATATTAATCAAGTCCCGGCTGGGACACATATTGGCATTATGAAGCCAATATACCTAGCCGATCTCGGTTTCTGCTAACCAATTGTGCTCTCTGTTTGGTTAACTTGAATCGCCGTGCAAAATGACTATCGTTATCGTGTAGTCTCGTTATCTACCAAATACAATATACATTAAACTATATATGATAACCTTTATCATATACAATCATAGACTTACTAAAAAAACAAAAATTAAATAATATTAAAAGTCCTATGTATACAATGGATGGGGCATAGACCTTATTTGCGATAGAAAGCGAAGTGACTGACATCTGGTGGTAGTGGCATGAAATGTAACGTTGCCGATATGAAAAATGAATTTTTAATAAAAATATAAAATACAAAATATTGAGAATTGGTTTACCCAATTTGTTATAATTTATTAACCACACGTCGAGTTTTAATTTTAATTATACTTTCGCATTTGGTAACTGCCAACCTATAATTATGGGTCATCCTTATTGTGCCACAACACCGAAAACTCGCAAAAAATATAACTATTGTCATGCTCCACAATGTAAAACAATATTCTCTGTGTAAACAAATTCAAAATAATTATTTGATTTTCATTCAACAGTCAATACCAAGATGATGTGACTTTCCACACTTTTCCTAAAAATGTTATCCTAAAAAAGAAATGGGAGCATGCTTTAAAAATGAATATTACTAATTCTCCTACAAATAATATTAACGTGTGCAGCAAACATTTTATTAAATATGATTTCTTACAATTTACAAGTTATTATAATTGAGAAATACCTACCAACTGTTAAAAAATTAATATAGAGTAACATAGGTAGGTACTTTAATATGATTGTTATGTAATGGATGTAATTTTAACAATTCCATAAACTTCATAGGAACATAGAAACAGGCTTTTCACTGAGATCACTAGTTTTAACCCTTTGGGGTACATTGCTTTTGAACATTTTTTTCTTAGAAAATATTAAGTTTAGCACTCATATTACAAATAAAAAAGAAACAAATTTATGTAGTTTCACTATAATACCACAATGCCTCAAGGGGTTAAGCAATGTATAGCATTGATTCTTAATATTTTGTTATTATTTCACACACATCCAAATTCAAAAATTGATGACTAGGTCAAACACCTGGTGATTCGTCGTTAACATGCATAATAACATAATTAATAATTATTATAATAATTATAATATCTATATCTATTTATATCTATAATTATATATAAATCTTTGCTAACATGACGTTCCTACATCACCGATATTATATGCAATCTATTTTGTCATGGCTCTATCCAATGTATATTTGTTCATGATCTAAGATGATAACATATACATAGTGTTATCAATTTATAATATATAGTTATACTATAGAGGTACTCTATTGAGGGAACCTAGCAATCACGGTTTAAAATAAATAGATGTATAAGATATATAAAAGATGTATATCTTAAATCGTGTAATGGCAATCTAGTTTATTATCTATTCTGTGTATAAGCAGGCTCGTTCAGTGATTTTAATATAGACATATTAATTATATAGTTAACATTATTGATTAAATATACATTGTATATTTAATCAATGTTAATAAGTCTATGGTTTTTGATTACATATCTATTGTTATACATAGATAATACAAATATTGATATTACTTTATTAGATAAGTAATTGTAATTTGTAAGTATTTATGTTTTCTGGCAGTATAATATAAAGATTTTAATAAAATGGACATCTAATATTATATAATAAAATATTATTAAATAACATTAATTAAACCATTTTTGTATTGACACGATTTTAAGAGGAACATATTGCACACGTTTTTATTGTCGTCTTTAATTTGTATTGTTTTTAAATTACATATTGATCAAACTGTTTTATTGACAAGATTTACTGAAGACCGATGAATCATGTTACCTCCACATAATGGTGAAATTATGCATCTTAATGTTGGTGGTACAAGGTAAATAACAAAAACTTTAATTAACAATTAACAAATTGCATGCATGATTTATAATTTGACCATCATATTTTTTTATTTCTTTGTAAAACATTATTGATTGTGCTAAAATTTAAACCTAATTAAAGTTTATTTTAATGAGTAAATAGTACTTTGTAGCTAATCTTAGTTTATTTATGCATTTCAAATTTTGTAGTATATATCATTGTAGTTATTTGTATAGTTTGAATGTAAGCATTTGCCCAATCTTAATTTTTAAAAATACTAATTTTGGGCCACCATTTACCAAAATTGTAACATATGTGAAATGTAGTTTAAACCAAATGATAATGCAATTTATTCATCTATTCAGCTGGATGGATAATTCTATTAATTTATCTTGTAGAGCTCTTTTTTATTATTATAATTAAGTTTATATAGTTTATTAGTGAAAACCAGAAAGCAATTTTAAAAAGTACAATTTTCATTTATAAAATATTATAAGAATATAAAATATATTTTCATATGACTTTGGAGGAATGAGACAATAGATTAGCTGAACAAGATGCCTAATGAAGTGGTGACGTAATTAGCAAGGTTGAGAGCTTTAAATGCCTTGGTTCTTTTGTACAAAAGAATAATGGCTTTGGTGAGGATGTTAATAATAGGATTGAGCGTGGTTGAATAAAGTGAAGGTGTTTCATGCGACTAGAGGATTCCAATTAGACTTAAAAGTAAGTTCTACAAGAGTGTAGTGAGACCAGCTATGTTTATGTGTGTCAGAGTGTTGGGCGGTAGACAAAAAAATAGAATAGAGAATGAGTGTATGAAAGATGATATTGCTTAGGTGGATGAGTGGAGTGACTAGATATGATAGAATAAGGAATTAATACATAATGAATAGCTATGTATGGCTTCAATAGTGGTCAAAATTATAGAAAATAGACTGAGCTGGTCTGGGCATGTTATGAGGAGAGACGAATCAGAAGCAGTAATAACTGTAATGAAACTAGATATAGAAAGAAGAAGATGAGAGGAAGACTGAAAGGGAAGTGGTTGGATGTGGTTGAGAATAATCAGAGGGCTGATGGTGGTGGAGGATTGGGTCTAATGGAAGTTTAGGGCAAGGGTGACTGACCCCAAATAGTTAGATTGGGATAAAAGTTAAGGATAATAAGACAATTTTCATATTTGAATCCGAAAATTGTTTTTTTATTATTTTTAGTTTTAGTAACCTATTTGTATTCCTATTGTTTTTAAAAGAATCTGTATAATTTTTTAATATTATATTTATTCCCAGGTTTTCAACATCGCGGCAAACATTGACTTGGGTGCCAGATTCGTTCTTCACTGCTTTATTAAGTGGCCGTATTTCTAGTCTTAGGGATGATACAGGTGCTATATTTATAGATCGTGATCCAAAAGTTTTTGCCATAATTTTAAATTATCTACGAACACATGACATTGATTTGTCTGGTACTGATATCAGAACATTACGTCATGAAGCTGAATTTTATGGTATCATGCCTCTAGTCAAAAGACTCATTCTATGTGAAGATCTTGAACAATCGTCATGTGGAGACATTTTATTTTATAGCTTGTTGCCTGCTCCAAGTAATACTCATTTTATTTTTAAATACATTCAAATATCTAAATTATATTTTGTTCAGATATTCTGTATCTAAATTGTATATTTTTTTAAACATTTTAGTCATTTAATTTTTTTTTAATTTGTATAGTTTAATTTTTTGTTGAAAATGATTTTGTAGATCCTCCTATGCAAGAGTCTGAAATAGTTAGTAATACTGCTAAAGTAGATGATCAAACAAGACCTGGTTCAATTGTTCGAGTTCCTGAACCAGCACCACCACCAAATTCTCCTTCATCTATACCTCATACACATGGTTATCAAAGGTTTATATATATTTAGTTGTTTTCAAACTAAAAATTAAAATAAAAAGTTAAGATTTTTCTAATTGTGCATTTTTTTAGTCGTTGTCATTCTCGTAATTCTTCTTTGGACATTTCTCGTGTCACTGTAAATGGTCGTGGGTCAGTTATTAATGGTCGTGGTAACGGTAGTAGTGGACATTCCAGAGCTGCATCACTTGGTAGTCACGTACCTAATCATCATTCCAGAAATTCATCTGCTGATCTTAATAAGTATATTAGGAATGATGCGTTAAATTTAGTTTTTGGTTACAATCAAGGTTCTAACTGGGCTGATCCATTACGTGTCCAAATTATTAAAGCTCATCATAATTGGATTGTAGTTGCATATGCTCATTTTATTGTTTGCTATAGGTAAATCTAAATTTATATTTATTTTTTATTGGCTAAATTTTTAATATTGTTTTGTGTTTTACATTATTTATATTTAATAACAATCTTTTTTTTATAAAGAAGAACCTACATTATGCAATTAAAATTTATAGTTTTATGATATTAAAGGTTGAAAGATTCTAGTGGTTGGCAACAAGTTTTCACATCACCACATATAGAAAACTGTATAGAGCGAATAGCGATTAATGCTAAAATAAACAGCCAAAATGGGAATTCCGATGGCTCTTCTGTCATGGTTGCTATATCATACGGAAGTCAAGTACGCCTTTGGGGTGTATCAGAACAAGGATCTCGGACCAACATAGGTAATACTATTGATTATAGAATTCTATTCTGTAACCAATGGTAATACTTATTTAATTACATTATTTTTTTAAACATGTGTGGAGTTCCATTCCCAATTGAGTGGCCCTGACCTTAATCTAAGAATCTTATACTAAGTCTTATAGATGTGGTTGCACCAACACTGATAGCATTATAAAATAAAATCATGTTATTGTTATAACCACGATGATTGATCGTGTAACAAATTTGAAAGTGTCTTATATGTCGTTTCCTTATGCTATTCCAAAATGTAATACATAATTTTGAACTATTAAAACTTGATCATTTAAAAACATGCCTATAATATTTTACAACGCTTACATTGTTTATATGAACGCCACACTACTGTACTTCCGATGTGGGCGAAAATATCTATTATTTTTTTTAAATTCTGTATTTAAAAAACAACGCGTAAATTCAACACTTGTAGCGGAATATACGTAATGCTCGTTCATTAAACAAAACGTGACTAATTTTAAAGTTGAAAATATTTAATTTTAAAAAAAAATGTTGTCTAGGTACATTTAATTTTAAAAAAAAATGTTGTCTAGGTACATTTAATTTAAATGTTCGTGTAGAACATTTATTTTTCATTGGCAGTCAACTCGTTGCTTTATCGCCTACTGGTAAAATAGGCGTTTGGCACGCAATGACTCAACATTGGCAGACTCAAGATGTTGTACCAATTGCATCATTTGATACAGCTGGTTCATTTTTGCTTCTTGGTTGTAATAATGGATCAATATATTACATTGGTATGAATTAACTATATAAAATATATAATTATTACTACATTATAATTATATTTCTATCATAAGTATAAATAATAAATTATCTTCATATATTTTAGACATGCAAAAATTTCCATTGCGAATGAAAGACAATGATTTACTAGTAACAGAGCTCTATAAAGATCCTTCCAATGATCCAATTACAGCTATTTCTGTTTACTTAACTCCTAAAACAAGTAAGATTTCAAAACAATATAAATTTAATAATGACATTATATAAGTTCAGAAAAATATAAAGAATTGTTAATAATTTGCCCATGAGTGTTGATATTTACTACTTTTTTTTTTATCAGAAATAGAGTAGCATATAATAAAGAATTAATTCAACAACAATAACAATAAATTGAATATTAACACATTTTATCAATTTTAAGATTTAGGGTTTTATCAAATGGGTCTTTTGTTTATTGATTCGAAAATTTTTTAAATCTCTGTATCATTCTTTAGATTAAAGTTTCCCAACTAGTGTGCTGTGAGGTATCCATAAGTGTGTTACAAAATGTCATGACTAGGGTTCAGGACTTATAACACTTATATCATCAAAATAAGCAAAAAAATAAAAAAACTATGAATACAATTTATTTTTATATTGTCATGTTTTTGAGAACTTTGTAACTTCTAATAGATTTTTTTGAAAATATTTTTTTTTAATCGATTCTGAATGGAGCTCAGTTAATATTATTTCTTTTTCAACAACGTGCATTTTCATGACAACAATGTTTTAAAAAAAATTGAAAAATCAAAATAATAATAACTTATAACTTAATAATAACAAATAATAATTAAAAACGGTTGCCAATGACTTTATTTTTAATTTTTTTTAACCTTTACTTGATTTAAAGTCAATTTATTATTATTTGTAGTGTTTTTTTTGAAATGGCAGTTCAAAGGAATTATATAATAATTGTTTTTTAATTAACAAATATAAATTAAGTGAGGAATTATCTGGCCCGAATATAAGTGCTCATAGTGTTGATGTTAAGGAATTGCCTGGTTCGAGTTCAAATCCTCTTAGTGTTAAGGTTAGTGTGAAAAAAAATATTGACGTGATCAAAAATAGTTTTCAACAGTATCATGAAATAGCTACTTATCATTTGATTTCACATTGACTGGTGAAGAAATACTCATATCTCTATGACCTATTTGTAGTAAAAAACTTTCCAATAAATCTATGGTACCAAATAAGTTGAAAATACATCTACTATCAAAACATGGTTTTCCGACTGAAGAGCTGCTTGATTATTTCAAAAAGTTAGCCTCAAATCAAAACAGTTAGGCTTCAAATTGTATAAAACAATCAATTGTATCAAATGAAGCACAATGTGCTTACTATACTGTAATTGAACTGATAGAAAAAAAAAATAAATTGTGTACGTTAGTTGAATTAACCATTTTACCAGCTTGCTATGAAATCATTAAAATTGTATTTATTTTTATAATTTAATCATAATATATCTGTTTTTTCATATCAATAAATTTAATATTTGTAATAGATTAAAATATTATCATTCATGAGTTTTCTTAGCCTAAATAAACACACCATTTTTCTAGTTATTCACTAATAATTTACTGATATACAATTATTATGGTATTTATGTGATAAATGCCTAATATTAAAGAAAAGTATATTTATTTTATTATAACTATACGGTCTGGACTTTTTAGTACAATATATATAAGTCAGTGTGCCTCGGTTAAATACATGTTGAGATTATTGTGCCATGAAGGCAAAAAGGTTAGGAAATATTCCTTTAGACAATATAGGAATGCAATAGTTGCATTTTTTTTATATTTAATTTTAAATTATGTTTTAGGAATTTTTGAGAACTAGAAAATATCCTTTGGGCGAAAATTCATTATTTTATCTGTTTTTTCTTTCTATATCTTAGTAGTGTGTCTATTATTCTTTCTAATAATTTATATGTTTATACATTTTATTTAAGATACTGTGAATCTTTAATCTCTGGTTGGTATTAAATTAGAATGTGTTACATTTAAAAGTTCCAATATATTGCCAATATTCTTTTGAAAAAATTTGATTTATATTATGCTTAGTCTTTTAGTTAATAAGTTTCTATGAAAATTGTTTTTGAGTTTCTATAAAATAATGAAAGTGTTTTTTTTAAATTATAAAACTAAAAAAAACGTTTGACCTTTTATTATTCTTTTTAAATATACAGGATTGTTTGTTAAATTTAATTTTTGTGGAAATATTTAAAATTACAGAGTGACTAATAATATCATAGTTATAATAAACCCATAATTTATATCTATATAAAAAAAAAATATGTTTGATTAAAATACTATTGCTGAAAGTTATTATATATTAAATTCCAAAACAAATACACATTTTTGTTGTAAAAAAAAAAATATAACAATAATTTGAAAATAATGTTCATATATGTTCAAGTTGTTAAAAAAATAAAGATTCGTTTACATTCATAATTTATGAGTTAAAAGATATTACTTATATACATTGAGAATAAATTGTAGGAATGCTATTATTTTTATTATTTATAACAAGTGACTAAAACAGTTTTGATATTTATATAAACTAGTATTTTTTTTGTCTATTTTAATCTAAATAATATAACAATTAAATGCTTGAGTTTTATTTGAAACAAGATTTTTTTATATTTCTACAACTTAATATCTATATTAAATCTACTGTTAATATTTTTCCTTTTATTTAACTCAAGGATATGAATTTAATTGTGCTTTAATTTTTGACATATCATTATCAGTATTAATGTCTGCACTATTAATTTTTTCACCAGCATAATTTGTTGCTTCATTCATTTTATTGCTAGCCAAATATTCTGAGCTTTTCATTGATTGACCAGTTTGATAGGCTGCATTATTTAATGAATCAGGCATATCATTTTTTATTGTGGCAGAAGTTGAAGACATAGAACTTTTTACTGTTTCAGAAGTTAAAGATGCCTTGTTTTTTAATGAATCTTCAGCTGGGGCCACTGGATTAGGTGTACCATAGAATTCATCTATATTTTTTAAAACAAAAATGTTAGCACACAACAAGTCAGACATAATTTAGACTATGTCTAGACCACTCTTGTAGGTGAGAAGTTTTGAATTTGTATTATATAGTACCCTATATCTGATATTTATATACTGAAAACAATAATAAATCATTGCAATTAAAAATTAATACTAAGATGAACTTGGTAAACAGATAAGGTTACAGTATTAGTCTAGTTTTTTTTAAAAATTTAAAAATAATATATATAATTATACTATATTAATGTACACAATTACTGTGAATATTGGATACCTATAGCTAATAATGGATAATCATGATACCTAATAATATGTTTGGAAATCTTAGCTTAAGCAATGTTATATATTTATTATCTAGGAAGCAGGTTTGAGTACCAATTTATGTAGTATAAAGCAGCGGTTCTTAACCTTTTGTAGATCACGGACCCCTGTTGAAAGATTTTTAGAAATCGTGTACCCCTTACCAATATTTTTACTAATACCTTTTTTTTTGTTTTTACGAAGCTTCACGTTATCATAACCAAAATTATAATATTCAAATGACGCGCGCCATGCCATGTCACTACACAAGCAACACTTTTCTCCTGCTTAAACTAAAAAGTTGACTATCTCGTCAACGGTTTAATGGAAATCAAAAATTTCAACACCAAAATTTATTTAAAATATTACTCCGTTAATTAATAGAATTTTTAATTTAGGTTTGAATTTCAAAAATTAATACCTAATAAAAAAAATGTACAAATTATTTCAGGTGTTTATAATTAAAGAAACTTTTGTATTAAACATTGTTCTCTATTTTGAATGTTTACAAGAGAAAATTGTTGTAACATAAAATTCTGATCGCCCTGTATATTATGTATAACACAAAAATAATAATAACATTTCAACAATATTTTAATAACGCACTCGTGTCACATATTGATTTATGTGTTAAGGCTGCTGCGGACCCCCAACTTGAGTATCGTGGATCCCCAGAGGGCCGCGGACCATAGGTAAAGAACCGCTGCTATAAAGTATAAAATAATAAAACAATTTCTACCACTATTTATAAAATAATATTATTAGTGTGATATTAGTAACATATTTTTAATGTATTTTTTTGATATTATTTAAATTGTTGCTGTAATTATTCTTTCTAATAAAGTAAATAAACTTTTGAAGATTTGAAAACTAATTTTTGTTTAATGACCATTTCTAAAAATGACACAGATATTAAAGATAATTAATGTCAATAAGAAAAATGGACAATAATAGAATATGCAATGCACTCCTTAAGCCTTTGTATTTTCTATGAGAGAAAAGCTGATGAAATTTGTCATTGTCAAATTTTCTCAGAAAATAGAATCTTCCACTGTATTGTGTCTGTTATGTACACTTTTATATATTTTTCCAGTTGCTTTTAGGCACTTTTAACGGGTCCTTCTGGACCAAATGAGCTCAAACTTTGGAATTAGAATTGTTTTATTTTTTTTTTTAGCTTTGTATACTCTCTCAGATTGCCCAAATGTAGGGAATGTGCTTTTTGGAGGTTTCAACTTTCAACCGCCTTTTCATCCATTTTTAAATTCAAATCTCATGTAATAAAATGTATATACAAATTTAATGTGACTCTAGCAAACATTACTATTTTAAATCAATTATACAAATTGTAAAGGCAACAAATCGGTTAGAGAAAAATTTGATTCTTCTGACATATCTGCTTATCATAAATATTTTTTTTACTGCTATTAAAAAATATTTTTTGAATTTAGTAAACTGTTGTTTAAAAACTAATATCAAACGATCTGAAATAATTAAGAAATATCTAATCTTTATATTTTTTTGTTACACTATTGTTTTTCTAAAATACATGTTTTACATTTAAATATTTACTATAGTTATTATCTAAAATCCAAATCTATAAGTAAAATTTCAGTGTAAATACATACCCTTTATCCAGGATAATCCGTTCATTGCTGAATTATACATTGAACTTCCTAGGTTTTCAGCATAACCAACAGTAGTCTTCGTATCTTCTTGAGTAGTTATCTGTGTTTGTTCTAAACTCTGTGATACAACTTGTGACTTTACTATCTATTGAACAAATTTAATAATTTATAATTTTACTATAAAAGGTCAAATCTTATTTTAAAAAAAAAATTGATTAAGTGAACAATTCCTTATTGTAAATAAATTATTATAAAATATAATATCTTACTTGCAAAGTAGCTCCACTTAACAATATAAATATTAAAGTCAACTTCATGATTAATATCGAAAGATCACTATTGTCACTTAACTCAACCACTATTTAATCTTCAATGAATCTGAAGGCCTGTTGATAATTTCATTATATATATGTATAACATTTAATGTATTTTTAATATTCACCAACACGAAATCTCTAAACATCTAATTACTTATTATTCTGTTTGCAAGAAAACATAATTTAAATAGGTACCCTTAATGTATACCTCCTGCCCATAAGTGTACTTAATTTTAAAATCACCTGTCAACTGATTTTACCATCACTATGTAATAGTGTAAACATTGACACTTTAGGTATAAAAAAAACATCATTTTTAAACTTTAAAATTAAATACAATATTATTTTTATAAAAAATTCTGTATAAAATGGTATAATATCCAAAAATTTAATCAATCATTTTAATCCCATATTAATTATAATGAAAATAATTCAATTTCCTATTAACCTAACCTATTTTAAATCTATTAACTTATTTTTAGATTTTAAAAAAATGTTGACTTCTTTGTTATATGATAATAATTGAAAAATAAAAATAGATCCATTCTTTTTATTCTGAAATTTTATATAAAACTATAACTTTTATAAAAATTTTACTTTTTCATGCAAATATTTTTAAGATAAATATTAAATATATTTTATAGGTAGGTTGCTAATGAATTAAGAACTAATAGAATACAGTTGAACTCATTTTTAGTGGTCACTTAACTTATTTTTAACTCACATTTAAATTTGTGCCTCGCTTAGCTAGTTTTTAAACTAATAAAAATATTGATATACAAATCTGGGGACTAATTATAACAGACCTTATACAGTTTTAATAATATTTAAATTTAAATAAAATATTATATTTAAAAAGATAATTTCAAAAATGTTCAATGTACCGAATTATAATTTTATACATTTTAAAAACATATTAATTTTTGATTCAAATTCAAATCATTCAATTTACAAAATAAAAAGTTGTGTTGACAGATAAAATGTTATGTTTTGGCGTTTATATTGTTATAGGTGTCAGTGGAAATTGGATAGAAATAGCGTATGGCACCACTTCAGGTACTGTACGTGTGATTGTACAACATCCTGAAACTGTAGGACATGGTCCTCAATTGTTTCAGACATTCACTGTACATCAGAGTTCCGTAACCAAGGTATAACCAATATACTACAGATATTTTAACCACACATTTTGTTACTGTCATATTGTGTATAGGTAACACTTTCGGAAAAATTTCTTGTATCTGTGTGCAGTGAATACAACCATGTAAGGACGTGGAGCGTTACTAGGTTCAGAGGCATGATTTCCACGCAACCTGGTTCTACTCCAGTTGCTTCTTTTAAGATATTGTCCCTCGAGGAAGTAGAACCTTGCATTAGCTACTGCGCTGGAAATGACTGTGGTTAATATAATTTAATATGATTTTGTTTTAATAAAAACATAATATTTTGACTTATCATTTAAATTTCTATGTTTATATGTATTTTTGTGTCTTAATTTAACTTGTTATAGGACCATATGGGGAACAGGATGACGAGCAAGTATTTGTTCAAAAAGTTATGCCAGAAACTTCTGAACTTTTTGTTCGTCTTGCATCCAATGGCAAAAGGTAAAATAATTATATTGTAACTATTTAAGCAGATTTTTTATAGCCTGGACACATCCAATTGGTTTTAGATTCTAAACACTTTTATTTATAATATATATAGTGATTATTTTGTGTCTTATATTTTTGGTTCTACGATACGTCTTCATTCTGTTATTCATAAATGTTATTCCATTATAATTTCTAAATTCTTGTATAACTTAGTTCCTTTTAAATATTATTTAGGTATTACAAAACTTCCTCCAGTTGTCTGGCATTTTCTTTTCTACTAACACGTTATTGAAAAATCTTTTAATCAGCCTATGTCTAGTTCTTCTAATATTTTTTACTCTTCCACTGGTACTCCATCTGAATCTATTGCGTTTTCCTTTTTCATTACTGTTAACCTATCACATCCTTCTTCTTAACTTAACCTACCAGATCTCAGTTCCAAGAAACACTGACTAACATCTCTCTTGGATATTGCTTATTTAGTAATTTCTCAAAATACTCCGATCTTTGTATACATTCTCATGATTCATTAATACTCTATTGTTTTCATTTTTTATACAAAATACATTTTGAAAATCCCTGGACTGTTTTTCACTCACCTTGGCCAATCAATAAACTTTTTTTTCATCTTTATTTGCTTCTAGTTTCTCATACAATTCATCACATTTCTTTAACGTTCCCTTTACTTACCACCTTATTAGCTTTCTTGCACAATATTTTGTACTCTACTAAATCAAATTTCTTCTTATTCTGCTGCAATAGCTTAAATTTTTTTTTCTTACTAGCTATAATCCTATTAACCAAGTTTCCTTGTTTTCTAGCTCAGTGGTTCTTAATCTTTTTTATTTGACAACACCCTAATATTTAGATCCATAAAAATAACGACACTCTTAAAACAATTAATGAAATTAAAATGACACACACAACTCTCACAACATTGTGATTACAACTAAGAACATGCTTATTTACGTACAAATAAACAACTTTTTTGGCGTCACACTAGTAGAGAACCACTGCTCTAGCATACAACCCTTACTCACCCCAATAATCTCCTTTTCGGTACTTTTAACAAAAATGACCACCCTTTCCCTTTATATTTCCCTCAACATTCCATACAATCTATTTTTTATAAAAAAAATGTTTTGTCTCCGTTAACTTCCACCACTAAATCCTCAACTCCTTTTTCCCTCTTTTTTTTATTTGTTTGTACTTTTCCCACAATATCAAAATTCCATTACTATTATTACCATTATTTTATGTTGTAACACCCTTACTATGTATTACTTTAAAATCCTATATCTGCTTAATACTTTCTTTCTTTCACATAAAATAATCAATTTGTGATGTATTCCTTCCTCTCTTAAAAGTTTTATAATATTCTTTCTTCTCCCTAAAATACTTAATAATAACTACATATATGCTAACACAAAATCTAGAACTCTTTCCCCAGCTTCATTTATCCCCCTGAAATCATATCTTATTCATTCATATTACCACTAAACACAGCATCCCATTTCCTGGCCTTGCCTCATCCATCTCTCATTTTCATTTGTGAAGTATATGCACTTACTACATTTCCTCCACTTCTACCAGTTAACGTTTCAACATTCCATGTACCTATTCTTACCTTACACCTATCTCTCACACCCAGGTGTGGGTTCAGCTTACTAAGGTGCAGCAATCAAGCAAGGTCTCTACACCATTGACACTACAAGGTTAGATAAATTGTGAAGCAGCTACTTGCTGTCCGGCTGATATCATACGCTTCATCACCCAGGCTTCCTCCACCTCTAGTTGCATCAATTTCTCTCGCATTTTATTCTTGCAGGTTACTATTACTAATACTTTTTCTAGATATTTGTTAGTTTTTTAAGTATATTAAACTACAATTGTCAAAATTAAGAATTAATTATCTGCAAAGTAATCAGAAAAATTTTGTTTGTAAACTATTTTTTAAATAATATGACAATTGAGCATATTATCCAAAGTATATTTTAATTTGATTTTCTGCAGAGTATGTTTGATACGGGCTGTGGACTGCACAATAATCACGTGCTTTTGTGTTCACGAATGTGAGGGTTCTAGTCGTATGGGTTCACGTCCTCGTCGGTTCATTTTAACCGGACACTGTAATGGTGCCATTCAAATGTGGGACTTGACTACCGCTTTGGACTTGGCCAACAAATGCTTACGTAAGTATTTTCAATAATGATGTGAATTATTATGCTAGTATAAATTTTTTAGGTAATACATTCAATTTTGTATAATATTCTTTTATAATAATTAAAAATGTTACAAAAAAAAAAAAATTAACCTACATTTAATTATAAAAATAAAGACACTATTTATTTTTCACTTTATTTTATGCTCAATAACTATTTCTTGTTATTTTAAAATAGTTTTTATTCAAAAATATATTTTGACAAATTTGCATGACTGGAAATACAACTTATAAAAATATATTAAAAATATGCATTATAAATTAAAAAAAAGTTTAAAATTAGTGTTATAGTAATAATAATTTTAATAGATAAATGGGTACTGGTTTGTTTTCGCTCCGCGATCCATATAACAATAAATACATCGTATAAATATAAAATAATTCGACGGAAAATAACTGGCATTGCTATTAGGTGCCAACCATAGGTGTTTATCACAAATAATCAATAATTTAATAATACAATAAACCGATCTAAAAAAAAAATTAGTTTATTTATTGATAGTTATAATCTAATAATTCGATGATAAATTAATATAATATTAAAAAAAAATTAAAATTAAAAATGTATAAAAATGTTTATGCTTTTCGTAATTCCCATGATATTATATCAATATATATCGTCGAATTATTAGATTAATAAATATCAATAAATAAACTCATTATTTTATTATTTTATTATATTATTGATTATTTGTGATAAACATCTATCTTAGGTACCTATTCGTAATGGTACGTATTTTCCATCAAATTATTTTATATTTATACGATGGATTTATTGCTATATGAATGACGGGCCTATTAAGGTTTCACTCGACTCGGTGGGGCTATAACAAACCAATACCAATAAATAATTTTATCTGATATATATAATATAATATAAAATAGAATTTTAACAAAAAAAAAATCTATTTCTAATGATTATGATTGTTCTTATGATACAGAAATTAGTAACCTATTGAAAACCTTTTTTCTTGTTTAGAACCTATCCCAAATGGTGGACCAACGGCCGAAGAACTTTTGCGGTTGCTAGACCAATGTGATTTGAGTAATAGCCACTGTTCCACACCCAGCATATCTCCGTTTCCAGGGACATTGATCTCTAAGGGAGGGAATACGGCAAGATTAAAAGCGTCTAACGTGGCCTTCCTCAACCAATCCCAACAGACAGACTCCTCCACTTCAACTACTTCCTTGTAAAAAAAAAAAATTGTACTAGAAGAACGAATTTCGAACATATTGTGCATACAATTTTTGTTTTTATTTAATTTTGTCACTGGATTGCTGGATGAACAATTTTATCAATTTTAATTTTGAAGTGTATACAACATATAATACATAATTTTAGGTTATGGGAAATATATATCTATACGCTTTATTAATATTCTGGAAGCCTGAATTATATTTTTTTTTATACTATTTTTAGAATAAGAATGCACTTGACGGCGATCTAAAATCGATCCTCATGCGCGTATGTCTCTACTAACTAATTATTAATAACCAATCATAGAACGTCTGGATGTATGGCCTGGTACATTCTTATTCTGAAAAGGGTATAGTTTTAATGATAATGTTGCATATGTGATATGCCACCATAATAAAAAAAATAGTGTAAAATAAATTTATGTTATCAAAAATATATTTACTTAAAAACTCTACATGTTTCAGTTATTTTCTATGTGCTCAAATTTAAATTTATTATACATTTTTATTTTGTCCAATTTTAACAGTAAACATTAATTATAGATCATAAGCCTAGATAAATTGTGAACTAATTTTTTAAAAAATTGCATAAACAACATTATGTATATAATATGTATGTGTGTGTATAATAATGGGACCAATATGTTAAAAAATTATTGTATACTCAATTAAAAATTCTAAATTTTCATTACCTCATATTTGAAATAAACTTATTTCTAATATATACATGTGTATTCTATGTACGAATGTATTTATGTATATTTAAAGTACCTACAGAATATTATTCTTGGCTATTGGTTACTTCCCAATTAAAACAGCCCTGACATTTCATCCGACGGAGTCATACTTTAATTTTCACAAAGCGTATTGTCCACATTTATTTGATTTTTTCCTTAACTATAATTGGGTACCTTCCTTCACCTAAATGTTAATTCTACGTCTGCATTATATGATGCGTTACACTTTTACCCCCTAAGCTTGGTTCTATATATTAAGGACAACACGTTTTCCTACGTGGTTTTCGAAGGTTTTAATTAATACAGTATTCCAAAAGAGAAAGGCTCATGTTATTTTTAAGGCAACACGTTCTCCACTTGATTATTGTATGATTATTTCAATGCCACGTGCAAAATATAAGAAGTTTTATCGAACATACTGAATCTAACCTTCATTCTGATCCAAAAAAGTTTTGGAAATTTGTTAGGAACAATAAGTCTCACCAGTCTATTCCGAAAATAGTGTATCTGAATGGGGTTATCAGCATTAATGATCAAGAAGTGACTGATCCCTTTGCTAAGCATTTTAGTTCAGTTTATTCTAAACCCAGAGTTGTGAATAATCTACAAGTCTCACCACATTTACTTCATGATCTTCCATCCAATTGTTTTTTAATGTTAGTAAAGTTGAATCGGTTTTATCCAAATTGCGTAGTAACCATTGGTTCCTGGCGGTCTCTGGTGAATTTTTGTACGCGATACGATCATCATTTCCTCTATGGTTTATTTTTCGTAAATCATTGGATGAAGGAGTATATCCTGATCTATTTAATCTTAGTGTAGTTACACCAATATTTAAGTCCGGTGATAGTTCTAATGTCACTGGTCATAGATCTGTATCGATATTAATTCATATAGCTAAGCTCTTTGAGTCGTTAGTATTTTTTTCTATTAAGCTAAATTTTAATTCGATTTTAATTTATGAACAGCATGGGTTTCACTTTGGCCGTTCAACTACCACTATTTATTTAGTTTTTACTAATTATATATTTGATGCTTTTGCTAGTCATTCACAAATTGATGTAATTTACACAGACTTCACCAAAGCCTTTGATTGTGTCGATCATCATTTATTGATGAGTATTCTATTTGATTTTCATTTTGGTGAACCACTTTTTTCATGGTTTAACTCGTATTTTCATAACCGTAAGCAACTTGTTAATATGCACGGTGTAAAATCTTTTATTATTGATGTACTATCCAGTGTTCTTCAGGGTGGACACCTTTCGGGGATCTCTCTTGTTATTTACACTATTTATTAATGGTATTAATAGTTATATCGTTAACTGCCACTTCCTTATTTTTGCTGACGACTTACAGTTATTTTTAAAATTAATTCAACGAGTGACTACTTGTTACTTTAAGACGATCTCAATTCTTTAGTGAGATGGGTCGTGGGTCGGAACTCAATATATCTAAAATTTAGACATTTAGATTGTAAATGTCATTCGATGTTTTTCTATCGTACTCGTGAACGTATTGATTATTCTTCTATGATTAATGATAATTAATTGTTATTTGCGGGCATTGATATTGCTGATTTGGGTATCTTATTTGATCATAAGTTAAATTTCAATGTTCATTTGGATAAAATGTGTTGTAGAACTTTGAAACCACGATATTCCACATTTTCTAATAATAATAATAATAAATTGGTGTACGCCGAAATGGTTAATGGGAGCAAAAACAGACACATATTTTTAAATAGCTGACAATTTCCTTTAATATTGACAGTTATTTTAAAAACCTAAAAATTAGGATAATTTTTAATGCGGTTTTAACAAGTAGAAAAAACGTTAAAATTCATATTTAAATTAATGACTAATAAAAATAATTAAAATTCAAAATAATATGCAGGTACATTTTTTTTCTTTTATAATTTAGGGAACATCTAATTTAATTATTGATTGTTGATAATTTAGAAAAAAATTAAAGAATTATATATTTTACTGAAATAAATATAATAGTTGGGAATATCTTGGAGTCCCCTGCTGCTATACTCTATAGACATAAGAACCAATGATAAATTATCATTTTTTAAGCATATTCTTAGATAGTTTTCACTTTTTTAACATTAAAATCAATTGTTACAACGTGGTATAGAAACAAAAAATATTAATATTATTTTAACATTTGGGAAAGAACAGTTTAATTATGATTTAGATAAAACTTTAAGTAAATTTTGAACTGATAATTTATATTCTTACACAAATGTTCGGCTATTAACTTTTATAATTTCATGTTCAAGATGTGGAGGTTGACATACATATACAATAAATTACAAAATTCAAAATAATTTATAACGACTATAGTTAAAAATTTAATAACCTAAATAATAATGTTAATCAACTAGAATTGTATTTATTTTTTAAATAAAACTAAAAGAATTCTGTAAATTTAGTAATTCTATACTCCAATAATTTTGTGAAACAATGAAACTACATAAAAAAATGTTCAAAATTTGCTATTCAAATTAACTAAAGTGTTTAATAAGGTGAATAAGTAATAGTATTATATACAAATTATTGAAAAAATTAGTTTATATAATAATCCATAAGTACCTAGTAAATAAAAATTATTTATCAAAAACACAAATATACTTAAATATTTAATGTATGTTAAAATTACCATTATTTAGCTTTTACTAATTATTTTATCACAATGTTGTGTTGTTTGTATCAATAAATTATTTTATTTGTTGTACTATACTATACTGATCAACATATCAATGAGTAAGACATGAAACCACGTATCCGCATTACTTAATGGAAATTTTTTTTGAGAATAAAAAGAATGAATGAATATTAATTTAAAAATATGGAATATATTTTTATTTTTCACAAATAATTTTCTTATTTTTGGATACGTGGTTTAACATCTTAACTACCAATCAACATATTCATGTGTAATCATAAGTAGTTATCATAATATTATACTATTTGTCTTTCATATTTATATACTGTAAACATATTTGTATACTATTTATATCATCATTTATGGTGGGTAGGTAGGTATGTACCTATCCATATTTTGTAATATCGCCATAAACTGCTAAGAAATACAGTAACGATAAAATGTTCTAGTATGTTTTCAAATAATATTCTTGTATTTAATTAATTATTTAATTTAATATAAGCGCCCTTACCAGTGATAAGAGAACAATAATTACCATCAACAGTTAAATTACAGTCATAAGAAGGGTGAATATGATTGGGACAATACAACGTTCTATGGAGAGGTTGGTTATGGCCATAAGACGTGAGGTGTGTCGGAATAGAGAAGAGGGAGAGATTTCAAGTGGAGTGTGAGGGAACGCGGTAAGAGACATTTTCTAGCAAGTCAGAAGCATCGAGAGTATCATTGAGAAGAGAAAAGACGAGATAATGTCAGCATTGTTACGACTAGAGAAGAGAGTAGGGAGATCGAGGAAGGAGTGGACGCACTCGTAGTTATGCGGTGGGTGAGCAATCTTCAGTTGATGGACTGCAAACGAAAGAAAACGGTTCTGGATCCGTTCGATGAGCAGCTGGCCAAAACCCAGGTAGGGATTCCAAACGGTGATCCCGTACTCCAGGATCGACTGCACTAGGCATAAAGAACAAAGACAGGAGGCAGAGGAGAAAAGAGAAGAATTGCGCTTTATGAACCCAAGAATCTTTAGAGCGGGCCCAACAGTAACATCAATATGGTACCTGAAGGAGAGGGTTGAAGACAAATGAAAACCAAGATCTTTAATCCCATCAATATGAGTGAGAGGAGAATAGCCCAGGGAATATAGATGAAGAATAGGAAAACGTTTTTTTGGAAAAGGCCATAGCGTGGCATTTATTAAAATTTAAGTTCAGATTAAAGAGTTTGGACCATACAAGAAAGGCATTCAGATCAGCCTGCAAAAGAAGGCAATCAGAGGGGGGAATCATTACAGGAGAAGATTTTGATGTCATCAGCAAGAAGAACCTTAGCTAAGGAGAGACGTTCATTTAAGTACGAGACGAAGAGGATGAATATGAGAAGACTAAGATGGCCATCCTGAAATAAGGAACAAGTCAGAAACTGCCCTGCTAAAATATGTATTTTCTATGAATTAACATTTTCCTTTTTTGATACAATTTTAAATTTTAGATGTTTGGTGGGAGGAGTTTGTATTACAGAGGTATCTATAATTCTCCAAACCACGAGATTTTATCCTATCTTATCGACTATTGCTCGTTTATTTGGTAAAAATCCGATTGTTTGTTGGTGTGTCAATTATGTATAAATTATAATGTACCTAGCATGTACTCCGTATAACTACGGTAGAAAAAAAACTAGGGGCGCAGACAGCGATCGCTGCCTAGCTGCCTTGACTAGGCTGACACTGTATCATTGTAAACGAAGCAAATATGCTAGTAGAAAAGCTGTAATATTGTTTTACTAATACCTACGTTTCGTACATTTTCTCGTTTTTTCCCATTTATTTGAAAAACTCCTTGGATAATCAAAAAATGCTCTTCTTAATTAACCACCCCAGGCAAATTTTTTCTCAGAAAAAGTATTATCATTGTAAATCAGAGTAAACTTGCTGGTAGAGAAGTTATTTACAGGAAAAAAAAGGCCGTAATATTTGCTCCGTTTTTTCAACGGGTTCAAATTTGTTCACAAGAATTAAATTCAGTTGGCAGTCGTTCATTATCAAGTTACCGTTACATCTAGGGTTTTGTACTCATCAGTATCAGTTTTACTTTAAAAGGCCATACAATCAAGTATCAAATATTTTAATGCTTAAACTTTAAATTAAAATATTATTAGTATATACTTACAAGTGTATGTACCTACTTATTATTTAGTTGATTTAATGTAATAACAATAAAATAAAGTAATACCTATAATATGTAATTGTCAATTGATTTCATATTTCCATCATCGATTTATATTGTTCGATCAAACAGGATCTATATATTTCTTTAATTGCCATGCTTTATACTCGACGAAGTTTTTTTAAAAAATAAAATAAAAATTCAATACAGGAACACTATATTCGGCTCAGGAACGTGAAAAAGACGTTAAAATAATATGACAAACGAATCTGACTCAAATATGAATAAAATCTGAACACAACATCGAGACCGACAATTTTTGGCTCGCGGTTTTCGTTGATCGTGAATGAAAAAATTCAAGCCGAGCTGTTAAGATCATCGTTTAAGCACGCGAGCCGCTCGATGAGTGTTCACTCGTGCTCGCACTCATCGCTTAAGATACACTCTGTACGTAATTAAATTAATAAATAATATTATTTTTGTCAGAAAGATGGTAATATAAACTATTTCAAGTACCTATAATATTATTATTAGATGAAGTAACGAACTATAGTCATCGTAATCTTTCGGAGAAAGTCGGAAAGACATCAATACCTACCCAAAAATAGAAAAAAATACAAGTGAATATGCTTACATACGTATATCTACATACTTTTTAATATAAATTATACACAATTATTCAACTATTTTATATGAAAAAAAAGATGACACATTTTTTCATATTGTTCATTAACTTTATTTATATATATATAAAAAAATTAAAACGCGATTTCGTGGGCCTGCCAACCGTAGTGAAAGGCGTGGAGCGAGGGCTCCGCTCGCCTTGCCCTAGTGACGGCCCTGGTTACAGTGATAAAATGATACCTTATTCAAATTGATTTAAACTAATACAATTATTGTAATCCGTTCTGATATAATACAATGATTATTAAATGAGCTATAAAAAGTTTAGTTATAGTACTATATTTTTTTAGAATTATTGTGACTTTATACCATTTATTTCATTAGAATTATAGGTTTCGGTTTGTTTTATTGTCTGGGAAGCTGTGGCTACATCATTTTTCATTGAATTCTCAGCTGAGACTTCACCGTTTTGTATTGAATTCATAGCTGAGCTTGCATCACGTTCTACTGAATTCATAGCTGAGTTTGTACCACTTTGTATTGAATCCATAGCTGAGCTTGCATCACGTTCTACTGAATTCTTAGCTAAGCTTGCATCACGTTCTACTGAATTCATAGCTAAGTTTGTACCACTTTGTATTGAATTCCTAGCTGAGCTTGCATCACGTTCTACTGAATTCATAGCTGAGCTTGTACCACTTTGTATTGAATTCATAGCTGAGCTTGCATCACGTTCTACTGAACTAGGAATTGAAGATATATCAGATTGTAATTGACTACCAGTTGGTCCATTAATTATTCCTAAACATTTAAATTAATAATTAACAATTATAATATTATATCCTATCATTACAATATCTAATCTTCCTACGCCCACAGACTAAAATGAATCCAGGATAAAAAAATTTAAATAATGCACACTGGATAGAGCTACAACGTATATCATGCGTAGTCTGTGCTTGAAGCACACCTGTTCGGCCCCGATGAATCTATGTATTTATTGCAAATGCGTCAGAAACAAAATAGATAGCGCGGGACAGAATAGGAATCACAATTATTGTTTGTGCATGTGTAGTGGTAACATAATTGCGATTATATATAAATTATAACTCTATGATATAACTATTACCACATGCGCTATGATGACATCGGAGTCCAATTGTTATACTTTACAATTTTAATTCATAGCTCTATCCAGGGTATATTATCTAAGATACAAAACCACCGACCAAAAAGCCATGAGATAAAAATCCATGACACAAAAAAGCCACAGATAAAAATCCACAAAATAAGCTTTAGAGGTGTCTCTTCACATGCATCCAACTTTTAACTTTTGTTTGATACTATAATTTTTAGATTCGGAGCGTAGCGAGGAATGTATTGACTATTGGTTTTACTATGTGTATTTTTATTTTTTTTCTGTCTGTAAACAACTTTTCTTCGAGAAAACTTGCTCTGATCGAAAAAGATAACTTTTTGTTTCAATTTTACATATCAAAATTAGTAAATGTTCGCTTTTATTATTTTCGATTTTGTTTATTTGTTGTAATAAATGTAAAAATAATCTCGGAGACTCGAAATTTGCACAAAATACATACATTAGCATTTTCACAAGGTTCATCATAAGTTGTACTTAATTGGTCACAATCATCTTTCTGTTTAATTATTATCCTCATTAATTTAAAAACTGAAGTTAGAGTTGTCTTTGGATGAAATAAAAATAGCTCAATATACAGTAGGCGATTTAAATTTAAAAAATAAAAGCATAAGAATATGGGGGAAAAATTATTTAAAATATTCAATGATGTAAACGAATGAATTTTTAACAGCTATTGCTTATTAGCTTGCAATTAGCTTGTTTTAATTATTAATTTTTGTTTATTATTAATTATTCCCTATTATTGTAATTTATTTGCGTAAGAATAATAAATTTTAAAGTAAATAATATTAAATTGTTATACATTAACCCGTGTAGCTTATTCTGTATCTTTTTATCCTATGGATATTTTATCGGTGGCTTTTTTATCCTTTCTACCAGCTAGAATATTGGCGATAATCGATATGAAGTAGGTATTTTCAATTCAATATTGTCCCGATAGACGATAGACCCCAAATAATATAAATTAATTTTTCAAAATAATCCCTATCATCTTGTTACTCGTTATATTTTGTCACTACTATAGATCCAATTTATATCCGTACATTTGAAAAACTGCATTAAACAAAAAAAAAAAAAAACAATCTAGTGATTTGAAAAATAATTGAAAAAAGTTCATATTTTTTTTATTTAACACTATATTAGAATATGTTCTCCGAGATACATGTTTTAAATTAAAGTATTTGTTCATTAAAGTAATTATAATTTATATGATCTAAAAGATAAATGTATTAGTTAAATATTAGTGTAAATACGAACCATTTACACCTCGAGTAAACCAATTCCATGCAGAAGTTGCTTGTATATACATACTATTTCCCATACTTTTTGCAGTTTCTTCAGCCGAACCTACATATCCATAAATCAAATCCGAAGTTCCCGGTACTTGCTGTGGTAATGATGGTTGCGGTAGAAAATCCTGTGACTTAACTATCTATTTCGAAAATTAAATGATATTTAAGATTTTATTATTATATTTCACTCAATCATCAGTAGGAACCTAACTGTATTTTAAATGAAAGATCGTACAACTGAATAATTACTGAAGTACTATATATATAAATAAAAATAAAAAATTGTTTGTATTTCTTATATCATTGATAACTTACTTGAGAAGTAGCACCAATTAAAAACAAAAATACTAAAATCGACCTCATGGTAGGTACTTATTGAAGATTCGTTATTGTAATTACACTCAACAAACGTTGTTTAATATAGAGTAGGTCGGTACATCTGATCTGAAGGTATACGTATAAAATATTTATAAAATATCATATATTTTTTTTTAATATTCATACACACGGAATATTTTAAACACTTGTATAAACACACATTATTCAAAATTAAATCATATATATATGTATATATATTAAAAAAAACAAGTAATTTAAATACCTACTCCTAAATTGGCTCTTCTCCATTTGAAAAATTTAACAGTTGACAGTTGACATTAAAACAGATAACATTATAACGAAAATTTATAATTTTTATGAGAAAATTGCATACAGTAGTAAATATTACTTACGTATTTCCATGTAAACCCTATAAATTAATGTTTACAGCGGAAAATTTTTATATAACACCTATATATAATATATATTCACATAGGTATTTTTCTCGTGTACGAATTATAATATATTTTATCAGAGAGTTTTCTTTTTATTTAATCAAAAGAAAAACAAACGAATGGACTGCATACACAAATAAAATTTAATAATATTATATGGAGCGGAAACATTTGATTTATTCTGTCTTCTGTGCGTATACCAACGATATCATACAGTGTTTCGAGGAAATAAAATCTGTGCAAATGCATAGGCGCCCGAGGAGGGGAAGCAAGGTACGATATTTGTCCTCCCGGCTTTCCAAAATCTGTAAAATTAAATTTGAATACATAAAAGAAAGGCTATCATCATAAAAACATTCGATAAAATTCTCGATTTTTAGAACTTGTCAAGTTTTCCAGATACTATATGTTCCATCATATAATCGCACAGAAATTTAAAAAAATCAAAAGATGTTTTAGATATCTCGAAAGAAATAGAAATATTCTATCTATCAGTATTTTTGGAAATTTGTATTTGGTCTTTGTATACCAGCAACTACTGATCAATGGTCATTCAGCACGTTGCGAAGGATTAAATCCTCTACCATCAGTCCATAACTACCGAAAGACTCGATGCTTTATGCATGATGAATATACATTTATAAATAAGGTAAATTATTTAATAAGTAATAATAATTTGTATGATGAAATTGTTGGTCATTTCGGAAAATAAACAAGACAATTGCAATTTATTTTTGAGAATATTAGCCAAATGTAATCTATGCAATACAAAATATTACATTTTTTATAAACATATTACATACATAATGACGTATTTAAGTGAGTGTCAGTAAGTGTTCTATATTATTTATAACTATATTATATTATACTTTATGCTACATGACCCCCCCCCCTAGACAAATTTCTAAGATCGAACATACTTTACTCGATGGATGGGCCACTGTTGTAGGTAAGATATTGGAAAGTTAGGATATAGAGGGAAATTTAATGTACCTATATATGTAGTCTGCACGCAACGGTTTCTGAGACGAGTTTGGTAATACATGTTTCGATGTTTTACTACCTTATAATTAATAAATTGAAAATTATATATTTTGTAAATTTTCCCATTTATTATGAAAACTCTTAGGGCAATCAAAAAATGACCTCACTATAGTAAAGACAAATTTCCTTTCAGAAAAAGGTGCTCAACATTTAAAAATCAGAGAAAAATTTCTGGTAGAAACGTTGTTCACAGATAAAAAATAAATAAATAAACAATATTGTAAAATCAATACATTCCTCACTCCGTTCAGGATCTAAAAAGCTTCAAAAATAAAAATTGATTAGGAAAAAGTCGTAGAATTGGTCAGTTTTTAATAAATTTCTTAACATCTATTCGAGATTATTTTTACGAGAAATGTAAATGTAGCAAAAAGCATTAAAAATGAAGATTATGAGTTAGATAGAATATCTAAGAATAAAAAACCATAACTAAATTTCAAGCTGACGAGTAACGTGAAAACGAAGTTCATATAAGTGGACGTAATAAGTACAAAATAGAAATATACGTTGTTTTCCAAGTGGTTTTCATAATCGAACGATTCATATCAAACGAAAGAATTTACGAAATAATTTTTGTACATTTTCCAGCTTAAAATGTGTGACATGTATTATTTTTAATTTTGTTTTTTTATTGTAATTGTAATTCAGATAAAAATATTCATAGACTTGTAATCTGGTCTGACAACTTATGACATGTCTTTTCTAGATGTGGTACAATTTTCAAAAGATTTGTACCATTTTTGAGCTATTTATAGACATTCTAATTTTGCAAGTTTTTTACGTAGTTTTTATTCTGTAGGTATCTATTTTGGGGATAACAGGGTACTGCGTAGTGTAGTAAAATTTCAAAAATTAAAGTTTTTTTCATTTTACCAACATTTTATGTTATTATTTGAAATCAAATAAAAAATGGAAGAAGAATATTCCTCCGAAATTTTACGGAATAAAATTGACCGTAAAAACGGCTGTATCCCTTGCCTCTAAATGGATATCGGGCAGTAGATTTGTGATTTTCTTTATGGTGGTCATTCAAATATTTTAAATAATTTTCAAATTACACAAAATTGGAAACAATTTGGAATACACTTAAAAAAAAAAAATTATATTCCACGTGGTGTCATAAAAATGCAATCTGTTTTATTAATATAAAAAGGAGTATATAAAACTTGTGAAATTACAACTCATTTGTAGAAATCGATCCATTATAGTTTAGGCTCTATGACTGAAGGAACATATATTATATATACATAAGCTATATCAATATTTCTTTTTGATGCAAGGTTTTTTCACATATTGAATACCCTAATACCCGTTTTACGGTAAATATTCTAATATTTTATTGACACTTGGTAATAAAGACATCCATTTTCGTATAGTCGACACGAATTTAATGACTCCTTTTTAAATATTTGTAGACTTCAAATTTACACACAACCATGTTTGTTAATAATTTTTTTTTTTTTTTTTTTAAATAAAAAGGAACAATCTCAAATGTTTAAAACAGAATTTTTATTTTAAACAGTTAATTTTTTGACGACTTTATTTAACTGATAGCTACACTAGTTTTTTCACATATTTTAGTTTTAAATGATTTATGTACATTTTATTTTACATAATAATTATTTTATACGTAAGTACCTCACTTAATGAACAGTTTATAACTTTTCTAAGGTACCTAGATTATTATCTATTTTAATTATACAATTTTATATATTCAAGAAATTTGACTTTCAAATGGAATTTCGTTCTTATTGGAAAAACCATATAGCTGAGATTTAGTTGTTTAAAATAATGTGAATCATAAATTCAAAAATTTGAGAGTTAAATAAAAGTATTTTTTACGTTTACAACGACCGGGAGCAGCGGCGTGCTCCTGTAAACCGGCGACCCGGTGGTCGGACTGCGTAGATCGGTTTTGGTGGGGGAATGATCGGCTGTGTTCAGACAATCGATTGCACGACAAGGGAGAACCATCAGCTTCTGTGCAATCCGTTGGTCGTGAAACACTAATTCGTATAATACTGTATGGTATTATTACCAAGAACGAATAGCACTATACAGTAATATACGTACTGGTGTTAAATGTATCCCTCGTAGTTAATACGTTGAACTGTGATCCGTTAGTTTGGTGGTCAAAATCCCGTCGTTGCACCGCCGATCGGGATCCCAGGCGTCAACCATATCGAGATCGCAATCTGAAATTTTTTACGTTTTTTTTTTCTCAAAAAAGGTTGAGCAAATTTATACAATCACGTTAATTCGTTATTTTTTTCCTGTGGAGAACGGCAATTAATTTATAATGATAAAAATTTTTCTAAAAAGAAATTCGATTAGAGAGGATACTTTGGAGAACACATTTTTCGATTTTCTCAAGAGAAATTTATGAACAAATTTGGAAAACTGAATAAAAACAGGAAGATCGGTACATTTAAACAAATATTAATAAAGAAAATATATAATGCCTATTTAATTATTTTACCATAATATGACATACATATTGTTAACAAAACATCACTATCTGAACTGCGCTCAGAATCGTTTTTTCGTTAGCAATCGTTTATCGTTGCTTTTGGTATTTTAATAAAAATAACCATTTATTACTATTATAACCATATATTATTCATATCATATTTATATAAATGTACAATTTAATACAATAAACAAATATAATAGTAAAAACATAAAGAAGAGATAATGAAAAAAAAAGATCTGCCTTATGTCTAGTTACAAATACATATATACATATAGTATATAAGTATAGTTGTTCACAGATATTTTGTATTTTAACTAATTAAAGTTGCTTATAGGTGGTAAACATTAAATTACCTATAACAGTGGGTGCACCCACTGGTGCCCCAAGTTCATACATATTTAAAATACATAAATATTGCTACATAATGATAGATGTCAGCCACTTCGCTTCCAACCGCGAATTGAAGAATTGACCGTGGCGCATTGGGTAACGCCTTACTCATAGTAACTGAGGTACCGAATCAGATACCGTCCAACGCACAGTAAATTTTTGCACTTTTTTTTGTAAAAAAAAACACGCGATTAATTTCCGTATGTGATTTAAACATTTTTATTTTGCCCCGAGGCTCAAACCAATCGATTTGTTTTACCTGTACGTTACCTACTGGACGTGGTTTTGCACAACAAATCGTGTTATTTTCAATTAAAATAGTCCGAGCAAGCGAGTGACCTGGCCAGGTTTCTAGGTGGACCCAAAATGCATGTTTTCCAAAAAAACTAAGAGTGTCCGGTAAAGTAATAAACCTTACACTGATATAAAGTAAACTAGTGTATAATATACCAATACACTGTCTATGGGTAAAGTACACTTATACTACTGTGGTTATAAGTGATAACAAACTTACAATGATAAGAAAACTGTATCAATGGCTAGTCGTGATAACAGATTCTGAAAATGAGCTCCTTCGCGTATGGTTGTATCTTTAGTCGCGATCGTAATGGTTGTGTGCTTTTAAATTAGGCGAGAATATAATAATCTCACATAATATTGTAACATAACATTATTTTGAAAATAATATTTTCACGGACAAAGAGCTCACTAAGCATTTTCAATGATCATGTGATAACACTTATAACATAGCTCGGTGGGCAACCAGTATGTTATATTGTTATCATATACACGTCCGTGCCCGCAACCACGATTTAAAATATAATATCTACAACCGTGCCCGAAACTAAAATAACTATCTCAAATTAGAATATATTTCTTTATAAATATATATTTAATATATTTTAATTCGTGGTAGGTATGTTACTATGGTATACTGCGGACGAAATAAAATACAAATTTATTAATTTTTAAGACTTATCGCCATCTGTCGAGAATTGTATCCTATTATTTTAGCGCAGCGTATTGCAGTGAGCTATCTATTAACTAATAACTAGGTACTGTATATAGCATGGCTAAATATATAAGTATTATCACAACTTTGTAATACACAGATACAATGGACGCCACTGGCAGTGATTTCCGTTTTATTTCAATCTAACTGGTAATATATTTCACTGCCAACTGAGTTTTCTCTTCGTGAAAAGCTATGGAATAAACAGTTGTGATCATACCTATATATTTAACCATGGTATATAAGTAATAATATAAGTAATCAATGGCTATTTACGTTTACTTTTTTTTTCCCCATTTTCGATCGGGACTGAGGGGTGGGACAGAACTCTGTTATTTCATCCATACTTGTCTATGATTTCATCCTCACTCCTCTCCAGTCTCGTAATTTATTCGTTTTAACAAATACAAATACAAGTAGCCCGTAGATGAGTGGAAGACAGTCTCCTCCAGTCGTGCCCTTTACGGCTTACAATATCGTTAAGTCGTTCTTTAATACCTAACAATCATCTCATTAATACAATAAAACATTCTAATTTCCAAACCGCTTTGCTCATAACAGTCAAAATACTTTCTATTAGTTTTTCTTTAAGTCAATTTACAAAAAGACTGTCTTGACTTAGAAACTGCACTAAAAACTGCCTCCGCTGTTCAAATAAAAATTCAACATATTCGAGAAAATTGTGATGAAGAATTTCAAAAATTATTTCTTCTATTGATAATATTTGTAAAAAAATTGAAATAACTATAAGCTTGCCACGTCAAAATAAACGTCAACAATATTTATTCTTTTTTTGGATCAATGAAACGACCGGTTTTTAACAGAAGTCCATTTTTATTAATTTGGGCGCATTTTATCTAAAAAAGGAATGAGAATATCCCAAGAAACAAGAGATATGTTTAAAGAATTAGTTGAACCATACCAAGAAATACTTGACGAATGCATGTTAAATGGAGAATTAGACTTATGATACAATAGCTATTTTGCATCTACCGAAGAGAAAATAATTGCTGTGGATCGTTATTTGAATACAAATCCAGATATATATCGGATGTAATCGGTTAAATATTTATCCGTTTAGGTATATCAAAACTTTTACAAATTTTCGTAATACTACAGTGTCTACTACAATAGGAGAACGATTATTTTCGACTCTACGTCGCTTGAAAACTCATACAAGAAATTCCACTGGCCAAAACCGTTTAAATGATTTAGCCTTAATGAATATTCATCGTGAAATTAACGTAACTACTAACGACGTCATTAATAAATTGGCAAAAACATCTATGAGAAAACTTTAAATATATTTATAATTAATAAAAAAAAACTATGTACCTACTTATTGTAAACTTTAAACAATAATTTAGTTACTTAAAATAATAGTTTTTAAGAACATATAAATTTCAAAACCTGATTGTTTTTATCTCTAAATAAATAAATACAAAAATCACATACTTACATATTAATTTGATATTCTTGTACAATTTCGCCTATTGCAAATAATTTTCCAACCTCTTAATAAGTTATATTGTATGTGTTGGAAGTATTTAGAAGTGTAAGTGGAGAAATGAAACGGAAAGAATAAAATAGATATTTCCATAATAAATTGTTTCATTTCACAACAATACCGATAAGACATTGTTCTGAACTGGCATCGAATCATGAAATATAATATATACAATAAAATGCAATTTATGTTTTCCATAAAAACATAAAATATTATTTTCATATGTTGCCTGTTGTTTGTTTTTAATCAAATTCGACTGGAAGCAGTATTCTATAACGAGTAAGTTATACTAAATTACCAGACTCTATACCTTGAATACCTACCTAAATACCTTTACAACTGAACAGCTGTTATACCTATATAAAAAAAACTTTAGAGGCATGAGTTTATAGAACAAAAAAAAAACTATATTGAATTTAAAAATATTAAATATTTATATTTGAAGTCATGATTTTTTCCTACAAATTGCATAGCACATTTAAAAGATGATTATGATTATGTGTATTCTAAATGCACAGTTTAAATGATAAGTGTAAATGTTTAATAAATTATTGATTAACAATAAATTAGACTATAGTACACATGCCTTTTAAGTTATTCAAATATCTGGTTACGAATAAATTATTTTTAATTTTATTGTATTTTACAATTTCCAATATGCTTATTTTAAAATATCGGGGAAAGGTCGCCACAAAGAGAAATGAAAACTTAATTTTTAAATAATTATTTTATTCTAAAAGGTACCGAATTCTAATATGTACAGATATATTCCAAACATACTCAGGTTTTATAGTACCAGGTTACTCATTTAAGTGGGTAGTAACACTCATTATCTCGGAAAGTATTAACTTTTTCCGAAATTTGTTTTTTAGAACATTTAAAAAACAAGCTGCTCTATAATTTTATATTTATGTTATTTTTTGTCGTCCATATTTTCGATTGTAAATCCACTGTCTACTTTTGATTTTCAAATGGGAACTGATACTAAAGTCCATAAACAGATGTAGTATTAGTTAAAATAAATTTAAATTTTTAAATTTTTGATTTCTGTCAAGCCATTGACGAGATATTTTACTTTTAAATTTGGGTTGTAGTAGAGTATCATTTGTGTGGCAGTACGGCACGGGGTGCATGAATAACGCACCATCATCCAATATCCTAGTTTCTACCTTTTCTGATGATACATATTATGTTGAATTTCAATAATGGTCATAATTTTTGTTTATTTGACCGGAATTGAGTGAATCTATAGGTCCAGAAACTCGCACAGGATTTTTTTATTTTTCATTTATACCAATATTATATAATTTATTTTGAGGAGGTTAAACCTCTATAATCTTCACCTCTGGTATGCCACTGTATAGACGCCACGCTTTTAGCTGCTACAGGCCACAATTAAACTTTACAATGGCCCTAAGTATTGTGAAAACAGATCCCTCACTGCTGTCGGTTATAAGTTTTAACATTAAAAAAAAAAAATTCTATAAAAGTGGGGTGAGACTAATTATGTTGTATGGTTCAGAATATTGAAAGGTAGATAGTAAAATAGATCAGAAAATGAGTCTAGCAGAGATGAGAATACCTAGGTGGATGAGTGAAGTGACGAGAGAACATAGGATAAGGGATGAAGGGATGAGTACATAAAATGTACCTTAGGTGTGGCTTCAATAATAGACAAAATTAAAGAAAATAGATTATAGATGTTTTAGGCATGACACGGAGAAAGAGAGGAATCTGAAGCAATAAGAATTGTAATAAAAATAAACATAAGAAGAAAGAGGTTAAAATCTATATTACAAAAAGCCGATACAGGTCACATTAATATTGTTGACAACATTTAAATTTATGATATTTTAAAATTGTTTATATCTAAAACAATACGTATACTCTAAACTTTTTTGGTGAATTTATTTACTTACTAAGTAAAACATACGGGATATATTATTATATTAGCAACATTATTTATTAGTAAAATAATTTTAACAATTTTGCTCCGTATTTTTACAAATTACTTTGCTTTGCCTTGTGCAGCAACAGCTTCTATTGCCTTTTTAACTGTTTCTTCATCACCCAAAAACTTCATTGAAACCACAGGTTTAAAGTTCTCATCTAACTCGTATTCAAATGGTATACCAGTTGGTAAGTTAAGGTTCATGATTTGGTCTTCAGTCATATCTGTAAATTATTTGTATTATAATTTGTAAGTAATAATTTTATTTTATGAGATGTATTCATTCAACAATTATTTATGATAACATGACACAGGGAAAGTGTTAAAGGGATTTAATAATTAATCAGTAATGTGTAATATATCATACAGCTTTATTGACATTATCTGCCAATAAGTTTATTGATTCATCAGTGTTTATTTTTTCTTAGTATTGACTGTACTATTTAACAGAATGAATCAAAATTTCAGAATAGTTTACATTGGTATACTAATACACTGTTGAAAGTTATGCAATATGATATCCTCACATAAGAATGTTACTATATTTCGTGTCTATCAAATCTTAAATAATTAATTATAAAATTAAATCGAGCAAGAAGCATAGTGGACCTAGTACCTGTAACTATAAAGCAAGATTGACTGTTTTTAAGTGGTTATTTTTCAAAACCATAAGCTTTATTAGATTGAATGGTCAACAGTCAACTGATAGCAGTAAGATGTATAATAATACAATAGACAAATTATGTGGTAAAAACTAAAACAAATGTGAATCTAATAATAAAATACATATTACACTTATTACCTATTTCTTATCATTATTAAATCTAATTACTAAGTAATTCACTAACATAAACAACTCATAATTGAATAATAAAATCAAATTAAAATAAAAAAATTCTGTTGAAATGGTAAATTTTATAAATTACATGAATACATTATTTAAATGTTTGAACAGTAGAACATTGGTGACAATAACTTGTATAGAGGTGAATTGACAGACAAAGGAATTTGTAAAACTAATTGTATTAAATGATTTGAAATATCGGCATTCATTCATTATGCTATTTACCGAACAGTGGTAGTTTAGTATGCTAACTACTGTATAAACTATTACTTTGGAATTAATATCAAATTTTATTATATCTCTAAATATTCTATCATTGAAATTAATTTAATTAATTAAATTAGACTTTTCATGACAAAAATGAATCAACTGAGTTTTTTGTATCGACATATTATTAAAATGAAAAAATGTGAGTATGCTTTTTAAAAAAACTATGGTTTATTACCTAATAAAAAACATCTACTAAAATTAAAAACTAAACAATTTGTAGTGGTGAATTGAATGAAGTTATTAAAAATAATAGGAAACAGGATTCAGAAAAATTGACAAAGTAGAAATACTGCATTATAAAGATAAGACAATTTGTATTTATAAATCGTATACTAAATCAACATAAATTTACAGTAGATAGCATACCTATTGAAAGAGAACCAAAGTATTGAAAAAAAAAAAAGAAAATTAAATAAATATTTAAATTAATATCCCAATGAATACAAACAAACCATAAATGTGTGATTAGTGCAATTAATTTTTTTGGAAAGTAGAAAATTTAAATTTATATTTTGAGGGTAATACCAATGTACGGTTGCCTCTATCCTGTCTTCTTTTTCTTCCTGAACTTATCACATTCACTTATTGTAATACCTAATTATAGATTGTATATTTATTTTTATAATACCATTTATTATAATAATAAAAAAAAAAAAGTCCTATTGCAAAAACTTTAAAAATATTATTCAGAAGTACCTATATATATGTCTTTTTAAAGTACATATTGATAAAATATTAAATATTAAATAAATATTAATTTTTAATTTTTCAATTACCTAAATAAACAAATATTACCGTAAAATAATTTTAAAAAAAGATGGGTTTCAAGTACAGAATACTAATTACAATTATAATCAGAAAGATAAAAATAATTATGCTTATAAATATTGAAATTACTAAATCATTAGATATCTAGAATGAATATTATATTTTTATTAGTTATGCTTATGTTATTAATTTAAGATATTTACGTTAATTTCTATAGTCATAAATAACTCAAATATTTTTTTATTTTTTTATGGGGGGGGGNGGGGGGGGGGGGGGGAAGCTGAAAATCCTATTATATTGATTATGTGAATGTACTTAATATTTATTTGTTAAAGAATTAATTTGGAAGGAATAATCTCCCCCAGACTTCTCTAATTTGCACCTATTTTAAATTATGTAACACACTTACTTAATACAAATATGTAAATAAAAAATAGAAAGCTAAATGGATATATCAAATCAAAATTATGGGAGCAATAAATAAATAACTGTTAAAAATTCATAGGAATCAATTAGGTTACCGATCATTCATAAAAAGATTCAAAACATTGCATTTATTGGGATTAAAATGTCAATACTTATTTAAAAGGATACACCTTAAATTAAAACAAAAAGTTTTATTTTTGAAATGAACACTTACTATCTAAATGTTTAACTATGCCTCTAAGACTGTTCCCATGAGCAGCTATCAAAATGTGTTTTCCTTCTTTCAATTGTGGAATAATTACATTATTCCAGTATGGCAAAGTTCTTTTAATTGTCAATTCTAATGATTCAAACATTGGGAACTCGTCTTTGGGAGGTCCATCTTTATAACGGGAATCATTTACAATTTGATCATAGTAAGCATGATCTTTTTCCATAGCAGGTGGAGGGGTATTAAAACTACGTCTCCATATTTGAACCTGAAGGTACATTACATAAATTTATGAGTATGTAAAAATAGCAAACAATTTAATAATTGATGTGATTATTACCTGCTCTTCACCATACTTAGCTGCAGTTTCAGATTTATTGAGTCCAGTTAGACCACCATAATGTCTTTCATTTAAACGCCAAGTTTTTGATATCGGAATGTCCTCTTGACCAAGTTCTTTTAGAATTGCACATAAAGTATTTTGTGCCCTTGTCAACACAGATGTATGAGCTACATCAAATTTGTAATTGCCTTGTTTCAAAGCTTTACCAGCACTAGCTGCTTCTTCTTCACCTGTTTAATACACATTATTTATATTCCCATTTAACCAAAATTTAAAAATAAGACATCCTAGGATAATTGGTATGGGTACAGCCACTGTTATAGAAAATTTAATGTATACCTATAAACAATGATAAATCATTACTTCTGAAAAAACGATTCTAAGTGGAGTTTAGTTGATAATGGTACTTTGTCAAAAATATGTCATTTTATAGTAAAATAATTAAATAGATATGTATTTTCTTTAATTATATTTGTTTAATGGGCCGTTTTCCCTATATTTTTTCTTGGTTTTTCATATTTGCTGGGAAAACTTTTGGGGAAATCGAGAAATGACCTCTTTGAAATACCTCCCTAATGAAATTATCTTTAAGAAACATTGCTATCATTATAAGTTGGATCAAAATTACTGGTCGAAAAGTTGTACACAGGAAAAAAAATTTTAATATTTTAGTAATATGTTTTTTACATATTCCAGTTTTTTTTTGGTTTTTCAAATTTGATTAGGATTCCTGAGAAAATCGAAAAATAACCTTTCTAAAATACTTCCCCACATTGATTTCCTTTCAGGAAAGGTGTTACACTTAAAAATCTGAGCAAATCTTCTGATAGAAAAATGGTTCACAGAAAAAAAAAAAAATAAATAAATATCTTTGTAAAACTATAAGCTTTTTAGTCCTACTCAAAATCTAAAATACATACAACATTTTAATACCTTGGTATGTTTTTGTCAGAAAATATATTAAATTAAGTACAAACCTTTGCAACTCAATAAAGCATCATACCATCCACAGAATAAGTTTTTTTGGTTCCATTCACTTTCACCGTGTCTTACCATTACAACCTTGTACTTGGCCATCGTTTTTTTAAAAAGATTTGGTAGTTTGGAAATCTTAAACTTTATTAACGAACTTCTGAAGGTGAAATGAGAATTCCTATAACCTTGTAAATTGTGTTTGCTAAAAGAAAAATACTCGTAAATGAAACTATGATGTCAAGTGACTGATAACCATAGAGAATAACATGGTTATATATTATATGCTTTGCATGAAGCCAAACTATATTCTATGCTGATAACCAAAATAGTAAGTGTTACCAAAATTAAACTTTAAAATATCTTAGATTCCTACACAATTATACTTCTTTAAATCATATATTTTAATCGTTTCAAAAATACTTAAACTAGAAAATATAAATGATGTTTAATATTTATTATCCCTTTTGATTATTTTTTTATTTTTAACTTGTTTTTCAATTTAATTTTTGATATATTTTTATAATTAACTTATCAATTAACAATAATTTTACGGATTAAAATAATATTTGCATTATCGTAATTTCTTATATTTCTCTAAATTTGTATTTATTTTTAGTCGGGCTTAAAAATCGGCTACCTCGACTAAGGCACTATTACAGTATCCAATCTCGACTTGTTAATTGTATTGGACTGTACGTAACTGCAGTGTTCTCATCACTACACAACGTATATGATTTAATACTAAACTCTTAAAATGGTTTTCCAGCCCGAGAAGCGCTTCGACCGAACTGTTTTAAATTTAATTTCTCTTATTATCTTTAGGTGAAATCAAATTTTGTAACTGGAATGGCGGGATTTATTCTATTTTGAAACGGTTTCCAATCAGTCATCTCGGCCGTATAACTAACTATATATGTGGTATGTTATTACTTACAATTTTTTTTTGAGTTTACTTCACATCGATCATTTGCTCATATTTATTGCCTATCTACCGCCTAAATAACAATATTTACGCAGTTTGGGAACAACCTGGACTCTCTTATCAAATATTGCTAGCGGCCAGTTAAACAAAATACAAATATTATATTAACACTTTTTTGTTATCGAAGTCTATTTGAAATTTAATGTATTTTTTTAACTTGAATTACTTTAAGTTTTGAATTCAATATGAATGAATCAATAGATTACAAGAAATTTATCAAAGTTAAATATAACTGGCAGTCCAATGTTGATGGAATGGACATCGAAAATATTGTAGTAGCCCGTCTTCAACAATTCGAAGACAAAACCGCTGAAATGTAATCATTTTAAACATTTTTATAAAAATTTGAATAATGAATTTCTACCTACCTTTTATTATTAATTTGTTTTGTTGTAGTGACTTTTTAAGTTTAATAGAAGGATCGGATTGTGTGAATTTTACAAAACCCCTAGACCAAAACAACTTATTCATAAATATTAATTGTGATCCAAAATATTTAATTAGTAAAATTATTTTGAGTTCTGAGGTAAATTTGTATACTTTATTAGGTATTTATTGTAAATTTACTAAACAAATTATATATTTAATTTTAATCATTTTCAGGCCAAAATCATAGAATTATTTGGTAAGACTGGAGAATATATCTCAACACATCTTATGTTATCCTCAAATGATATTAACGAATTTCCAATCAACTCTCATTCAATTAAAGTTAATAGTACAGAATGCAGTTTAAAATTTGAACAGTTAAAGTATCCTGATTTTATTTGGATTTATGGCATAATTATTTATTTAATAGAGACAAAAGAACATTCTAATAAATCTTTAGGTCCTATTAATATGCAGAACGTTCAAAATTTATTGAATCCAGATTTATTAGTTACAAACGCTTCAAAGTTATTAACTGCATTAAGTCTAAAAAAATCAAAATCTGACAGTGATGATTTTTTAAACTCTATTTTGAATAAGTTTGAAAACGCTAAATTGTCAAATAGTGAAAATGATAAATTATTGAATAGTTTTAAACAATTTGAAACAAGAGTAGAAGACAAGTTTAACAATATGGCACTTCAAATTAATACTATTGGGAAGAATATTGAAATGTTAAATTCAAAATTTGATACATTATTAAATATACTTCATGAAAAAAAGATATTGTAAAATTACATATATATTTTGTTAATTTTTAATATACCCGATTATATTATAATATAATAGTTTAATTAATTATTATTTAATATTCATATTAATAATCAATTATAATGTTTATTTTTGAATAATTATTTATAACTTTTTATAGTGTTAGATAGGCTATTAAGAACTTTTACATGTTTCTTCTGAATTCTAGTTATCTAAATCTATGGCATTTTCTATTTCCAAAAACTCACTAATGTCCTTGAACACTTGGTTTGTGTATGTTAATTATATTTATATAGGTTTTAGCGTTATTAAGAAATAAATCAAACATATAAATGTACCTAACTTTAAATATAATAGATAGAACCTATATAATTTGGAGATCTATACTCATTTGATTTATACAAATATACATAAGTGATGACCACAGAGAAAACATACAATTTTTAGAATAACAACAATGATACTACTTAGGCCTGAATTATACTTATTAAGGCCTAATAATTATAATAGTAACTAATATATTACTGCTTTATTATTTTTTATAACCTTTGACTTGATTTAATATAAAAATTGTAGACTGTCACCTCATTATTCTAAAACAGTGTTTCTCAACCATTTTTTACTCAACGCCACTTATAATATTGTTTTTCATAATAGTAAATCATTTTTAAAATGAAAATCACAGTAGAATTGGCCTCTTAAGTAAAAAACTCCCGTCAAAATTAAAAAAATCCAAAAGGGGGGTAAAATCCCTAGGTTCCCAAATCGCTGTTTTAAAATTACTAAGGAACAACAATGACTACTGTGTAGATTATTGTAAATTAAAAGATGTTTTTGGAATCTTTGGAGTACCTGCAGTAATTTCAACCAACAAATGAATAAAATTATGATTTGTAAAACAATGAAGTTGGAATTTAAACACCTCAAGAACAGGGAGAACTATTAAATAATAATTAATAAGAATGTCATGACAAATTCTCTACTTAAACCATGAACTGTGTAGTAGTCAGAAATGTAATGAAGAAAGTTAACTTGATATTAAGCAGATAAATTTATTAAACCAAAAAGTTTAATTTAAATGTACTTTTTGTCCTTTTTTCTATTTTTATACATAATAATATATATACATTTTGGAGGATGGGAGATAGGCTTTGACAGCACTCTTAGAAAATATACTTAAAACGCCTATAATCGTTATGAAAAAAATCATATATTGTATTATATTTATTATTTATTATAATGTATACAATTTAATAAGTCTATACAGATTATGAGTTATTAAATTTTTAACAAAACTAAATGTTTCTTCTATAGAAGTATTATACATAATAATATATTTAAGTTTAAAATAAATGGCTGTACTCACAAATACTACAAAGAAAGCTAATATTAAATGCAAAATTATAATTTTGTTATAAATCGATAACAAATAATATGATATAAAATTATGAAAATAAAGACTAAATCAATCATACAGTTTTATTCCCTAATAAATAAACACATGTTTTAAGTGTCTTAATATATTATTGTTGAAGGTTTTTAAAAAAAAATAAAATAAAATTATAATTAATATTTAACTATATGAAAAAAAAATTTTAAAAAAAATGCCAAACATTTAATGAAATATCAGTTACCATAAATAATTATTAACTACAAATGAATAGACTTTTTATTTAAAGTACTGTTATTATTATCTATAAATTGTAAAATTAAGAACAATTTGTTCTAAAATTCAAAATGTATAGCTTATTAAAAAGTAAAAATTTATTGAATAGTCAAAATATATTATAAATGAAAAATGTATAAATATTACATTTCTCAAGTCTCTGTTTTTATGTTTTCAATCTCAATTGGATCATGAGAAGAAACTGCTTCATGATTCACCTGTGATACAGTTTCAGACAATGTTTTAGTAGACAGTGGTGTTAATGGTCTTGAATCAGATGCTTGAGAATTTGAATCTAGACTTGTCATTGATCCATGCCTTTATTTTAAAACAAACATGTCAACGTAAATATGAAACTAATATTGAAATACATGCAAAATAAATTAATAATAATAACGCATGAGTACAAATTTGAGCTGGAGCATGTAGTCAAGGCATCATCATCTTCAGTTTTATTTTCAGGATCCCAACAATGTAACTTAACACGCCAGCTTTTGACTAATCCATCCCATGCTCTACGAGTGTACTTTAAATTTTTTGGAGGAGTTTTAGGATGCTCTTTTCGACGTTCATTTCTAAAAAATTATAACTTATAATAAAAAATATATTTCATTTATAGAAGACAAATAATCATACTTAGGAATCTCTTCTAGATACTTTTCATATCCTATGGTATTTTTACCAAAATCAATTTGTTTTTGTCTTCTTTGTAAAACTAACGGATCTGTTTCAAGGCCCAATTTAGTTCTATAACAATAATATGAATTATAACTTAATGAAATAGCATTGTATAGATTTACTTGATGATACTATAATGCGTTAAGATAAAAACTATAAAAGTAAGTATAATAGTAAAGTTTTGATTATACCAATGGATTAAGCATTTTAAAACCTTTTGAGGGGAAAAAAAATTACACGCAAAAATACACATTTTGAAAAAAAACCAAAAATTGTATGGGAGCTAAACTAAAATAGTTCCCGTAATTTTTATTTGCAATGGATAAAATTGTTAGAAGTTACAGAATTAAATGAAAATTGAACAGGTGATTCATTATAAGTCGTACTTTGAAGTAAAAAAAAAAAATATATATAGTATTTTTTTTAAAATATATATTAAATTTTGATGTAAATATTGCGATCTTTCAAAACATGTATAATCAGTGTCGGCCTGGTTATTGAAGGGACTAGGCAGGATTTTTTTTAAGGGCCCTTCAATTTTTATTTTTTAAGAGTTAATACAAATTGTAATTTATTACAAATTAAAATAAATGTCACCTTTGTATATATTAACTTTAGTATAAAAGTAAATATTAAAAAGACGTCCTAGGATAATGGGGAAGAGTGCAGTTAGTGCTACTGGTAATTTAATGTATATCTAAGCAACGATAAACCATTGCTAACGAAAAAAAACGATTCTGAGCGGAGTTCAGTTGATAGTGATGCTTTGTCAGCATATGCTAATTTGTCATATTATAATAAAATAGTTAAATGGGCTTTATATATTTTCTTTAATATTTGTTTAACGTTGTACCAATTTTCTTATGTTTTTTCTTGGTTTTTCACATTTACTGGGAAAACTCTTGGGAAAATCGAAAAATGACCTTTTTAAAGTACCTCCCCAGTCGAATTACCTTTTAGACAAATTATACTATACAAGTGTTAATATTATGAAAATTATCGTAAATGTAAAAATCGAATAGTGCATGGAATCTACGTCACTATATTATGAGAACAGGCAGTTTATTTCCGAACATTTTTGATTATTGTTGAAACATATTATACTTGTACTTTGCCAGACGGTTGATATTTGGTGGAAGAAGTTTGAGGTTATTATATAGGTATCAATATTTTTCCAAACTACAAGATTTTATCTTATCAACTATTACTTGTTTATTTGAAAAAAATCCAATTGTTTATTGGTGTGTAAATTATTTATAAATTATAATGTATACCTATGTACTCTGTGTATCTATGGTAGAAAAAAATGGATAGGGGTTCAGGTAGTGATCGCTGCCTAGACCAGGCTGATACTGTGTATAATCGAACTCCACTCAGAATCATTTTTTATTAGCAATGATTAATTGTAGCGTACAAATATGCATAAAGTTTAATTCTATATCTTATCTTTCAAACTTCTCACCTACAATAGTGGCCAATTGAAGTCTGGCTCTTGGGTTCAAAAAAAAAAATGTATACATTCATGTTTCACATTACATAAAATAATGTAGAATATTAAATTAAAATAAAGTTGCATAATGTATCATGTAATAAACAATGCATAATTGGTCTCTTTGCTACTTATTATAAAACTATTACATAAAATTGTAAATAAAAACAGTGATCATACAGCTGTAAAACCATACAGTACCACGAAAAGTAGTCGGAAAATTCAAAAATCAAAATTTTAACCACTTACTGATATTTAAGGCTATACAAATCATTAATCTATTTATTGTTTTTCGATATTTTGACACCGCTGTATTGATAATGAAATCATACTGCAGCAGCCATAAGACCTGTGTAAACAATTCTGAGAAAGGAAATCTCACATATTATTGCAGGAAAATGAAAAATGGATATTCTGATTGCATAACATTAATCAAGTACAGGAGGGGAAGAGAAAATATGGTACTGATTTTTCAATATTTTGTTTTTAAACCCAAGAGCCAGACTTCAACCCTATTTATGTTATCATTTGGGCACTTTTTCCATAAATATTATGTGTGGATAAAGTAAATCATTTAAACATGTTTTTTTAAATTTTTAGCATGATAATGACATAAATATGTTTTATATTTTTGTTATTGTTTGATTTTATTATTTTCAATAAAATTATACATACTTGGGAGGATTTATAACAGAATCATGTACATTTTTATGTTCTATAGAAGTTCTGGTTACTTTCTTAACTTGTTCAGGCATTACAGAAACTACAGATTCGCATTCAGAAGTTAATCTTCTTTTAGCATGCAATAAATCTTTTTTAAGAATTTCTTCTTTGGAAATTTGGTCCGGTTGTTCAGGCTTCATATAAGGTGATTTTATGAACTCAGTTATCGGGAATGGGCTACAAATAGTGTCTTCATTGATATTAAGGTTTGTGTTGGACAAAGAAGAATCATCGCACTCTTGTTTAATCGGTGTCACCATATGTACATTGTTCATAAAAGAGGTTAAACTAAGATCATCTTGAGAGTTAACTTTAACGTCTTCCTTTTTGATAGGTTTAAAAACCATATCGTACAAATCGTCTTCGTCTTTCACGCTTACATCATCGTTCTTCAACGGTGAGTCAACATCTCCCTGTGATTGCGAGGACTGCGAACTGTCACAAATATCGGCCCAACTCTTGTTTTTAATATCAGTCATTGTTGATTTTAATTTTCGATTTACGCTGGTCATAGCTAAATACCACAGATAATGTATTCTGTGATAGTACTAAAATATAACAATTATAATAGTTGAAAAATATCTATAAACAGCGATTGAAGCAGTCGAAAAACTAAATGTTATTAACACTTAATAGAGTCTATGTTAACAAGTACGAAGAAAAAATAGCGATTCGGAACACAAATTTTACTTGCATATATGTACATAGAACTGAACTAGATAACTAAACATTGATCAATGAAAAGATAAATAAAAACACAATACGATTACAACGTTCAACATATAAACATCACATTTACAAATTACAACTAAATGGTACTTAAAATTTACAATTCATGTATCCTATAAAATGTTCCAAACTTATAATAATACACGATTTTGTGATAACGTAAACAATACATCATGTTATAGAGGTAAACAAAATTAGCGGGAAATCGGTATTCTTCCAGTACAGTTTCACCAATGTAATTTTCGTTTTTTGATCAAAATCTCGAAAATTTGTTTGAATCACGATTAAAAATCGTAAATTGTGGTTTCAAATGTCATTTATCGGCATAAATAATTTAAATACATATATGTTTATATGTGTTTGCTAGTGTAGAGTCATTTTGAACTTTTGAAGGAGTCGGTGAGAATTGGTAATATTAAGATTCTATATCGTCAACACTGTTCATTAAATCCAAACAACTCGGCCATATTTATTATCGACGTTTTGTTGTTGTTTCTCGAGGTGTTCACCGGGTATGTTGATATTTGCGTAGACTTTTTTCAAAGTTTGCCCGTTTTTGGTACCTAAATTTTCTTCGTTCAATTATTTGTTACACAGCATTATAATGTTGGCCTTGGGTCCGAAAAAGGACGGTAGTCCGAATGTAAAATTTTTCGAATCGCCCGAAACACTAAACATGTTGGAGGGCGTTAGGACGTGGCTAATGAAAAATCATAAAAAGGTAACGTACCCAACATCGTTTCTAATTCTCAGTAATTGTATTATGTGAGTGCACAGTTATATATTTAGAAGTTATCTACATGTTAAGGCATCTTTCTGAGAGATATGTAAACAATTTTTTAACTATAACTATATGTAATGTGTGATGAATGCAATTTTTAGTATCTCCAAGCAGATCCACCGACCAACAAAATACTCGCTACTTTGGTCTTGCAGTTGATTCAGTTTCAAGAAGATAATCTTGGCAAAAATGTTAGCAAACCACCACTCACTCGCCTGCCCGTAAGTGTTTAAATGTTTCTTATTTATTTTACTGATATGACCGACAATATTAATGTTGTGTTCAGTACACGTCCAAAATAGATATGGTAATTAATACTTTAACTGATTATGATATCTTCTTAGATACGTTGTTTTATGGATTTCAAACCAGGCGGTGCTTTGTGCCATTTGCTGGCTACCGTGTACAAGTTTAAAGTGGAACAGGGTTGGCGAAGATTCGATTTCCAGGTCAGTAAGGTATGATTTGGCGAGACGAGCCTTCATTTCACCTCACCACTAACCACTAATCGGACGTGCACGCCTGACCTGTTATTATAATCCCACGCTGTCAATTTGTGTTGCTATAGCTCGTCTCCAATTTAATTTTATTGGTATATTATAATAATGTGTACAAAATTTGTTCATGTTGCCCGTGTTGTGTGCTTGTTTTGTGGCAATCACAAAGTTAATTACATGCCAAGCACGCACTTTTTGCACCTATCTATCCTTGTTCCTTAAGGTTAATTCCTAATCCTTTGCAATGTATCTACGCCAATGGATTATACAAGTAACATAAACAAGTACATTTTTTCTAGTAAAATGCAGAATAACAAATTTAGTAGTATATCAATAATTATTTATAGAATATATACATGGTTTTAAATTACCTTGTACACATACATTTTTGAGTAGACACATCTCAAAGTGACTGCTATGTTAATCGATTACTTATATTCAATTTCAATTATATATATATATATAAAGAGAGAGCGAAAGAAAGATGGATTCATCTGATTATTAGCTTAACATAACCAAATTAAATGGTTTATGTATTATGGAAATATTATTCGTTCATTTCAATTTTATAAAACAGTATTTTCGCGTGCTTTGTGTTATCTTTTTGGGAAATGAATCTTAGCATTTTTTTTTTATTGAAAATATGATAATTGATATCAGCTCCTGTTTGAATAATAAATAAAACTATTATTGTCTTGAGGTTAGAATTAATATCTTTGGTAACATTTTATTACAAAATTAATATTGTTTTATTCATCTTCTTCAATATTATGAGGGAACTCAATATAGTAAAAAAGATAACTGTAATAGTTAAGTTATTAAAATTTAAACTTTTTAATTTATTTACATTTTAAGCAAAATAATAAAAATTATAACTTATAAGTATTAAAAATAATACTAACTTATTAGTTTTTCAGTTAATATATGTGCTTAAAATTTATGTTCAAAAATTCATCTTAACTAATATATTCTTTTATTTTTAAAAATATATTAAAAATAATTGTTTATCTTATACATTTATAAATTTTTTTTTTTAAATTTTAATTGGAAATTCATAATTTTTCAATTAAAATCACTAAAATATATACAATTTAATGCAATGCATATTTTATGTAAATATTATAAACTAGGTATATGCTTGAAAACAAAGAACTTTTTTCGCATGATTCTGCTATTAAGGCATGTAAGTGGTACTTTATGTTGGGAATTGAAAAAAAAAAAAACATTTTATTATTGGTATATATTTTAGCCATTTACTATGATCAAAAAAAAAATTATTTTTATCATGATTCAAAACAATAAATTCACCTTTTTCACATTAACACGTTAAGAAATAAAAATGGTATATATAAAATTAAACACTGCTCTAAATTCTAATCTCAGTCACTAGCTGTTTCTTCCTCTAGAAGCTAAATCCTAGAAATGATATGTACCATCTGTTTTACTTATGTTTGTTGTGAAAGTGTTAGATAAGAATACTATAATTTCCATAAAACCAAATAAAACTACCTTGAAAAATAAATACATTTTCATCTAACCTTATGTTTATTCAATATTCTTTAATTATTATTAAACATCTTATTAGCTAACTGATTCAAAAATAAAAATGTTGTGTGCTATAGCTTCAGATCTTCATATATGACCAGTCAATTCTAATCTTTTGCTTTTCAGATAATGCATTTTTTGAATAGTTGGCACATTTCCTGGTTTATTAGTTTTTCATATTCTCAGTCCTTTATTATACGACCATATCAGGACTAGGCTTAATACTAGTTGGGTATAACAATTGGCATTTTTTAATTTTTGTCTTATGATTTTTCATGATGCTAATACTGTTAAAATGTTATAACTTACAAAACAACAAATAATAATATTTTAGTAATTGTTAACGAATAATTTAAGGAAAATAAAAATTGGATATATATGGTAATATTTAGGTAAACCTATACATGTGTTTATAAAATAGTGAGTCCCCTATGACATTTTTAAAACCTAGCGCCTCTGCTTACACCTAATTAAAATTAACAAAGCACAGATGCACTTATTTGCCATATTCTTAGTATTTTTCTAAAAGCTAGATTCCTCTTTCTTAAAATTACTTTGGGAGTCTTTAATTATGTTGTTAACATAGAATTCTAGTCTTCGTATGATTGCCATCAACACTGCAGTGTCTTATAGTGAAATTCTGCTATAGTTCAATGTTTCTATCAGATCTCCTTTGTAAATGATTAAATTTTGAATTTATTATAATCATAAGTTCTTAAAATTAATGACTTCTAATAGGTATAATTAATAAATTGCCATTATGGTTGTGTTTTCATTGTACATAGTAAATATAGTGTATGTTTAATTTTTATAAACATATCTATAAAAAAATGTTAATTATTACTTAGTTATTAACCAATTGTTACCATTTGTATTATTCAAATTACAGTAAATATTTAATTGATTAATGATGATATATTATTAATAAATAACATTCATCTTAAATTGTTATAATATTTCAAAATATCTGCTATAACAATTGGCCTTTTTATAATGCACCATTACAAAAAAAATATTATAAAATATATAATCATATTTTATTACTCAAATGTTCAAAATTATATCATCAAATCCTTTTTGATTTTTTTAAAATCATGAAATTTAAATAAAAAATGTTTACCCTATTTGCTGTGAATTGCTGTGATAAGTTTATAAATTATTATTTAAAATTGGGCTGAAATATTGCTTTATATGTTTCAAATTATAAATATTTTGGTGTATATAGAAATAGTTTAACAAAATGTGTATGCTTATTTATAATATGAACTAATATACTTCTTCTATGATCTTATACTAATTCAGTTATTAAAAATATGAAGGAAAATACTTAAATTATATTATATTGTTAATAAAAATGTATAGAACATTCATTCAAGATTTTGTATGAATAATTCCTGTATGTGAGTTGATTATTATTTTTAAAGAGATAATTTCAAACAATAGTACTTTTCATATTTCGAAACTTAAAATATTAAGAGAAGTCCATATTTACTGGCTTAGTCCTATTAATGGGCAACATAACAACTATGTTAATTGAAATTACAACCAACATATTATGAAGAGAAAAATATTTTTGTGGACACTATGTTTTTTTCTTCAAAATATTAAACTAAAAAGTTATTATTTTGTTATTTTTTGCCTTTTTAAAATAGCTGTAGCTATTTTGAATTAAAAACAATATGTCACTTTCTTAAATATTTTGTTTAAGTTTCATTGATTATGTTCAAACTTATATTTCAATTTAAATTCCAAAATATTAATTTTAAGTTATATAATCTCATTATTTTACCTGTTGGATCGAGATTATTAGTATCACGACTCATTTAGAAAAAAATGTTGGTTTTGGTCCAGCATAATTTATTTTATACTCCAAAAATATTTTAAGCTGTTGTACATTTTTATTACATTCTTTAAATGCATTTTAGATTATTATAATTTTGCGGAGCTACACAAAGAAGTTTTTAGTAATTTACATTTCTGTATAGTTAATATTTATTTCAAATTCATATAAACATATTTTATTATTAATTTATTGTTTATAAAACAATTATATTATATTTCTTTAACTGCAATAATATCTTATATCAATTGTATAAATGTGAATTAATTATTTATTTGGAATCCTTCACTCAAATTCTAATATGTTTTTATAGTTTATGTGGAGTATATATGAAAGTAAATTATTTTATTTGATCGTAAATGTTATTTTTTTTTTTCTTTGGTTTTTTTCTTAGAGCCCTTCTCGTATGGATAGAAGTATTGAAATGTTTATGAATGTTGAAAAAGCTTTGATTCATGCAAAATGTTTATCTATGCCAGTTATTCTTATTAATCCAGATGTTGATAAAACTGTTCAAAATCGTATAAAGGACATCATAAAAAGGCATCAAGGAACAATTACAGGTAAATACATCTTTCTATACATTCAAAATAATAAGAATACACCAGTCGGCGAATGAAAAAATATCAGTAGGAGTTTGACTAATATACAAAATATGGGTAAACCAGTACTCATATTTTGTATATCTCCTCACTTTTCCTTCCAGCTATTGGGAAGTTTTGCTAATTAGCAGTTAAAAAATAAATATTGCTTCAATTTTGTAGAAAATGAACAAGAAGCTACACATATCTTGTTTCCGGTTGTGGACCCTTTGGATGAAGAATATGCTAGACCAGTATACAAAAATAAAGAACGCTGGACACAAATGCATTGGTATTATTTCCCTGATTCTCATGATTCATGGGTAAATATCGAGTTGCCTGTTGAACCTCCTGAAGTGTTATATGGGAATCAACATCCTACTCCATGGAGGGTAAATTTTTTAAATATTAACAGCGTTGAACTATTTTTAGTTAGTTTAGTTTATTTTTAGAAAAAAATATTCTTTATTATATATCTCTAAAAATAAACTTTTTCAGATACCTACTAAAACACCTTTCACAGTTTTCTTTCTAATAATATGCATCTTTGTTCAGGTTTAAATTTTAAAAAAAATATGACAATTTTAAATTAAAAGATGTAAATTATCTAACTGAGCTCTTTTACTCAGAATTTCATGCAATCAGTATTTAAACATCTCATTGACAATTGAGGCCTTTCCATAAGACTAATTATGTTTTGCTAGGCTTATTACTAATTATTTATTTTTATTTTCTAGGTCACTGCATCTTGGGTCTTAGATTTAGATACTTATAATGAATGGATGAATGAAGAAGATTATGAAGTTGATGAAACTGGCAAAAAAAAAGTTCACAAAGTAATCAAGACATAAATGTAAAATATTTATTTCTATATTTTATTAAATATTTTTTTTATGTTTATTAGTTGCGTCTTTCCGTTGAAGATTTTATGAGTAATGATCCATCTAGTGGTAAAAAAAAACAGAAACGAAAACGGACACCATCACCACCATCAAAACCAAATAAACGTAAAAGGTAATACTATTATTTTATAGTTTAATGTAACAATATTTGTAATTTAAGTTAATATTTATATTTTGTTAGTGGGCGTGGAAGTTCTGTTATGAGTGTAAAGAAAAATAAAGTCGATGATGATAGTGACGATCTTACTAGAGACCTCGAAGATCCTATATCTGAACCTAATATTTCTGAAATTAATGTCAATGTATCACAAGTAAAAACAGGTAAGTGTTATTATATTTTGTGTGTTTGTAGTTTTATAATATATATTTTGAAATCAGGATCATCTTCGAAGAAAGATAGTGATTCTCAGCCAATTAGGAGTGGTACCCTTATGGATTTAGATGAAGATTTAGATAAAAGTGAAGATAATAAAAATTATGATAGTAATGCCCAAGATGGCACAAATTGTCCTGTATCTGGAGTATCTAGTACCGGAGGTGCTGTTTCTGTAGTTAAAGAAGAAGGTCCAGAAGATAATGCTACTGAACAAATGCATCATATTGTAATACCCAGTTATGCTGCATGGTTTGAGTATAACTCAATTCATACAGTTGAAAAACGAGCTTTACCAGAATTTTTCAATAGTATGTATCAAAAGATAGTAATTGCCTAAATTCTTAATTTTTATTAAATTAGTATTTTTATATTTTTGTTTAGATAAAAACAAATCTAAAACACCTGAAATATACCTGGCATATAGAAATTTTATGATTGATACATATAGACTTAATCCAACTGAATACATGACAAGTACAGCAGCCAGACGTAACTTGGCTGGTGATGTATGTGCAATTATGCGAGTTCATGCGTTTCTAGAACAATGGGGTCTAATTAACTACCAAGTATTTATTTAATATATATATATATATATATATACATTAATTTTAGATTACTTTTAATGTTTAATATACAATGATCAATTAAATTAGGTTGATGCAGATAGTAGACCAACAGCAATGGGTCCACCACCTACATCTCATTTTCATATTTTATCTGATACACCTTCTGGTTTGCAACCAGTAAACCCTCCTAGAACGCAACAACCTTCTGCTGCTAAAACACTTTTGGATTTAGAGAAAAAACCATCGACAACAGATAAAGATTCAGTTAATCAACCAGAACCATTATCTAGTTTTGGACTTAAATTAGATCAGTAAGTGTTTAAGTTACTAAAAGCAAACAGTTTTAACTGTTATATTTTCAATAATTATATTTTTAGGTATGCCAAAAAACCTGGATTATTAAGGAATAAAACAGCTGCTGGGATGACAAGAGACTGGACTGAGCAAGAAACTTTGTTGTTATTAGAAGGATTAGAGATGTATAAGGATGATTGGAACAAGGTTTGTGAGCATGTCGGCACTAGGACTCAAGATGAGTGTATTTTACATTTTCTTCGTTTACCTATTGAAGATCCGTACTTGGAAGATTTTGAAACTGGTAAAAACATTCATATTTTATGTGTTAAATAAAAAATTCAAAATTATTTTATAATTTATGTTTCATTTTTACTAGGTGGTGCTTTAGGTCCTTTATCTTATCAACCAATTCCATTTAGTAAATCAGGAAATCCCATAATGTCCACTGTTGCTTTCTTAGCATCAGTAGTAGATCCTAGAGTTGCTGCTGCTGCAGCTAAAGCTGCCATGGAAGAATTTGCTGCGATAAGAGTAAATTATAATAATTTCATTACTTTATTATTAAATGATTTTATAAAATCAAAATATTTTTTTTTAGGATGAAGTGCCTTCAGCATTAATGGATGCTCATGTTAAGAATATTGAAGCAGCAACCACTGATGGAAAGTATGATCCAGCAGTAGGACTTTTACAGGTAATACACAAATATTATATAGTGTAATTTTATTCATAACAAACTATAACACTGTTTAGAGTGGAATTGCGGGTACGTATCCAGAAAAAGAAGAAGAAAGTGAAAAAGTGAAAAAAGAACCTGAAGAGGTCAAAGATACATCAATGACTTCAGAAAATGAAGAAGGTGGTTCAGAAAAAGATAAAGAACAACCTATGGATGTTGACAAAAAGTCCTGTATAGAAAATATAGCAAGTACACAGTCAACTACAAATCGTACTACAGAAGAAGAACCTGAACGGATAGTTAAGGTTAGCTATATTAGCTAAGTAGAATTTGATTTTTTAAGAAATTTAATTTTTAATTTTTCAAAATTCTTAGGACTCTGAAGTACAAGCTGCTGCTGCTGCTGCTTTGGCCGCAGCTGCTGTAAAAGCCAAACATTTAGCAGCTGTTGAAGAACGAAAAATAAAATCTTTAGTTGCATTATTGGTTGAGACTCAGATGAAAAAACTAGAAATAAAGTTAAGACATTTTGAAGAATTAGAGACAACTATGGAAAGGGAGCGTGAAGGTTTAGAATATCAGAGACAACAATTGATACAAGAGCGACAACAATTTCACTTAGAACAACTAAAAGCAGCTGAATTTAGAGCTCGTCAACAAGCACATCATAGATTACAAGCGGCTGGTGTTCCTCCTCCTGTACCTAACCCGGAAAATGTGGCTCCTGCATCACCTGCACCACCTATAGCCACATAAAATATGCAGTTCCAGAATTACAAAGCCTTATAATGTGAGTTATAATATAAGCATGAACATATAATTATTATTAAATTTAATATCTGGGCTCAGAAGTTATACCTATTTTCTTGGTGAATCCTAGAAAATTCTCACTACAGAAAAAATTAGTTCCAAAAAAATTGATGTCTTACTAAAAAAGGTTTTGGGCCTTTTTTTCTACTTATAGTTTTCAGAATGATTTTGTCAAGTTACAATATTTATACTGGGTTTTATTGGATTTCAATAATTTTTATATTATTAAATGTCACTAACATTTGACATAGTTGTATTAATTGCATTTCATTTTAAAAGCAAAGTCTTTAACTTGGTGTTATTATTAGACATTTTTTTTTTTTATTGTGTTTGGACCAACAGCAATGGAGGTTATGTTTCACAATACTTCCCCACCGTTGCCATCGTTTATTAAAAAATTGCTACTAATATATATTTTAAATCCTGTTTTCTTAGCGGGGTTGGTTCACTTATACAGGTAATTATCAAAACTGTATAATAAAAGTAATAGTAATTCTATGTTCAACTTAACTAAATTAACACTATACACTATGAGTATTCCTGACCTGGTTCGTGGACCTGATAGTCTAGAGATTTATCCTACTCTTTCTCATTGTGACCCGGTATTATTAAAATTTAAGTACCAGAATTTTACCTAAACGAATTCTAAAAATATACAACTGTAAAAATACTTTGTTTTATTTAGTGATTATTTAAACATTTTAATTCTATAAACTAATGAAATTAAATAATAATACTACACACTTACAATGCATATAACTTAATGTAAAAAGTTAATTTAATTCTATTATAATATATTATGTTAACAGGTATATTATTGAATGTGGTCTATTTGAATTCTGGAATAGTCGCCAATTATATAAAATCGGTGGATGTTTTGTAAGTACCTTAATATTTGCGTGTAAATATTAAATTTTTTCATAGGGACTTACTGTAATAGTAAGTATTATATAAATTTATTCTAGATACTAAATAGAAATATTTATTGACTTATATTGTTAGGGAGATAAACAAATTGTATTTTAATTGGTTTTAATGTTAAAATTGAAAAAAAAAAAAAAAAAAACAATTTTGTATTTTTTGTGTTCTGATTTTGTTTCATATATGTAATATAGTTCCGAGCATCCCAAAACTACTTAGTATAATTGTTTTTGTATGGTTTAATACAAATAAAATGTACATACATTTTGTATTAGAAATGTAATATATATATTCTTATACATAAAAGTTTTAAAATTATAATACATTTTTTTTAAATTTTTTTTTATTTGTATTTTGAAAAGAGAAAATTATAAATTTTATATAATATATATATATATATATATATACAGGTGATAATAATATTATTACTTGTATTGATACTGTATTTCCACGATATCTGAAGTCATATACTAGTAAGCAGTAACTCCTGAAAACTTACAACTTGATGCCAGATCACTATCTTCTTATTAACCTTGTCTATGTAATCATCAATTATTTGTATTGGATTTAGTAAACTAATTTTACTATTTTATGTTTATTAATATTTTTAACAATTATTGTAAAACAAATTTATAATTAATTTTAATACAAAATATTTTTTTTAATATCTACCTACCTATACAAATTTATTTTGAGCCAACACTGTATGATGTAGCATTTTTATATTTAAATTAAGAAAGTAAATTAGTGTAAATTATTGCTACAAGAAACCAAAATAATAATTTAAATTTTATGATTAAGAATTTGTTTTATTTGGCAATCATTTCTGAAAATACCTATTTAATTTAAAATAATCACTTTTCGGGAATTTAATAATGATAATTATTTAAGGAATATGTATTTATTATGTAAAGAATTATAAGTAATTGACCTAAGAACAAACAAACCAACAAATAAATAAAATATATTAAAATGTGTCTTCATATATTTTTTAATGTAATTGTCAATTTTATAATTTTATAAGGGATCCAAGAATTAAGCATGATATGATATAATAAACTATTCAAATTTTCAATCTTGATGGGTAAACCATGAAAAATGGCCTACTATAAAAAAAACTTCAGCAATTTCATAGAAAAAACCATTTCATAACAAAACCAATAAGTCATTGATAGAAAGTGATTTAGGTAATATAAGTAAATACCGAGATGGATTTGCATTAACATTAATCCATCTTAGCAAATATAATAGTAACAGTTGTGTTGTCATTATAAATTTGTATTTAATTATGTTTATTATATATGTAGAAAGCCAATCTTTAGCCAACAATTTTATGACAGATGATGATAAAGAGAATAATAAACACGCAAGTATAACCGTATATCTTGATAATTTTGATTACCTTTGTGACCATAGAGACACTCCGAAGAATGTAACTACCTTTTTTTCATAAACTTATATTTCTGGTAATGTTTATTTGTTTTATTTACAAAATAATATGGTGTAATGAGTAGTATCTATTGCATTTGTATATAGATACATTTTGATATATACCTACATAAATAATAAAATTTAAGTTACCTATAATTTTGCAAAGCAAATAATCAAATCAGATTCATTATGCATAACAACTACTAATAACTTGGTATAGTAAAGTGATTAAGAAACGATTATGTTCAGTGATTATTGATATTGACAAAATTATACACTATCAGTTACTACATTTATATAGTAACCAGACCCGGATTAATGTACAGGTACTGATTGAGGGTGGTTATTGTTTCTTCCATTTATACGTACTAGCAATCCAAAAATAATAAGTATATTAAATAGTATAATTTCTGTGTCAAAATTCAAATTACTCATCGAGTATGTAAATTGTAACAATTTCGGTTTAAAATCATATACTAATGCATCTAGACGGAACATTCAGCATGAAAACGTGTTCCGGTGGGTGAAGTTTCATTTTGAGTACAGAAATATGTGTGATAATAAATTGAGAGTTTTAATTGAGTTTTAATTAAACCCTCTAGGTACAAATTTGCTCTTACACTATGCTTTATATCTGTCTATCTCTGTTGCACCATTTGAACACGCCTTCCAGTCTTTTGGGTAAATGTTCCGTCCAAATGCTTAAGTCTATATTTAAAATATACTCGAAATGTGTTAGCAACCTGTTTGGATGCTTTCGTTCCTATGAAGACAAATTAAATTGATGTACAGAACTTTACTTTTTAATATTTTACTACTTGCTATACTAACACTGTTAATGAAAATCAAATGATAATTTGTAATAATAAATTATTATTACTATATTCACAGAGATTTAACATAGATGACCATTAAAATAAACTATAAAAAAAAAAAATGCCCTAATCCGGCCCTCCCCGAAGTAACTTAAAATTTTTAAATACATGGTTACTCACTTTCTTAGGACGTCTTATCCGCGTGTGCTGTTTTCATCATACAACCGCGTGGCAACAAATTTTTGTTTCAGCAAGGAAAACTGCGCTGTTAGTTTTAAAATTGAAATGAATTGACTCAAACTCAAAGATATGAACATTTGTTTCGTTTTTTATTATTTAAAATTTTTAGTTAGATATGATAAAAATGCTTATAATTCTAGTTTAAAAATTAAAATAACGAGGGAAAATAATACACAGACAAACAATATTTAGGAAATTTATTTTTCATGGAATGATAAAATACCAAGAGTTCCCAGTTTAAAATGTGGATCGTTTTGCTCGCCAACTCATGTGTTAACTCATATTTTTAAATAGAAATAAATCCCCGTCTTGTGCAAGATCACGTCTGATAACAGGGGTAACAGAAGAAAAAGTGCAGTATAAAATATAAAAATGTCTCCGAAGTAAAAAAAATTATATTTTAGAAACCAATGATTATTATTATTTTCCGAATTATTAAATTCCTGCGTAGTTAGTTTGTTAGTTTTTTTTATTCAGTTAGCAATGATTTATTGTATATAAACTAAATTACCTATGCCTTATATATTTTAAATTCTTAGGCACCTAAAGGCTATAACAAAGTGGCATGAAACAAAGTGTTTTGTTTTTCTCTTTTTCACTTATTATTTTTATTATTCAGTCAAACTCTCACTCGTTTCAAGATAACTTATTGTAACTAGTATATTATCATCATTATCATAGGCGCAAATATCCCAAATATTTTGAGGGAATTTCACACCCCATAATATTGAATAAATAACTTTATTAAAGAGCGGTACTAATCATCCCAATTTTTTGCATTTATGGTTTATGTTATGTTATTGTTTAATAAAATTTTTAAAAAAATGTCTTAAAATCAACCATGCAACATAAAATTGATAATATTTGAAGATAATAATAATACGTCAGTAATGAGTATCTAAATAAATTAAAATTTTCAAATATTGTACTTATTTGTTTGTATGATAAAAATGGTAGGTTGAAAGAAAAACACTGATGTCTGCAGAAATGAATATAGAAATTTACCGTTTAGTAATAATATAATTACCTTTTGGCATAGAGGAAAAAAAGGTTTTTTGACAATATTTTATACATGACTATAAACTGATATGAGTTTAATTATAGAAAAACCTTTATAAACTGTTTTGCACAAAAGTACCAACTCACATGTTATAATTAATTATGGTTTAGCTTATTAATAGGTACAATCAGGAATTATACTAAATATTAATGGGATTGAAAGCTCTGGTTTTCTATTTTTATCAAACACAAGGGCAATATGTAAGAGTTTAGACGTGTTTCATTCTCAACATGCATACTGATCGATTAGTGAAGCAATTAATAAAACGTGTATTTGAATTCGTCATCAAAGCTTCCAAAAATCTACTTGTCTACACTTTTGATTTTATCCGTCTGAAAGTAAAAAAAAATTCTAAATTAAAGTTATCATACTTCAATTTTCGATCAATAAAAATAAATCGAAAATTCGATCTCGAGTGGATTTAAGAAATTATAATCCGTTTTTGGAATTTTTATCGCTTCACTACATCGATAATTAGGTGCGTACAGTATATAAAAAAACATATATCGCCAAAATTATTCTGATGTTGAGTGTGTACGTGTGTTAGACAAAGACAGAACACCGTTGCTTTCAATTGCATTATAATGATATGAAAAATATCATATTTATAACAAATATTTTATTATTATGTACATTTTGTTAATATGCTTATTAGTTATTACCTACCTACTCCAATAATTGGATTTTTAAATAAGTAACGGACACTGTCACGAGAGCATTGGGATAAAATATATTGTGATTACAAAACTAAATACTAGAAGATACAAACAATAATATTTTATTTGAAATTATTAAAAGTAATATAATCAGTGCCGCAACTACACTGATTTGGGCCCATCTATAAATAAAATAAAAGCCCCCCTTGAAAATAGAAAAATTGTAATATTGCTTAAATATTATTTACTTAATATCTCTAAATTATTTGTATTTAATGAATTGTGATTAAAAATATTTAAAAATAATTTGTCTAAGTTGTAATTAAAACATACTTTAGAATTTTAAATTTTTACTCAAACAAAATAAGGTTAACTTAATTAGAACACATATGTATTTACAAATGAAAAAACGAAAATGAACACCTAAAAAACAATAAAGCCTATGGAGTAGATGAAATACCAACTGAATTGCTGAAATACAGACATAGATATTAAAAACAAACTATACAAATTATATAATGAAAAATATTATCTAAATGGAGAAACTATTAGTGATTTTCAAAAAGGGTATTGTGGTATTAATTTTAAAAAAAAAAAGGAACACAAAAATGTGAAGAATATAGAACATTTAATCTCACCTCATATGACTCAAAAATCATTAGAGCCGGATAGACCAAACAATAGATTAAAATTTGGGTAGTGACTAATTTGGTTCAAGAAAAATATAGGTACCAGAGAGGCAATAATAAGAATACTAAAAGAAAAGCAAATTAGAAGAATGAAGACACATTTATTGCCTTTGGTAATGTGCATTAGAGTAAATTATTCGATCTTTTAAAAGTAATTGGCATAAAGTATAATGATGGTAAATGTATCTATAACTTATACAAAAATCAAACTGTACTGATACGCATAGGTCGAAAAAGAAGAAGCGCGAATTAAAAAGGGTTTGCGTTTGGTGGTGTCAATCAACTGTAAGTTACAACCAAACTATTAATTTCAGTTATAAGGTTATAAAGAAACCTTAATATACGATAATGTGCACTATACGAAATTGATCAATTGTTTAATCTTCATTAATAATTATTATAACAAAATTATTTTATTTTATTTCTTCGTATTTTTCAATTTTTATCATTGGGTACCGTTGTAGATTGGGGCCAGTATGTTTGACACACGTAACACACCCGGTTATTGCGGCACTGAATATAACACATGGGTAGAGGCAAATTGTGCATTATTATACATACAAATATTCGATATTACATTACATTAACATTACCTATGTATACATCTATGGAACATAGTATTATTTTAGTGCGTTGACCTTACAGTAAGTATAGTAAATACATTGCGTTTATCGACAATATTCTATAAATGTGCGTTTAGAGTTTACAGGTATAATAAGTACCTACATAAATGTATAAATAATGTAGTTATTTATTTATTAATTTATATAGGCCCTTTGAACATAGATCATTTACTTATACTACCAGATTACATACTTATACTAACAGATTACATATACTTATACTAACAGATTACGTACTTATAAGTTATAATATTGGTTTATTTTTTTTATAGAATCATATTATATGAAGTCAAGACAAAATAAGGGTCCATATTAGCAATAGTTAACAAATATCTTTTACTCATTCTTTATCTAATTAATGAAGCTAATAAGAGTGTAAAAAATAACTTTGACACTAGTAAAAATTGGAAATTAATTATCGAAAGCAACATTGTCTT